ACGAACACAAATTGGCGCAAACATTTGCAAACTCGATTTGTGGATAGGCGTTTCCGACGCTCAGAACTTTCCTTGACGATAAAATTACTTGCGTATCAAAGCCGAAGTTCAACAAAATGTTATACATTACCTGCGCGGACTTAAAAAGGCGTTTACAAGGTAATTTCCGCGGTGCAACGTTGTCGGGAGGGAAGCTGTTCGGAAATTACTTTGAAACCCTATTAGTATCAATGTAAAAGAGTTTCCTGAGGAAATCCAAGGTCTTCTGATTGCAGAATAATAGAAACTGCAAGGATACGTTCGAATCAGGCGTTAAACTTAGAAAAGTTCTGCTGCAAAAAAGCAATCTCAAATAATAAGCTTCGAGTTCAAGCTTTGCGCATCTTGTTATGTTTTCGACAACTTTTTTGTGCGAAGAGGAATTATCAATCTATTTCTTATAAAAAACAAGCAGAGAAATCGGTTGGACGCTGCTGACGACATGGGTGTAGCTTTGAGTAGCAGTAGCAGTCCCAGAAATTCGTAACTAGTAAATAAAATGCAAACGCAATGTTGCATTATTACTACTTGTATTCAACAACCAATGAAATGATTGTTTCTAATTAGATGTATTTATTAATAAGGGGTCCACGACATATTATACTACTGCTTCGGTAGCCCACTGCATTTTAAAGGTTGGGTACCACTGCTTTAGTTAGTTAGGTCTAAGTAACTGTTATTCCTTTAGCACTGGCATACTTCGGCCGGTCTTCTTCAGACTTTAAATCGCTTAACCTCAGTTTTCCTTTTCTGCAGGGCTACGGCACGAGTGCCAGCCCACCAGTGTACGCCTTTTAGAGAGCTATAATGGTTGTCTCGAAGGAATGAGAAAGCGGGAATATCGGGCCCGATCCTCTTCCCCCTCTACCACGCCCTCCGTCTAGTGTGGGAAAGGCGACCTTAGGCGCAAGACCCCGAGGCTACCTGGAGACACTTGCCAGCACCACTGGTAGCCTGGTCCCCGACTATGCGCTCCTCACTAAAAGAGAGGAGCCCTTAAGTAGCTGCTTATTTATTTGATGTCGTTACCTGGTGCGCGATCAAGTTAGCAACTCCGAATACACGAGCTCTCCTACAGATTTCTAGTCGTCTACGAGCGCAAGTGGTATTATCATCTCAACGTTTGTCTTCTACATTCAGTTTAGACCCCAACTTAGATTCTACAATGACCCCAGGTATTTTGATCTGCGAACCCCATGGAATTTTCATTCCGTTAAAAGTTAAGGGAGTCGGTAGTGCATGGCGTTTCTTCGTTATAAGAAGAGCCTTGCTCTTTGCTGCGTTAACGGTGGGGCCCCGTTATTGAAACTAGCTAGCAAGTGCTTCGTGATAAAATTTCAAGTGCTGACATAGTGAAACGGGGGACTTGGACGAAAAATAAATCATCGTATCATTGGCGTAAATGGCGAACCGCGAGTGAGGATCGACCGGAAGAGGAATGTCGCTCGTAGAGAGCGTGAATAACAGCGGTGATAGAACAGACTCTTGCAGGACTCACGCTGTAAGATAGCGAGGCGACGATAGTGCAGCGCCTACTCGCACGTTGAAGGCCCGGCAGGTTAGTTATAACTTGAGAACTTCTTGAAGGCCGCGCGGTATCGCCAAAACATGTAGCTTGCATAACTGGTTACCATGCCACAATCAGTAGAAGCCCTCTCAAATCGAGAAGGACAGCGCCTGAGGCTTTTTGAAATTAAAGGTTCTCGTCGTCTACTCGATAAAGCGAAGAATTTGTTGGGACGCTGAGTGACCCTTGCGAAATCAAAACTGAAACTGGTAAAATACAGCGAGTGTCTACAACCGCCTTCAAACGATTAAGTATTATTGCTTCAGCTATCTTACCAAATGCCGACGAAAAGCTGATGGTTCGATAGTTGTGGGGCTCTGAAGCCAGTTGCGATGTCTTCGGTAACACCACGACTACTGCCATTTTTTCAACACCCGGGGAATAGCCGAAGGTCAACACCGAGTTGATGAGGTCACTTAGATGATCCATAGCAGTCTCCAGCAACTTTTAAACATCAGGTTAGTGAAACCGTAAGGGCCGGTCGTCTTTCGCTTCGGTAGTAATTTGATAATTGATTTGATCTCGTCTGTGGCTCCAGAAAGTCAGTGGTCTCAGAGGAGATAAGATTAGGCAAAAGGGGAGCGCTGTCGATGGTTGAGAAGGTAGACAAGGAACACTGGGCAGTTAGATGATTTGCAAAAAGTTTCGCGTTGTCTTCAACGCTTTCGGTTACGGTATTGCTAGTACGAAGTGGTGATCGAGTCAAATACTCGCGCCTTCTACCTCTCTTAATAAATTTCTAAAAAGAGGCGCGACCGACGTCATCAGCTTTCAATACTTCGGTTAACTTGATAATCCCATTAGGTAGTTTATATGCGCCATTAGCTTTTTCCTGATGTGCCGGTGAAGGCGGTTTAGCTTTAGTTTTCTTCTGTGCGTTAGATGACCATGACTACTCGGATGAGCCGTCGATGCTTGCATCTTAATGCCTTTAGTTCCTCAGGAAGGTGTTTAGGTGGTACACAACTTCTCGTGACGTCGTTGCTTTGCTGTGGACATCTGTCACTGCGTATTCAAATTCGACAATAGCACTATTTAGTTTAGCGGATTTTTCGTGCGGCGTCGTAAATGGTGGGTGCGCTGTCTCGAGTCATTCGGTGAATTTATTCCAATTCGTGTAAGATCGAAAGAATGTTCTTATTGCATCCTTTTCGTCGCACAATTCGAGCAGGACAGGTCGATGATCCGACAACAATTCATTCAGTTCCTCATTAGCCGTTGAAAGGCATATATTTTTTAACACGACGATATCCAACACGTTCACTGCGCCCGTCTTCCTCCCAATGTTTGTTGACAACTGTGGTCCTAAGACTTTCAACCCGCTTTCCTCAGCGTAAGCCTCAAGATATAAATTAAATCACCTACGCTGGTAAGTGGCACAGACTCCACATGTTTATCATAGTTAGCTTTCATTTCTTTTCTCAGATGTCCTGGCTTCGTTCCTATTTGCAAACCGGGCTGTTCCACGCGGAATGTTTCACGTTAAATCCCCGAATAGAATGTCCAGAAAGTCATGCACTAGAAGAGCATCATGATCGAACAAAGTGAGTGGAGGGCTGGGTGAATTTATAGATTGACATTATAGTAATGGACCCCTGTCTGCTGTTAAGGATAATACCAACTGCCTCGATCCTTCGCAGAGCTGGTAATGCTATTACATGGTGTTGGATATCTCGCTTGACAAGAATAGAACTATTCTTTCGCGTTGTATTAACTCCTGCAACTCGTGTTTTTTCTTCTGGACGCCCACCGCATTCCGACACAGTACTCGGTTGTGATCAAGCGTTTGGATTGAAAAGTCATTGCAACAAATTATAAGCCTTTTATGACCTCAAGCAAAGTCGAGAGATTCGTAGTCAAAATAGTTAATGGCTGCCTTACAGTCGGTTGCAATCGTTGTTCTTGTTTTTGAGTAACTGTGTCAGCGTTACCAATGTTAATAAGATTATTTGCAGGGGGAGCTTGGTGCGGTCTCACCCTCACGTAAATATACTATTTAAAAAATGCATTTTGTCGCAAATAAAATTAATTCTACCAAATAGAACAAAGCATTGCATTGCTATCTTAGAACGATCGTGCATCTTTTCAAAAGTAATAAAGTTATTACAGTTCCTACAAATAACTTCAGCAACCTTAACAAAAGATTATATAATATTGGAAATAGGTGCAAGCTCTAATTATTTGAGAATTAAAAAAAGGTTAAAAAAAGAAAATTATGGCTTTAATAGTAGTTTTGAAACTATTGTAACTTTTTAAATACTATGACTGACGATTTATCCTGAAAACTGGCAGGCACGAGGACTTACCTCGCTAGAATGGGTTTATAACAAGGTTTTTGTTGTAATTTTTTAAATTAAGCTCCGCCTTGCTTTGATTCTTGACCCTTCCAATTGTTCTGTACTTAATCTTTTAATTAGTTTTTACTAATAATTACTCTTTCCTACTTTCTGCTTATCTTTAATGTTAGCCTTAAGTTTTCCTTGTTTTTATTATTATTACCAAGTTTCCGAATTTTCTTCACTTTCATTTCAGTTAGTGTTGCGCCTTTATCTTTATAGAACGTTAAAATCGTTACTTGGGTTACGATAGTTTTTTTACAATTGCAAAGTCATAAGGTTTTTTAGTACGCCATGGACTTTATTGTCTCTTACAAAAAAAATTTATTTAAGTGAAAGCTTGCTCTATTTTTTTAAAGAAAAAAAAATAAGCTTTAAAACTCTATTGTACAGGTGATTAGGATAAATACAACGCCTTCATTTATGTATTTAGTTATCTCAACTTAGTTTATTATAAAAATAAAGTTAATTATTAATTATTAAATTTTTTGCGCTTCAAAGCTTATACGAGGTAATACATTAGTTTATGTCAAAAAAAGTAAACTTATTAACCTTTTATTTTAAAAGCAATGACTATTAAGTTATCCAGACTAATCTTCAATTTCAAAATATATTACCAACTTATTAATTTAATGAATTCAATGCCAGCAATTTTTAAATAGTTAAATAATAAATAATTAAGTAAGTTAAATTAAAGTAATTTTAAGTCAAAAGGAAGCAATAGTTTGTATTAAAAAATAATTTGATATTGTGTACAATGGATTGTGTTAGCATATAGGATATCTTATTTAACGATAGGAAAATTTAAAAACAGAAAAATACTTATATAGAAACAATACGCTAAGCGAACACTTTACTAAAAGTTAAAGGCGATATAAAGGTCAAATTGAAATGGAATCCTGTAAGGGAATTGAAATGCATAGTCTACTTTTGTACCTGTTATCTAAAATTTTAACTGTTTTATTAGTGGTCGTTTTTTCACTTATTTATTTGGCCATAAGTAGACAATATAAACCAATAGTTTACCACCTAATATTCCCAGGATCAAGTTAGAACTTGCGTCCACTCGTAGGTTTGTTTGTTCTCTTGGTCAAATAATTTAGTAAGGTAGCAGCTGGAGGGTTGTTAGGTCTTGCCTGTCTATTTTAAATGAAATATTATAATAAAACGGCTATAGTATCAACAATAGTTATGAAAAATACTTTAGATAGTTGGCATTCTTAGATTTTTAAGCTACTATACATTTCAAAAACATGCACGATTGCGGCTTAGACTTACTTGATCAGTGGATTGAAAAAATCTCTAACTGCGAGCTTTTAACAGAGCCTCACGTTAAGAAGTTATGTAATAAGGTTTCGTATTTTCTTTATATTTATGGAGTTTTTAATTGGTTTTTTTTTTTGGAAGGCAAAAGAAATCTTAATTAAAGAGAGTAACGTTGTAGAAGTTTCCTCGCCGGTAACTATTTGCGGTGACGTTCACGGACAATTTTACGACCTTCTTGAATTATTTCGAATTGGCGGCGAAGCACCCAACACTAATTTTCTTTTCTTAGGCGATTATGTTGATAGAGGTCAAATTATTATTTTTTTTACTGACTATTTTGTTTCTTAAGTTATTCTATAAAGGTTTTCACTCTTTGGAAACTGTAAGCTTATTAATTTGCTTAAAGCTAAGATATCCGAGTCGGGTTACTATTCTACGAGGCAACCACGAATCTCGCCAAATAACTATGGTTTATGGTTTTTACGACGAGTGTTTTAGAAAATATGGAGATAACGTTGTATGGAAGCACTACACAGATTTGTTTGATTATTTGCCGATCACTGCCTTAGTAGAAAATAAGGTGTTTCTTATATTGAGTTATTTTTAAGGGTAAAGTCTGTAGTTGCTAAATGTAAAACTTTTTTATGGATATATGTAACAAATTTATTTCTTATTATTATTATTATTACTACTTTTAGATCTTTTCTTTGCACGGCGGGCTTTCACCCTCTGTTGATTCTCTTGACACAATTCGAAGTCTAAATCGTATAGTTGAAGTCCCTCACGACGGCCCGATGTGCGATCTACTTTGGTCTGATCCGGACGAGCGAACTTCCTGGGGAGTCTCGCCACGAGGTGCTGGCTACACGTGGGGTCAGGATATTACAGAGGTCTTCAACCACAATAACAGTCTTACGCTGGTTGCTCGGGCCCATCAGCTTGTAATGGAAGTAATTTACTTTATATTTATAGCAGCAGAATGCGGTTTTCTTCATTGAGTTTTACTTGAATCTTCTCTTTAGGGGTACCTTTGGTGCCATAATCGCGGCGTCGTGACCATCTTTAGCGCCCCAAATTATTGCTACCGCTGCGGTAATCAAGCTTCCATAATGGAATTGGATGATAGCATGAAATACACTTTGTTTGTTTTTTATTTATACACATCGTGTTAACTTTAACTTCGTATTGTCCTTTACTTGCTACTTTCCTAGTAGCTGATTGACATGAGTTTTCATGAACTATTTATCTTCGCCTTATTATCTAATATTTAGATTATATTGATATAAATCTCTTTTTTAAAAAATACTTTTTTGCTAAATATCTTATCAGTTATAATGTAGGCAAAAGTTAATATCAACCTTTTTACTTAGCTTGCAATATGATCCCGCTCCACGCCCTGGCGAGCCCAATGTTACCCGACAAACTCCCGATTACTTTCTGTAAGGCTTATCAGTACTCTTTTATGAGCGGGACTCCCCAAAACTGTATAAAACCTAGTGAAAATCAAAAGGCTTTCTTTTTTAAATTGTTTACTTTTTGTTACCGTGTTAAAGGGTTACAACATATCTCATGTATGATATAAGGCCTAGTAAACCTTAGTTAATAACAATTTGCAGAAAGTTGAGAGGAATGTTAAAATAAACGTCTAACCTATCAACGATATTCTTTATTAACTTGAGATCACTAACAACCCTCTAGATAAGTGATTACTAGGACTTTATAGATGATCATTGGTCTTTTATACTCTACCCCTGACGACCAATTGCATTACGGATCAAGATTTATTAATAAACCAACAAACGCGGCGCAGAGAGCAAGAAACCTCAATCCATCTTTATAAAAATGACTCTATGTATATATGAACATTTTTGAACTGTCGGATAGACTACTTATACCCATTTAAATAATGATTGATACCAAATAGCTGCGCTTATACTGCATTATTGCCATGAGACGCTAAAGTTTAAAGTAGCACTATTAATGGTGTATTCACTAAAAATAACGTCATTTTGTAATTGCGTGCTGCGGTTGGGCCATTTTATAGACTACTGCCTTAAGCAATTTGAATTTGTCCCCATTCACAAATACAGTGGAAGTAAGTTTGGTCCTAATATTATACATTATATATTTATTTTACGGAAGCATAATTTGTCGCCTGGCAGCAAAAACCGCCCACTTGACAGTACGCTGCACGTGGCTTGCAATGTTGTGTTCCTATTTAACTATGGGCCCTCCCCTCATCAACATTTATAATACTTTTATAAGGAAGTTAGAACTCGCCTGGGTACGATTGAAGGCCCGCTTATGAGATTACTACGATAAAATTGGTAGTAATTTTCTTTCTTTCAGTATTTTTTAAAGAACCAATTATATATTAAGCGTTGATGGATATGGGTGAATGAAAAATGTGAGGATTTTTGCATAGTAGCAACAAGAAACTTTTCCTCTAAGATAAGCTGTAAACAACGCAAACTTTAAATTTCGTTGGCACAAAGTTATGGTTTATATGGACGTTTTTTTATTTTATTTAAAAAGCTATTGGTCATACGCTTGTTTTCTATTCACCTACCCGTATGGGGCAACGTGTATAAAACCGTCTTGCTCGATTTCTTGTAGAGGATCTTTTTTGGCAGATGTCTTGCCTATGATAGGTGACTTATTGGCTGTGAGTTCTGATAATACACTTAGCTTAGGCTTAAGAGAACAATATCAGCTGATTACCTTTCTCAACTTGCGTTAGTGAATGATGTCTGTGCAAAACTTCAACAGCAGCTGGAGGGCGCTGCATCGATAAGTTTTTAAATTCACTTTTTGGTACAATAGGGTCCTTATTAACGCGAGCGCTAGTGAGAGCAAAACTTGTGAGTCTTTCTTCCCCATCTGAATTTAGGGCCTTCTTATTAGCAGCGTGCGTCACATAGTAATGTGCTTTAAAATTTTGAACTGGGATTTGATAATAAGAAGGGTGGTAGTGATGTTGGTAGTAGACAGAAGAAGGGGGCCAGCATAGGAACGTTTGAGAGGGTTGTTGAAGCTGGTAATTTACTGGTGTAATATAAGGATCGGGAGCTGTATTTGAGCTACAGGGGCGAGGGGCAGAGGTGAACTCACTACTATAGGCCTATGAGTAAAGTTATATAGCTAAAAGAATAGTGGTGAGGTTTAGACCAGACGAATGTACAAGAAGCCAAGGATCATTTAAGGCCTTAGCTGCCGAAAGACGTAGTTTGGCGTCCCAGGCTAAACACCGGTTCACAAAACTGGTGAAAAGCGGGTCACTACTGTCCAAAACACTATCGAGACTCTAATTATAATATGTAGGTTATTTAATGAATTGGCATTATATAAAATAAAACCATTGTCCCGGGAAATCTGGTATACCCGTTCGAGTTGGATTTTAAAATAACGTTACCATCCAAATCAAAATAAAATGAACGTTTTTTGGCCTCATTTACTAAAGTTCGAGGCGGGAAGCCTAGAAGTTTTAAAAAATTTACCCTATCAACTAATAAATATTTCATGATAACTTTTTGAGTACCTAAAACTTGCATGATACAGAGCAACTGTTCATGCTCGTCTTCCCCAGCAAATATAGGACGACCTAAGGGTATACACACTATTAGCACACAGGGCTTTATAACGAAGTAATTATAGGTGACCCGTATATAGCTCAGCTAGGATGCATCCCAAACTCCACATGTCGATTTTAGTGTCATATGCAACGCCTGCTTTCCATAATATGACTTTACAAATTAATAAACTTTTTAATCATAAGTAAAAAACCTAGTATTACTTCCGGAGAACGATAGAACCGGCTTTGAACGTAGGTAAAAACTTTAGTAAATAAATTATATAAAATAATCACAATATTGTTGTTTATGATCACTAACTTTTATAGTATGAATATTTAATTGTTAAAGAGAAATAAAATGGTGCTCAGTAGCTCTGTACAAGAAGTAACATATTACCCTTTTCGGTTGCAAAACAACTTGAACCAAAGTCAATTACTTTTATTCTGCACTTTTCGGGTTGTAAAAGAAGAACATTTTCTGGTTTTAAGTCAGCGTGTATTATTCCTTCCCTTTCCAACAAGGCTAGACACTGTAGAATTTGAACGCAAATCCTTTGGAAAAACTAAGTTATGTTCTACTATAGCAAAAAAAAAAATCGCAAATTAGATGAAAAAAGATAAGCATAAATATTTTAGTTGGAAATACATTGCCTTACAGCAATAACTTCATTTAAAAACAATACTTTATTAATTTGAAAAGCTTAACAAAATTATTCTAAAAAGTAAAATTACTACTATAATTAGTTTAGTACCCTTTACATCCATAATATAAAGATTTTTATCAGTTATTATGTAGTAAAAACATATATTACCCCTGTATGCACTTTAAGGATAGTCCCTGAAAAGAATTAGATCTACATTAAAACGAAAATTGTTAAGTTGGCTGTTTACACTTAAAAGAATCTCATTTGTAACACCTTAAAAGATCGTAGAGGTTACAACTCAAGAGCTCAAACACGATGCAGACATGCCCTCGAAAGGAAAAAAAATTTTTCATATGAACAATATTGTAGCTGTTATGCTCATCTCTTTGCTTCAGGTACTTTAGTATTTTTATCTATGTCACAATTAGTCAAGGCAGAAAAACATGAGTAAAACAGAATATTAAGTTTAGAACTCTTAAAAGTAGTTTATTTATTTTTCGATATAATGAAACATAGAGAAAGTAATTTTTAAAAAGTTGTCACCTCAGTAGCTGCTTGCTGCCGAAAGGCTTGTTTACTTCTGATAATTTTAAGTGCAACTAACTCAAGTCTCTTATGATCAAAAGCCTGGTAAAATATAACTTTATTATTTATGTTTATCAATAAAGAAGTGAAGCTTCTTGTACTAGCCTTAATGACTTGTCCGAAGGAACCCTTTCCAAGAATTTCTAGTATTTCGTAACGGTACCCAATGTGATCGTGTTTGTACAGATGGTAATTCCCATCTTCATCATCAAAGCCATTCTCACCATAAAGTTCAGATCTAGTAAAAAAATATATATATATTTATATAATTTAATAATCAATTATAAAAAGTGTAAGTTATTTATTAACAATTATTTAGAAGTTGAGGTCACTGGAAAAAGTTAAATACACTGTAAAACAAGTGAGGCATATTAATATTAAATAATTTCAAGTTAAATGCTGCGTACAACCTCAATTTGTTAGTATTGCGTCCGCAGAAGTAAATCTGTTAGAAAGAAATTTTTTATAAAAAAATTTATGAAACATAATTTTCAGAGAACAGGGTAATGAAAAACTAAAGTAATAACTTATCATCTACAGTATACTTACCTTTCTATAATTCAAAATTTCTGTTAATTCATGAGAAGATATATGATGTTTAAATGAGCTTATAGCTTCTTTAGAAATAATTTAGTAATACGTATTAACGTAACTATTATTATTTTATAGCACACACAATTAACTTACGAATGGGTGATAAATACGTTGCACAACTTGAAAGTATAAGTGGAGTACTTTTCTCACTTTTTACGGACTCGGTAACCCTTATAATTCAAATTTAAACTATTTATCAACTATTTTATAAATTCTATTTAATAGGCAAGTAAAAATGGCTTGTTAATCCTGATCATATTGATATTATATTCTTTTTTTTTAAATAATTATATTACCAAATAATTTAAATTTTTAAATAGTAGATATAATAATCAAATGTTTATTATAAACTCTAAGTTGCAAAAGTCAATTGTAACTAAATACCTATTATTCTCTGAGTTCATTCTTTAGAAGCCCTCCCTAATAAAAAATAATTATTACATACAATTTTTTATATATTTCCTGTTCAATAAGTTACCAGTTTTTAAGGCTGGGTATTAAAAACCAACATTAGATATTTAAACTCCCTTTTTTCAAAAATTAAGAATTTCTTAATTATATAGCTTTAATTTAAGCACCAAAACTTTCAAGTTAACTTCGTTGACCGAAAGATTTCCTTTATTCCATATAAATTGCGGTGTAAATAGCTGTCGTATTTACTTCCAGCTATAATAACTTAGTCTAAAAGAGGCTTTATAATTATATAAGTTTTGCTGAAGGAAGGGTTGCCATTTAATAATGCTACTTCCATTTTGGTAGAATAACTACATGTTGACGAATAACAAGCATTTAAAAACGAAAAAATATTTGTAGAGAAGCTGCTATTTTGCGAATATCAAGGTAAACTTTTATTTGTTCGTTGGTGTCTCCTTGTAGCTAGTGTCTTCTATTTTTTACGCAGCAACGGATATCAAATAATTACAGTTTGCGTTCAATTCGTTATATTGTGTGGTTCTCTTCAATGTTTGTCTATTTAGAGTTTACGTAACGCAATTGATTTTGGAAACTTTGTTTAAGTTCTTTAAAACTGCTAAAGCTAAAATTTTAAGGTAACCCAAATCAAACTACCATTTGTAAATTACAATATAGGCAACAAGATAAAATTAGAGATATCGAACTTAATAGGCCGTTATTTTATGGTCTATTTAAATGACTCGAATAAATAAGCTAAACATCTGTAAAATAAAGCGGTTATATAATTTTTTGAAGCCCTGTGCTTGTGAGTTGCTAGTTACTGTATCTTGCTTCTACAAAAAATACAAAATAATATTAATGTATTTAAAAAGTGTGCAAAATACTTACAGAATATTATGTTAAGTTGATGAAATATTATTAAAAAAATTATTTTGGCTGTAATAAAACCGTAGCTTGAAGCATTTAACGTCGAACTAATTAGCAATGTTTTTAACTCTCCCATTTAAATTAACAGTTCACACAAGTATTCTTCTAAGAGTTTATTCAGTATGCAAAACTTCTAAATGGAAATATGAGGAAGGCGTAAATTTTGCATTTTCCGCCTTTTTACTAATTAGTAGAAATAAGTTTTCCTCCGGGTAACGTAGGTATGTTGCTCGAGCATATAAACTCAAATTTATTGAGGTTAAAGTTAGTTTTCGTTAACAAATAGCATGCTTCCATTTTACGGATATTCATATACTCTTCTGCGTAGAGTAATCGGGTTGTTATATTTGCTCTCAACTCCTCTCGACTTTTATACGCTTAGAGTTAATACTTAATTTTTTGGCATGGTTTATGCCATTATATAGGATTTGGTTGGTAAAGCAGAAATCACAAGGTCGTTATGCTTGGGTTTTATTTTTCGCTTCTTTGTTCTGTTCCTTTCTGTTCTATGTTGTGCTCGTTTATCATTTTAAATTAAGTTATATTTTATTAATTCATACTTTACTTATGGGTTACAACACCTTTTCATCTTCATAAAAGTAAAGTTATTTAATGGTCCGCTATATGGCCCCTAATGTCACTTATTATGTTAAACTCAGTTTCTCGCGGTGAGAACAGCTCACAAGCTTACAGAGCAAGTAAAAAAAGCTTGTTAACACTTCACTACTTCTCTTAACGAAATTCCTTCGTTAATGAGGGTTTAGCGCGCAGTTTACTAGCACGAGCTCTGTAGTGCAGGCCCTCAACTATACATCTTTAGAGTAAAATAGCAGATTTGTATTCGCTCGTTTTAAAATTGTAAGTTATTATAAGCGCGTGTTTCACTCATTTTTAATGCTGTTATTAAATATGCAGTGACTGCTAAACTTCTAAAAAATTTTAGTAATATAAGATAAAGTTCTTGGTAGTAGCCTATTCAAATGATTTAAAATATCATTTTGAAAAGATTTTTAGGAAGAATCTAGAAAGATTAATAAGTGTTAAACCATGATGGGCTCGCGCGTATATATTATATAGTAATACTAGTCTACAACATTATCTTCAACAGTGCTCCTACTATACTAAGCCTATCCTAGCATAGGAACAAGCACTACGGATTTTAGCGTCGAGCCAACCGGAACCGAATGCAACCATGATGCTTTGGAAATGTTGTTAAAAAACTATTTTTTTTAGTGGGTACAAATTTAAAAAAAAAGTTGGTTTATATAATTTATGTGAATTCCTTTACAAATTTACCGTCTAATATTAACCCTAGATATTTGTGTCCTAGACCATGCGATAGACATCTCACAAACTTAAGGGTTTCGAGCTATTATTTACGTTTATGTTTGCGTGAAATGAACAGTGCCGGCATAAATATTTTATTCCAAAAGATGCATAATTCTTAAAGTAAGGAAAGATACAACTGCGGTATATAGTTTATAAATGTGATATCTTAAAACTTCAGCAAAACGCAATGTTATAAGGGCAGAGTTCCGCGTATTATTCAAGGCGGAAGTTCTGACTTGGATATTGAAAACAGCAATGAATATAACCAGGCTTTAAAATTTTCGTAAGTCCTTTTTAATCCTTTAATCTTTGCCTTTTATTAGCAATTAGATAACTAAAAGTTAATAGAAACTATTTGAGGTTTCAATCCAACTGAAGGCTTTTCGATATCTAAAAGTAATACCCCTTTGGCTTTTTTTTTTCATTTAAGACTTTCGTACGTTTTTCTGTTAGACTTACTAGTTTTTACGTGGCAGAATGTCTTCTTTGAAAGCTAAATTTTTAAATAAGAATTTTTAAAACGGTCTAGCTCTCACTAAATATATATGTTTGTACCCGATACGTTTCTAGCAATTGTGAAAGAGGTGGCCATATAACAGCGACTTTATACATATGATTTTTGTACGTGGTCTGTCCAACTTAATTTATACCACAAATTTATTATACACTATTTATTTATTTATATATATATTTCTAAACCATTTTTATCCCTGTATAACACTAACAGCATTGCATACAATTAGCTTAACTTTTTCTTATTATCTATTTTTATTTTACTCTTTACTATAATTTTTTAAATTATAATTTTTTTTTCTCTTTAATTGTTATTGACTTCCACTGACTTATTTATTTTTAGAAAACTTAAATAAAGGAGAACGACGAATGATCCTTTAAGCAGCAGCTAGTTTCTATAATTAAAGTTTTAAAATAAAAATTCAAAAACCAAGGCACAGTTCAGTCATTATAAACTCTATTCTATTTCTTGGCACACCCCAAAGGTACTTAGAAGAAACGAATTAAGAAACGTGTCCCACATGAAACTACTAGCTGTTAAATATATACTTCACGTTCCACAAACCGTTGCATCTACTAGCGTTTTTGGCCAGTTACCTCTTAAATACAGTGTATTTAAAACAAAAACTGAGCTTTTCACCAAAACAAAAACCAAATAGTTAAGGCTTAAAAACAAGAGAGTAAGCCCATAATAATTAGAAAAGAGTACCGGTCAAAATTAAAAGTTTAATAATAAATTTTTAATCAATAAAGCTTAAATAATTAATATGGCATCAAATGTTACCCATCAATATCCGACGGTAATGGAAACATTTTTGACACTAAACAACACAAATATAATACATATGCTCTCCATAAAGACAAGCATCTGAAAAGGCTTTGAGAGGCCTAATTGTTAAACTAGCAGAGTAACTTATTAAATAAGAGTTACAGAAACAAGATTTTTACATCTTATAGTGGTCACTAGAAGGAAAAAAGGCTCCCTAATGATATAATTACCCCTTGTACTTGTAAAACTGCCTAAAACAGCAAAACATGTATAATATTACATATGTATGTGGACTTATCAATCCTTGTAATAAATAAACTTTATCAGTCAGTATTTTAGATGCAAACTTTAGGGGCACATACAGAAAACTGTAAAGCTGAGCCCAATTGTCTAAAGTGCGGAACACTTTTTTCTAGGCTGCCCACATTTTAAATACAAGCCTTGTGTTTGTGTCAACTGTAAAGACAAATTATTGTAGTGGTATAGCTAATATAAACAGTTTAAAAATTTAGAATATGACATTACCCCTATATTGAAAGTTTCTCCCACTAATACTTACTTTTTTTAAGATGACCAAGCCAACACCGAGATTTTTTTACCTTCCAACACTCCTGTTCAGCCAACCATGACCTCATTAATTACGTCATCGTATACCACGCATGAAATTTGAAAGGTATTTAGCAAATTACTCGTTCATAAAATCAATCCTAATTTTATGCCCGTAAAACTTATTCCAGCTCCAAGAAAGATGACCCCTTACAACATCTACAGTCTGCGTAAAAATAAGTCTTTTGGAAAACTAATGGCCTCTATACTAAAACTTCGACATTTCCTAGCAAAATTATAGCTTACAGATCAACATTGCATTGATTGGCAAAACTCGCCCCCAGCTTTGTCACATAGGATAAAAAGAGGGTGGCACGGCCATTATAAATACAATTACTCCTGAGAATATATCGCTTTAATTCTTTAACAAAGAACCTTGAAGCAAATGGTATGCTATATCCATCCGGTCTTTAAGGAAAGTACATATAATATCAGCCTATAAACCTCCCGACTTAAATAGCTGATTTAGATACCATTATATTAAAATTTTGGAATTTGTGATAGCTGCCGGTGACTTTACTGCGAAAACATCCTTTTTGGAGTAGGAAGTCTACCAATACGGATGACTGGCCCCTCGCAACTATGCTATCCTAAGACCTAGCTGAATATTCTGCTGATATAGATTTAACTTGAAAATATTTCTCCACACTACTCTTTTACAACTTATCACACTTTATTATTCGATTACAACTCCGTTGTTTTAAAAAATTCCTCTGTTCTTGCAGCTTACAAGCTCTTAATTCATATTAACTATAACAAATTAAGTTACGATTTAAAGAGAAGGGTTTTATACCCTATAAAATTTTCAATGCCATGTTAACGTTGTTAATATAATCGAATAGTTAAATTTGGTCTAATTATATTGATGGTTACTACTAAATGTATCGCTTGTTAAATAAGGAAACAAAAATGTAGGTACTATAAAAACCATTACTCCTCTCGATAAATTTTTTCTTTATAAGCTTAATAAGAAAGTCAAGTTTGCATTCAACTCGTATTAAACAACCTTTAGGAATATAAACCCGCGTTAGTCAAAAGCAAGAGCTTCTGTTCTTTGCTCTATTTACTATATATCAGCTCTCCGTATCGTTGAATGTTCTAGGAGTAACTTTAATCGTAATAGAGCAACAGGTCAGGCCCTGGGGGATGGTGAGAACGGCTCTTGACCGAATGTGAACAATTGTTTTTACTGTACAAGATGACGGCTTAAAATTTTCGACATCCTTAATAAGTATGGCTCTATCATATTTGTTAGATGGAAAATTTCTGTTGAAATACGCATTCTTTGCTCAGGTGTTGCGAAGGGTTTAACTCTATTTATACGTTCTTTTCAATCTAGCTTTCCACGCCACCCGAACCCGTTAAACTCGTACTTTCTGCAGATTAGGTAGCATTGTATATTTATCTCTTAAAGTAACCAGTTAGTTCACTCTCGATTACGGAGTTATCTTTTAAATATATAGAAAAATGGAATAATATCTGGAAACCTAATTAAAAAGTAGAAAACGCAAGCCACCAAATAAAGGGTTGCTTATCTACCACAATGAAGTTCCCTAGTGTTTTGCAGTCAAGTATCTTGGGGAGGAAATTGACATGAAACCAAATTGTGTACATGTCTACGCTAATAAGCCATTTTGGTACCAAAACAAGATTTATATTTATAAAGATCAATACTGCTTTATGGTTCCCCCTATGGGGGTTACTTCCACACAAAGTTACTTTTCAAATCTGCAGGTTTATTAAATAAATTGCATTGGTAGAGCATTCGACTCTAACAAAAGTTGTATACGTATTTATCGACCGAGGATGTGAGTTGTCACCTTGGCTCAGTGGTTAGAGCATAGTCGCGCAATCTCAAGGACGCGGGTTCGTCGGTGCCAACTCGCACTTTCTGATCAGGTGGTGGTTAAGTGTACAACGCCCCTACAAACAGAAATTCTGATAGACTCCTAACCCAAGCAAGAAAGTGGGGGGCGGCCCACCTTTAAAAGATCAGAAATTATTGAAGGTATCGAGTTCTAGCAGCAAATTTACAAACTCTTCATGGTTTGTGTCAGATATCCATCTACATCGTGATCTGTAGTTCCCTACGAAAAAGAAATATACCATCGATTGATGAGAAAACTTTAGCTAAAATAAGTATACACCAGAACTTTCTGTATCAGAAGTCTGTATGACCCTGAAGAATATAGGTCTTTGGCGATAGTTATCAAGCTGAGCCTCATGAAGGGTCTCCTTCAGGGATACTTAGTTACCAAATTTGAATAACATACACAGGAGGAGGAGGCACAAAAATGCACAGCTGGCTTGATTGCATGTCGCTATCACAATAGAGAAATATATTCTGGTAAACTCCATAAAAATTTTCGAAATGGAAAACTAAATAGAAATAAAAATGGCTTCATCGATAAGGGACTAAAGTAGCTTTGAGCCCCTTAACTTTTAAAAAATAGTAAATGCCAATATTAAAACACATTTATTAATATTTCAATTAATAAAATTAAAATTAGAAACTATTTATTTTCTAGCACCTGTGTACAACAGGTTTAGAAGTATAACTATTAAAAAAGCACCAGGAGACTGTGAAAAATAAGAAATCTTTTTAAGCGATAGCTTTTGTTAAAATTTTTTTTAATATAAATACAAAATCAATTAGGTTAGTAAATTGCGGAATAATTATTTTAAAAGTTTTTACCTTAGTCTCCGGCTAAAAATAAAACTACAAAAGTGATGTACTGGAAGAATAAAGAGTCAGTATCGATGTTGTATGTTTTTATAATGTGTTTTGGTTCTTAGAAGAGTAATTTAAGTATATATGACTTTACAAATCAATTAGTAGAAAGGAAAGAGTGCTTAAAACAACTAAATAAATATAAACATAAAATTGCAGAAACGGGTTTAAAGAAAAATTTACTTTCAATTAATTATTAAAATTGTCATTATAACAGTAATTAAGATAAAATGTTATAGCAATACGTTACATTGTGCGAAACGGACACCGGCAAACTATAACTCGCTTTTTTTTTGTCGCCCTAAAGACGACAACACTTGAGGAATCCTCTAAAATGCTCCAGCTATAAACCCGGTGTGTAGTTGTCATAATGGAAGGATCTGCAAACTTAAATAACAAATGCGATTCTTACTTTAAAATGAATTTACTACCTTACGAGGTCGAAGTATTAAATTATTTATTAGAGCAAAATGCACTGCTTATATTTGCTAGAGGTCATAATTAAAGCACCTTTTATACTGTTAAATATTATACTTTACTTGTTATAGGCCTGGGTTCTCATAGAATACTCCGTCCTCTTCTCTCTGTGTATTGCGATCCCAATATATTAGTTTTTATACTTGGCCTTAACAATGAAGTTTTTTACAAGTTTATTTCAATTTACAATTTTCTGCCTTAAAATTATTTTAGGAAAGAAGATTATTAATTGAAGATTTGGCGTTAACAATAAATTTAAAAAAATTACCAACAGTTATTACTAATGAGACACTTTCTGTAGAACGGTCAGTGTACCCTCTATTTTAAACGTTATCATCTACCTATTATTTGCTTTTAAAGGGAACGCTTGTACTTAGAAGCAGGTGTAATATTTATTACCTCACAAATTTTAGTAGTAGATATTTTACAAAATCGAGTTCCTGTAGAAAAAATATCTGGCTTTATAGTGGCACACGCTGAGCGGTTTTAACTTGATAACTATTTCTTGTGCCACGTTTAACTTCTATAGTATTCTAAAGAATTAATGAAAAGTCAAGAGAAGGTTTCATTCTTCGTCTTTTTCGGGAAAAAAATAATGTATTTCGTTTAGAAATTATTTTTTAATCTTTTTGCAACTATTTTCAAAGACTTTTTACTGTTAACGAAATTATACAAAACTTTGTAAAGCAACCATTTTTCCCTAAAGGTGGGATTTGTCAAAGCCGTCTCCGAATATCCGGAGGCTTTTTCAAAAGGTTTTTCCGCAGCCCAGCGGATAATGAAATGTCTTTATATAAACAAGTTACACATACGTCCGAGGTTTTCGTTCATCTTATTGATCAATATTAAATGACTTAACGATAAAATTAAATCAAACCCCAATTATAAATGTTTTTACAAAAAATTCTATTACTTTGGACTATTTAAAATTTTTTAAATAAGAAAAAATTATATGTTTTAGAAAGTATAAATAAAAAGTTTGATTCAAAAAATATAATTGACATTTTGAAAAATTTTAATCTTTTTATTTCTAAAAAAATACAATAAAATTTTTTATATTTTTTGTTGTTATGGTTAAATTTGCAACGTGGTTGATAGTAGATGAATTATAAATTAATTTTTGACAAGTAGGTAGAGTCCTTGGGGACAAGCTTATATATATCCTAGATTTGAATTTTTTTAAAGTTGTTCTATTACTTTTAATTTTTTTAAATCTTTATTTATGTTTCTTTCATTAGTTATACTTATTAAGTATGTTTATACAAATTATCGTAAAAAATTTTTTAAAAAATCAAGGCTAACATAAATATATATTTTCTGTTAATGACTATACTAAATTTATGTTTTATTTTTCTTTGAACTTTTTCCAGATTCTTTTCTGCAAACAAAATTTAGTTGTCTTTTGCTTTATTTCTATACTTTTTTAATTTTTAATGAAAAAATGTGTTTATATATTTTCTTTCTATTTTATACTTGCGCAGGTTTTACGTGAGCATCAAAGACTTTCTAAAAACCAGCGAGCCGGAAGTAGTGGAACTTAAGATTCGCTTTACCGAAGTGATTTCATATTATCATTATTAACTTTTTTCGTTGTACTTATAATTAAATTTTCTTTTATTAAACTCAGTATGAAAAAAATTAGGGAAACTTTTTAGTTGTCATTTTTAACTTTTTTTAATTAAAATTTTTCTATTATTTTGGCTAATTTGTTAGCCACGCGCGTCCATTAATTAGCATGCCATGGATATAAATAGGGGTAGCACAACCCCGCCGGAGGGGACTTAATATGTTCTGCTCTGTTTCCTGCGTGGAACGTGTTGTGGTATAGAGGGGCAGCCTAATTACCGTGTGATATATATAATTAATCTAATAAGTTTATTTATACACTTATTCCTGCCTTGGGTATAAATACATATGTTTTTATAGCCACTACCCGATTAGCGCCACTCTAGCAATAACAAATTTAAATTTTCAGTTCTCAAATATTATATTCTTTGATTATATTTTATAAATGTTTATTAATATTATCAGCACTTATTAGTTTCAAATTTTTTATATTATTTCTTATATTATAGTTACTTTTTTAGTATAATTTTCTGATTTTATTATTTTTTGTTTATTTTTGAAATTTCTAGAGCATGTTAAATATTCAAGAGTGCATAATGGAGTTACTTGACTTGTGCGTGCGTGAACTGAAGAGGATTAATCCTTCAGTAGCTATTTTTTTAAGTTTGTAAATTAACTAAATTTTGCCAAAGATGAGATTATAACTTCTGTTAAAGAAAAAAAAATTGTTAATATTGTTATCGGATGAAAGGTTTTTTTTCATTTTTTATAAAGTTGACGTTAGATTCGTCGTACTCTGAGGAAGTTGCGTTAAGTTCTCTGCACCATTCTCTTCTTCACCAATTAAGAGGCGTCTGGCACCAGACATCTTTTAAAACCAAGTCCCTAATCAGAGACGTGAATGAACTATCGGATCTTCTCAAGTCTCTGCTTTGTTTTTCATCTGCATTTCCTGTAACTTTTTTTCAAATACGAACAGCTATTTAAGCGAGTACGACTGTGTTACTTTCTGTCACTATTTGGATTCTCTACGGGCGTCCGCCAACGCAGAGAACTTTACTGACGCTGAAAAGAATTTGTGGCTCATGCTCGACCCAACCAACACGCTGTTTCAGGTCTACTGCTTGCGCCGTTGGGCTCGTCTCTGCTCTGCGTTCCTAATATAACCAATAGCAAGCAAAAAAGCGCGTGTATACGAAAATAGACCAAAACAAAACTCTAGCCTCCGAGTAACTGGGTGTAGAGCGCTATCGTTACGCAGATTGCTAGTATTTATTATTTTTCAGTAATATATATTTCCACTTGGAAGAGAATCCGAAGTGGAAGTTACTAAAAGAAGTATTATTGGAGATCCAAAGCGGTTTGCCCCATCGTTTGTTTCCGTGCTTGTGTATGGTTATGGTTGCAGCAGACATGGACGCCTGTCCAAGTTTTAGAGGAAACGTGCTGATCTTTGCTAAAAATGAAAATACTTGCACCCAAATCAGAAACTTTTTGTTGGTTGGAGGTTTCCTCTCTCTTGTAAGCTGGTCTCCCACGCGTTGATCCCGTTGCACCCGTTGCACTCAGGGAAGAAGATGCTGATGACTCTCTACAAGCAGTACATTCAGTGCAAACCCGCCTTGTCCAATCTGAACAGTTCTCCGTCCGAGAGCCGTATGAGCCGTGCTATTTTTGCGTAGTTATTGTTTTCTTATTGACTCTTTTTGTTGCTAAGAGGGACCCGCAAAGAAACAGGTTCACGGCTTCCATCTGAAAAAGGTTGATCTGCTTGCCACAGGGGGGATGCACGTGGTATCGGTTTCTTACTTCCAGAGGCTGCAGCGTCGCAGAGCCCTGTTGGCTAGGGACACTGCCCCCGGCGCGTGGGAGGTAGGGCGGTACTATTGTAGATGGGCCAATCATCTGAAACCACTCGAACCATGCAGAATGTCGTGAGTGGCCAAAAAAAAGCTGAGGATTTTCCCAATGAAGATGTCTTTAGATTACTGCCGTCACTCCACATAGTAATGCAACTTCATTGGCTGCTCTGCTTCTTAGTAGCAAAATATGCTTTTTCTGAAGACCTTTAGGAGCATTGAATCTCTCGGTGGGCCACACGCCATGGAGCGTTTATTATTTGTTCGTTTTTGAACTATTTTTCACGTTTATACTTGCACTCTTATAAACTCGGAAACGGTTGAGCCCTTCTCTAAAACAACCCAATTTTCAGACTTATATGTTTACTTTAAAGGCATATAATACGTAAAGCAATTCAAGTTGTCTTTATTATTCCTTAGAAAAATTCATAACTTCTAATATTTGTATCGTCGTACTGTTAATGTATACATTCTAAAAGTAATATTTATTTTTCAAGGAACTGAAACCAACGTTTATAATATTTTACAACGCCAATCTTTCTCTTACGAGGCAGACAGAGGCAGACATAATATACTTTTTCTTACTGGTGCTCCGTGTGTTTACCAACGCTGTCCTACGAGGTTTATAAAGCCGTCCATTCCGAGCTTCCTCTCCGCGTCTACTTTTTATTTTATGAACCTTCCATTGAAGAGCGGCGGTACTGCTCATATCCTATTGGTTCTATAACGATTGGCATTGCGTTTTTTTAGATATCTAAACTCGATTAAGCGAGAAAAAGATTCTATGAGCACACTCATTAGAGAAAAGGCCGTACGTCCGCCACTTCTCCGCCAATGCCATGTTTGTCTGACCTAATTCTGAATAGATCATGGTGCTTCCGGACGACCCTCCCGGCAGTGTCGATGACTCCCAAGAGGAGTTTACGGGTTACAGTTTGGGGCGTAGGGCAGGTCTCTCCTATTGGCAATCGCCGATTTTGATTTATTAACCTTTTTTTATAGGCCGTCATAAAATAGAGAAGGTCCAGAAAATTATTGTAGATGTCCGCGAGTTTCGCAGTCAACTTCCCCAACTTCTCAGTGCCAAGGGAATAAAACTCGAGCCAGCAACTTTAGAAGTCTTTGACTTGCATATATATCATTAAGTTGGGTTATATATTTAATGAAGGTTGGGGATTACATTCTGAGTCCCGAAATATGCGTAGAGCGAAAAACAGTGGTTGACTTGATCCAATCGTTGAATTCTGGAAGGCTGTAAGCGTTGCACTTCTTAGCATACGCTGAGAGTCAGCCCATAAGCTCAATCTAACTTATAGATACAGTCAGTGCGTGTCCATGACCAACTCCTACAAGATGCCCGTTCTACTTATCGAATTTGACGAGGAAAAGTTTTTTTCTTTGCAGGTTTTACGCTTTATAGTAAAAAAACAATTTTTTGATGCTCGTATTGGTGATGAAGTCGAAAAATGACTTTTCGGGAAACATAAATTTTAACCACGTGGTCTCGAAGCTTGCGCTTTTGACAATCCACTTTCCCCGTTTACGACTGCTGTGGTGTTCCAACCCACACAACGCTGCAGAAGTCTTCCAAAAGTTCAAGGTCAGTTTTCTGTATATTATTTATTTATTTATTACTTTTATTATTTATCTGTAATGATAATGTTTAGGTTAATTTCAACCAACCGAACAAAGAAGAAGCCGTTACAAAAGGTATTATGGGGCCTCAAGTAGATGAATGTTTGTACAGTTGGAAGGCACAGGTCCTGCAAAGTTACAGTTTCTCTGTCTTTGGGCTTTGACACTTTTCTTAAAAGAACTTACTAAGGTGCATGGCGGGCATTACAGCTCAAAATATACACCATGTGATGAATAAAGTTAAAAATATTCGCGATCTCGTAAATCTCTCATTAGAGGACATGAAAGTATGAAGGCGATTTGATCGATTACTTTATTCGACAATAACATTTTACTTGTTAGAAACTTATTGGACCAGCGGGTGTTTATCTGTACGACTTCTGCAATAAAGCAAACTAAACACGGAATGTTGCATAGTAATACTTGCTCCAGCGGCGCTGTATATGGCGTTAATAAATGATTTTTGGCGACTTATGTAAGAATTATTTTCAAGCTACCAATTTATTTAGTATTTAAGTAACGACTAAGTGCGTTCGTCTTCCTCGTCGAGTTGAGCGTACTCGACTTTGCAGCTCTCTTTAACTTTTACTAAAGAAAGCAATTGATCAGCCGTCGTTGATGCTTCGCTTAATTCTATTAATATTAATATTAATATAAATATTAATATTAATATTGTTACCACTATCATCTTACCGTTAAACAAAGAAAAAATATACTTGTTAGGAGCTTCCCCTCCACTAATTTCATCGCTTATGGGATACTCTCCATTTTCCAAAAAGGACTATATTTATAAAAATGTATTAATAAATAAATTAGATAACTCAGCTTAATAAAAGTTTATTACTACCAGATAATAGTAAACTTATATCCGATACAAAAGGTTTAAAATCTTAATAGTTTGATTCGGATTACAAGTTTCTAACTTTGGAACGCTATATATAATTTAATAATAATATTGGGTGAAAGGGGAAAAAAATGAAAGTAATTTTTTTTTATCAAAATCTAAAGTTTAAATTAATTTTTTTTCTAAATTAGAAATTTTTAAGTTAATTTTAGAATGAAAGCCAGATATTCTAATATTTAAATTGCCGACTTTATTATTAAGTTTTACTTACATATATAATACATTCCTCTTAAAAGTTTTACCGAAATTAATAAATTTTACTTTGGAAAAAATCTTTGTTGAATAAACTTTTTTGGCATCGCAACTACAGCTAAAAAGCTCTAAAGGTTATTTTTTTGCGCTTTTGTGTTTCTAAAAACCTTTAAAGTAGCAAAGTGGTCGTTAAATTAATAAATACTTAAATCAATTTTATAATTACTTTTAATAAAAATTCAGGAATAGTCAGTTCTCTGTTGCCGCAAAATTAATTCAGTTCTTTTTTTAAAAAAAAATGCTACTGTGTTCCTAAAATAACCACGACGAACCATTAAAAATTCACTCAGAGAATCCAAAAATAATAATAGTTTATCGCAAACATTCTTAAGAGTTTTTTCTTTCTTTAACAACAGTTCTGAAGTAATTTCAGGGCGAATTATAGATTCCTATTCATAATAAAACTAAGTCGGCACATCATGGAAATATAAGACATTAACTAAAAAAAGAATACAAACCCTGAATACATAATAATTCTATAGTGCGTTTTCGCAAAGTAATACTAAAGCTAGTTACACACTTACTACTGCTTACAAAAGCCTTAAGAAACATTTGAAATTTAGCAAGCACGCAATTAAATGGCTATGTAAACTTTTTTTATAGCTAACAATAGTTTTTAATTCACTATACGTTTATAATATTTCTTGACATTGGCAATTAACTTTAAGAATATTAGATATTAAGTGCAATATGTAGTGGTTTTACGGCGATACGTTTCCTGTATTTCCGATCATTTTGCTTAAAAAAGTAGTTTACAAGAGGTAAAATAGAAGGTCTTTTCTCCTTTGAAAAAAGAAGAAAGTATAATAAACTCTAAATTATTGAAAACCCGAAGTGAAAGTTATAAAAACATTTTTTAAGCATACTTCTTACTGAAAAAGAAAGTTCCTTTAAATAAAAGAAAAACTTATTCGGCTCAAGAAATTTTTTAGATTCCTCACAGCGACCGTAAATTTGCTTAAGAAGTTCTGTGACCTTTATAAAAATAAATTTACCTTTAAAGTAAAAACTAACGACCTAATATAAAGAGAGTTTATAATTAAATCTTCTAAGTGATACCTGAAAAAAATATTTGTGCTCCATATTTTTCAGTATACAACGAGAGCAGGCAATATTTATAAGAATATCCTGACACGCAGCTCTATCATGTTTCTTTACAATGTCTACCGATTTTTAAAGCTGAGACATGTTTTGAGGTAAATGTGTTCTAAACGTGGAAGTTACCTGATAAAGGTAGCTCAAAGCCTCCACGTAAGCAAAATAAGTTAACAGCCTGTTGTAGAATACATATTTCTTTAGAATAACTTCTTTTTTGCATTATAAAACCCTCTTTTGAGTGTATGACAACATAGTAAAGGTAAAGGTGGCCGTATCAATTGCTATCCGAGCAAACTTAAAAGGCTGCGTGTTATTGCGCGTGCTAAAGCTTACGAAGCAACGTGCCATAAAAATTTGCTATGTATGCAAACGTAGCCAAAGCATCACGAAACTAAGTACAAAAATCTATTATATTAATCTGGAGCGGAAATAAACTTTTTTTACTACTTTATTGCGCTGTAACCTCTGCTGAAGAAGACTGAAGTTGCGCCAAACTACTTATATATGTAAAAAGTATCAATTAATTAGTGCATAACGTTTTTTATCGAGTTCTTTCTATTGTTTTTACTTACACTCTTTTGTTAATTGTTGAGAAAGGAGGAATATGGCTTTAAGTAAAACAAATAGAGTACAAGTATTTGATATTTTGGAGACCTCAGACAGAATAATTTAACTTATTTAATTAATTCCAACTACACATACAAGCCAGTATCTTACCTGCGCCACCACCACTCTACCCCTCCTTTATAAATATTTTTTAATAAATATATTGTTATAACTTAAAAACCGAAAGGGTTCTAGTTATTAGAAAGTTCGTCGTTTTTAATATTATACTTACGAACATCTATTACCCCAACATACAGTAATTAGCTTCATTTAAGAAATTTGGAAATTTAATTTTGACACAAGGAGGATTCAACATATACTAAAACATCGCCATTTTCTTTGCTTTTCGAGGGATTCCATGAAAGATCGAAAAAGGGAGTTTCGCCGGGGGAAACTGACCCGCGATTTTGAGTTTACTCGTCAGTATTCTTAACTGCTGTGCTACTTTGACAACTTGCCTGTTAAGTGTTTATAATGCGGAAGTTTTATTAACATATATATAATTTTACATATTAACCTGTCAAGTAATCTTTATTGTGCTTATTTTAGTTACTATTTATAGTGTTGACACAGATAGAACACTAATGAAGTTAGATTAGCAGACTTGTTGAAATATGTGGTGAACGTCCAACGTGATAAAAAATTATTTTTTTTGTTAAATCTTAGGTGTGAGAAATATGCAAAGGGGAATAATCCAAAAATATTAAGATACAAAACGGACCTAAAAAATTTCATCGAGGAATAACTTTGTTAGAGACAAGTGTCGAAATTTTTATTTATTGCACCTCGGTAATAAGTGAAAGTTATCATAAAACTATAAATTTGTTTTAAAATTTTTAATAAATTAGAATTTAAACCTTCTATCCGATATGTTTCTAAGGTTTTTGATCAGTTTTATCAATAGGAGAAAGTGTTTTTGTTTAGATAGCTGTATAGTAAATAGTCTAACTTTGTAGATAATTAGTGTAGTTTCTGTAAAGTTATAGCGCTAAAAAAGTTATAACTGCTCTATAATCTTCGCTACTGCTCAGAGGATTGGAGTTAATAATTTTTAGTTCTTAAGTAAATACAAAACTAAACACCTCTTTTACTAATCAATTTCTTAAAAGTGATATTTTGTCCTTTGCCTCTTCTATCTGTATAAAGTCATAACCATAAGAATCTTTAAGACTGGTGCCGCTATCTATTAGTTCTAGCCCCTTAAGACCAGAATAACAGTGGCGTCAGTATTACAAGATATAAGGCCCTGCAGACCGTAACCGAAAAGCACTCAAAGAATGCAAAACAAAAGAACGACCACGCGAATAGAGTCGTTATGGGTAGTTTTTTCTTTTAAATGGTACAACTATTTTATTCAAACAAATAGAATAATCTAGAAAAACTTTAAGCAGAATTTCGGAAATGTTTTAACATCAGACACAATTTAGTCTCCCCCCTCCGCATAATAACGCTAATGTTTAATGGCGTTCCTAGATGGGTCAATTGGCAATTAAAACAATTATGATCTCCTCAACTTTGCGCTCTGTGTAGATCATCTTTTTTTTACAGAATTTACTGCAATAGCAAGAAGTATGTTCTTTGTAAATTTACTTAAAGCCAATTCCTGGCCCGACTAGTACCAGCGCCTTCCCGTCTGTAATGATGAGGATAGGTTATTATATCTTTTCAGGTGCTCCCAACACAGTCAAAAGGATATATATTGCGTCCGTACGCATTCGCTCATAACTTCTTACTTCCCTCCACAGTTACTGCTTGCTCAAATATGAACCAGACTTAAAGAGATTCTTGCGTCTACATCGGTGTTTTCTTTTATTATCATCTAAAGTCCCGTGAGGATAACCATCTTTGCAGCCTATGTATAATCGCTATAGCTAAAAGGGCACACGGCTCGCACCTTTCTTGTACTTAAAAGCTCAAGTCCCGTTATGAGATTTTCTGCTTTTATCAATTAGCTTATGACACGTATTGGGCATCACTGAATAAAGTAATTAAATCATTTAGATAAACTTAATTTAGATAAAGTTATCAACTAAATATATACTCTGTTGCCAGTAAGTTGCAATCTAAAAGCAAGCAAGGAAATTTTTTATTAAAGATACGGAGCTCCTCTAACCGAACTATAAATTATCATGATCACAAAAAATTCTAGGAAAGCTGCTGTAGTCCACAGCAACTCCATTATATGAGCATAATTTGCTGGTAAAGGTGATAACGTTTTGGTAGATAAGACGAGAGCAGCAGTGAAACTGTTGGGAAGGCGGTGTAATTGACCTATCAAGGCATGAAAGTTTTTACATAGAAAGGAAATATGTTAGCAGAAAACTGACAGATTCGTATAAGGAAAGGCATCTTTGAATGCATCGGGCTCGATGACCGCTAATGAGTTTTCAGTTAAATCTCTTAGAAATGTGAAATAAGTAGAAAATATGAATAAGAAATATAAATAAAATAGAGCAATTTTTTTTTAAACTTACAAGTAAGTTAGTTTTGTAAGCTCCGTAAAAGAATTTTTTGCAATAAGTGTGATGGAGTTAGAGCCCAAAAATCTAACGTAACGAAAAATTTTAAAAAATTAAAGACAAAAAAAACTTTAGTGAATAACTACACTTTAGTATAACATTTTAATATACGTTTAAACCAAAAACTTACAACATTTGCAGGTTAACAAGATCTTTAAACATATTAGCGTCAACGGAATTTAGACGGTTGTTGGACAGCCGCCTTTAAAGTTTTGATAGTTGAAAGTTTTTTTTAATAAATTTTGCGGCTTACAAAAAGGCTAATAGTGGTAGCCCTCTAAAGGCGCTTTCGCTAATTGAAAATATCTTGTTTCTGCCGATTGATCTGTAGAAACATTAAATAAAAGCCTCGACGACTACTTTTGCACACAAACTTTTCACTTTGTTATTTCTTTTATATATACTACCAGTTCTTTTCTTACAAATAACTTAGATTTTCGAGTCCCCTAAAAGAATTTCCTCGTAACTCCGTAAGCTCGTTTTCAAATAACCACCTAAACAGCAAAATTCTTTTTAAAAAGACAACTATCGAACTCTAAAAACGTACAAAGCTTTCAATTCCTTTAATTCCTCAAAAAAACTTTCAGGAATTACTTTAATCCCGTTATTGTTAAGCGATCTATATAGCTAATTAAGTTATGAATCATGAAATAGCCTAATATTAATGGAACTAACAAGTACTGAAGACTACTCAACCCTTTAAAAAAGTCGTTATTTAGAAATACGAGCCTGTTGTGGCTTAAATCTCTAAATAGATAAAAAAAAAAAAAAAAAAAAAAAAATGCAAATTTAATTAAAATGTGGAAAGAAATAATTTTATTCATGACGCACAATAACATTAATAAAACTTACAAATAAGTAAGTTTTTCTAGCCCGTGAAAGAGACCTGACTCAAGGGTAAATAGCTCGTTGTAGCTCAGATCTCTACAAATTATACTTAAACAATATATCTCACTTTTTCTTCAATTTTTCCTTACAAATATTTCAATTCCTTAACTTTTTCAAAAGCTGCCGCCGCTATGAAACGAATACTGTTCTCTTGCAAGTATCTTTGCGAAAGGTAAAGTCAAACTTAAGTCATAACTTAAAAAGGTTTATTAAATATATAATCTTTAAGGTGAATTTATCGCGAAAAAAAACTATTTGATAATGAAACGAACTCTCAGCTAACACAAAACTATTATGATATAATAGGTGAGGCAATAACTTTGTTAAACCTTTTCTGAATTAAACTCAATTACACTACTTTTTTTCAAAGCAATTTTTTCTTCTATTCAGAAGGTAATAAAACTCGAGGTCATAACTTCAGAACTTCTTTAAAAAGAATTATTATCTACTTTTATGCGGTTGAAAAATTCTCGTGCCCACAACATATTTAGGTGTGCACTGGCACTGTTGTAAAGATGCAAGCTAAAATTTTATGGGCTAATACATATGGAATGTGAAAAACGGAAGGATTTTAAACAATAGAGGAGCCTTTTTGACAAGTCACGTGTCGGAAATAGTTAATTTTTGGTTCAAAGTCTTTGGACATCGTGAAATATAATCGCGTATAGAAATCAATTTTGTAACTTTTAAGGGCATTTTGAAACTACTGTTTATTTTAACAATTTAAATTTTTAAAAAGGATACATTTTCTCTTTTTTTTAACAGCAGCGCTTGTTTTTTACTAAATATCCACATTAATATCTTTATTTAGACTAAAAAATTCAATTATTTGTATTTTATAATCTACAGAAAAAATAAATTTACGCACCAAATTTTAAATTAGAAAACTTATTATCTATTCCATGATAATATATTAGTAAAGTTAATACAGCTGCAACGTTCATACTAGTCATGTGATAGTTTTAATTATTGTCTGTTTATATAAGTATTTTTTTATAAAAACTGACTTTTTATTTTTATCTTCTTACTAAACCTTAAAGCAATGAAGTACTGTATAACTAATCTATTCCCAATTCTTGATATGCCTCGTGCTCTTAAAAATTTTTACTGTTCACAGGCAAACAAGCTTATAACAAATTTATACTTACAGCGCGGTTAAAGAAGTAAGACCACGGAATGTATACTTTGGGATTTCTAAAATTGCGTTGTGGTTAAGTTTTCTATTAAATATATATTTATATATTATCTTCGTTAGTTTTTATAGAACTCACAAAGTTGTCAATTTGGAAGATAGATGTCGTGCAGGAGGCACCTCATTCAAAGAACATATTGATAAATCTCTGTTATTGAGAATATGTTTCATTCAGTTGTGATGAAAATATATTTTATTATATTTTTAATAAAGACAGAGAATCATCTATTTATGCTATAACTAAAAATAGTTAAAAAGTTAAATGCTCTCCTATTTTAAATTCTTAGTTTGAAGAAAAACGTACAAGTTACTAATAGAATATGGTTCATCACATCTGTTTTGAGAGATTATTCGCCTCTCATTCAAAGTTAGAAGAAATAAGAAAATGAATACACTGAAGTGCATGCTAGTTGCGGTGAGTACACTAATTAAGTTTACAGTTTCAATTAACACACTTAAATACAGAAAACTTGCGTTTTTTATTCGGATGCGCTCTATAATTAATCTAGTCAAAAAATTTAATTTAACCACCAGTCATTAGTTAAGTAATTAACAACCTCTATAAAGAAGGTTGTACCTCCTATATCTGCTCAACTTTAAGTTGTTATTATATACCCTAAAATTAGATAACTAAAAATAAATTAAAACTAATTTACTAAAAGGTACCTAAAAGGGCTTGCGAAGCTAATTAATATAATATTTATAATAAACTGTATGAGTATAAATAGCATTACATAATATTCTAAATTTAGATAATCCTTTGGGTGGCTAAGATTGACACCATGTGTAAAAGTTGAGTTTTACATTTTTATTTGTTGGGCAGATCATGTCGAACTGTACCCCTATTGCGGATTAATCGCACTCTACTGTGGGCTCTCTCTTAAGGAGTTGTGGTTAACTCCGACAGGTTACTCTACCTCGATCATACTATAACGTTTGAATTTGTATGTTCCTTAAATAATATTGAGAGCAATATATTTATAAAAAGCTACTTCAAATTTACAACTTCTAAAAACAATGGTAACTAGGGTTATCCTGGCAGGAGCTACAAATAAGTTTACTAATAAGTGTATATTCAAAATAAATGAGTTTTTTAATTGCAATACAAATGAAAAAGTGCAGGCAAATATTTTTTAAATATAAACTATTTTTTATTTATAATGTTGTGCCAAACTTTTAATACAAAGCAACCACGAACCTCTCCCACTTCCCCCCCTCCCACCAGGAATGGGAAAAGAAGGAATAATATCTGCATAAAAAAATATGACCAAGGTTAAAACTTAAAAAATAGACAGGTATTAAAAAACGAATGTTAAGTTTTTTTTAAAAGGTCGCAGTTGATTACGTAATTTTTATTAATAAACTTTATCATCACAAGTTGGGTCATTCATAAGAATATGCGTTGTCCAAATGCGGTTTATTAATGAATATTATTAAAATAATTTTTTATTTTTTAAAGAATTTTGGTGAACTTTTTTTAAGAGCATATATGTCTAAATAAATTTAAAACATTAAAGTTTAGTTTAAAGTTTGTTAAGCCTAGCTGTATGGTAAGATTTACTTACAGCGCGCAGTTAAAATATAGACTCTCTGCGCAACCGAGGGTATGCGTTTGCGTTTTTAGTAATTTTAACTGGTAGGTATAATCTATATTTTTTAATTTGCTTTACGTATAAATTGTTTCTTTTAACCCTTTAGAGGTTACTGGTTACTATGTTTACCACTTACCGTTTAGGCTCAATTTGCAAGAGTAGGTCTATGAAACTTGACCGCAAACGACAGGCTCTGTCTCTGAAACAGACTTCAGTAAGTTTGAGTGCCACGTTCTAACGGATTAGGCAGCAACCAACATAAAGAAGTGATATAGTTATCTGAGAACGTAAAACAAATCTTTTTAAAGCCCCAGAGCTTTGCCCGTTAAAGAAATAAACTTAATAAACAACAATTTCATTTCTTTTGTTTTGTGGAGTTCAATCAGTCTATAAAGATGTAAGGATGTTTCAGCTTTATCATCTAGAGAACAATTTTAATAAGTTTTGGTCTATAGGGTGACGGATAGCTGTCAATAACTTTTTATAAGATAGTTTGTTAAAAGCTTAACGTTTGGAGGGCGTAAACTACTAAAAAGTCTAAATGTTTAAAAGAAAATTTTAAACACCATCTCTTTTGATTCCAAATTTCTATTAATATCAAATAGTTTAGTCTAACCTTTTCTTCACAAAGTTCAGAAGTATACAATAAAAATGAAACTTTTTGTAACAAAATAATAAAGCTGTGAGCCTAATAATTTTTTATATCAAACTCATTAATTTTGAATAAAACCCTGTTCTTTGTTGCTAAAAAATTTGGCAGTTAAAATCTAAATGATGCGACGATTAAATACGTTATATATAAAGTTGAATTCGATTATATTAAAACACCATACTATATTAACGGAAATTTTTTTATAGTACCTAACAGAAAGCGCTATTTCCGCGTATTTAATTCTTTGCGGGAGCTCAGCTACTTTACTTAAATTCTGTTTCCACGTAATTCTTAAACTTTCATATCGCTTAATTCTACCTTTTATTTCCTTATCTTTCCTTTCTAGGCACTTAGGCACTTATTACTTTTATAGAAATAATATTATTTTGAAGCAACGATGCCCTTTTAAACAGCAACCTTAAACGGTCAAATGGCCTTAACCGTTTCATAGGCTTTAAAGGAAATGAAAAGGAGGTGCCTGGCTGTTAGTTTATAATAATTTGTATATACCAGTGTAGGGAACTGCAACTATTTGGGTTTAGTAGGGACCCGTCCAAGGGAGCAAAATTTTTATAAACCTGAGAAGTTTTTAGTTTTCAACTTCTAACTATTTTAAACTTCGGGCCTACAGCATACTGATAATGCAAGGTCTATACTGCTTCCGTAGTCACTCAAACTTTAAAAAAAGTTCATTGGATGAAGAAAGCTTGACTGCGTATTTACTAGAAGAAGTGAAAGACAGTGATTGACATCTACAAGCTATTTTGTTCGTAGTAAAGTTTTAATTTTGATGAGATGCTCTAGTAGTTGTATCCTTTGCAAGGCCGTAATAAGGTGACCACAGTTTTCCAAAAGTAACTTGCAACCCGGAACTTGGTACACTTCTAATAGATTCCTATAATTAAGGTTTTTATAATAAACAATCTTAAGAGTTCTATAAAAAGATATTTTAATGAGCTATTGCTAATGGTGTTTTTGTTTCGTTTTTTTGTTCTCTTTTCGTTCAATAATTTTTTTTTAAATACAAAAGACAATCTGAGTTAATTATTCCAGCGCTGGTATTTTATTCCTTATGTCGTAAGTATATTATACATTTTAATGTTTTTTTAACTGTTACTATTAGTCCTTAATTTAACATTTTAAGAGAACGTTTATATGTTATTTATTTTAAAAACTTTAATCATAGGAATTTACAGGAAGTAGTGTCATCAATTTGCGAGTTCCCTCCTCATAACACGTTTAAAGCTACGCATCGAACCCGTCTCTCTTGCTCTCTTATGTTTTAAGGTTTGCACTGTCAACACTAGGTTTTTTCTTATTTAAGAATTGAGCAACGTTAACTCTTTTTTTTTCTTTTACTACTCCTTGTTAGTCACTTTTATTTTACTTTTATTACCACCAATTTTTCCCTTAACTTCGATTCTTTATTTATAACTTTCTTGCGGTCCTTTACTATCTCCAATACACTAACTCGTTGGAAGTAATCCTCAATAAAAAGCCGAAAAAAAAAATTCCCGAACCCTAAAAATTTGTTATAGTTATCTAACACTTGGTGAAAATGGACTAGTCCCTTCTACATTAAACCTTACTAGAAAAGCTTTACCGTAAAAAGGCTGACCCTTTCTCCTATTCTTGCAAGAAGGGGCTCTTCTCTTAGCCTTAAAAATCAGCGCTACAACTACAAACTCCAGGAACTTGGTAAAAAAATCCCAATTAATTTTTAGCGGCAAAAGTCAGAAAATTAGCAACGCTGCAAAAAAAGATGCAGAAATACCACAGGGATACATGCCCCATATCAAATAACATGACACTAGAAATAGACCAAATAACACGCCAAAATAGCAGCGCTTTATAAAACTATAGCTCTCATAAATGTGTAGTGAAGTTGGATTTCTCGGTAATAACACTATAGTATTGTTCTAGAAGCGCTCGACTATCTCTTCGCACTTAAAAGTAGTATACTTTTTTTATTGCTGAAAAAAGCATGCAAGTCGACAAATTAGAAAGTTATACCTTGAGAGGATGAACTATACAGCAAAAAAGCTCGTCCTTTAAGAAAATCACAACTGCGAATTATGTGGTAGAATAAACACGATAAAAAGGCAAATTATATCTGTAAAAGACAAGAAAAGCAAGAAAAGTAGTCTTAAATTTAACTATCTACCTTCCTGCAACGCGTAAAATTTACAGCCGTTTCCCTCCGTAACCATCATAATAACCTTAAAAAAAAACTAAACGAGATCAAAACAAATAGTTCTATTGGTGGGTTTCTTTTTTGCGGATCCTGTAAAAATCTAGTAATTTAAAAGACTAGTATACGAGTACCCTCGAAACAATTTTGTACGATTTAATATAGTGTTGTAGATAAGTAAATCGGTTTTTAATATATTAACCATTTATAAAGTTAGGTTGTGAGTTAAACGAACTTGAAGAAATTCTATCAGGCTATAAAATGGCGTGACACATAGATAAAGTTTATGATTAATTTGGAACAACATAATGTTTTCATATAATATTTTAAATAAGCACATAAATAAAGCAAATATCTTAATACTAAGACCATCTCCGCTATACAACGTGAGCGATGGTTTAAATGGGCCATTCCAGACTACCCCAAATGCTAGAGGGCAAGTGACTATTTTTGCGTGTCACTATGCTATAAGGTGTAAAAAAATATTTTATGTAGTTAATCTGGTTAATCAAGTATAAGGATACAGCAATGTGAATCCATTGAGTTTTGATAATTATTTGAGTTATATCGTAAAGTAAAAATATTCAATGGTGTGATAAAATAAAGTTACCACCTTAAATTAAAATTTAACTTTTTTAATATAATTTTATTTTTAATTAAAGTAATTGTTTTCAATATTTAGCCCCTATCAAATAATATATTAAGTATACTCCATATATTAAAAAAAATAAACGCCCTGTAGGGTTTTGCTTAACTTAGCTCCCCTCCCTTTGCATATTCACAATTTAATATCCGAAACATCTACGCCCACTCTATTACTGTTAAATATTTTATATTATCAGCACTTGACGCATAGCGTTACAATTAACTCAAAAAAAAAATTTAAATGTAAATTTCGTAATGCACTTTAATTAGGGTAAATACTAGGTTCACTTACTTTCAACCATAGTGCATAGTTTCCATTTAACTTTGCCTTTAAGTTTATTATTTATTTATGGTGCTGACATACATAGTCAAGTATAGCGTTTTAATGTTTGTAGCAAAAAGTTTCAAGTTCAAGTAGCTCACGACTGTTTAGTAACTTGGGGCTTTGCTGTGAAGAGGTGGTCTTTGTTACGGTAACTCGAACTTAAGGCAAGAGGGTTACACCACCGATCCATGTAAATATTAGTCATATTTGTATCTATTTCGTTAAGGGATCACATTAGCTCCAGTGTAACCTCAAAGTAATTCAGTAAACTCTTTTCGTTTATCTCAAATCTTTTGGCGCTATAATTTGATTGCAATAATTAATTGTTGTGAAGCGTAAACTCATTGGACCAATTTTTTCACTTCCTTCAGTGAAGTTAAGTTGTTGTGAGTCATTATAACTTATATAACGTTGGGTATTAAAGAATCATTTCCCGCTTCTTTATTGTATAAAAATTAACCTGTAATTATAAAGTGTAAGCAATATGTAATACCTTTTTATTTAAAAGACTACCCCAAATATGAAGATTTCCATTGCTCTACCTGTTCTTCCAATTTACCAGGTTACTTTTCTGGAGAGAGTTAAAAGCTTACTAACAGTGTTAATACTATATTCTGGTATAAATAATTTATTAGTTTAATAAAGTTCACACAATTGCATTTAAGGGAAAGCTATCAACTACTACATTTCCTCTTGCCTTGCCTGCGGTATCGAGCACCCTTTTCGCCACACCTAATTTAAAACTTTTGCACCACCCGATAACCAGGTAACAAAATTTTTAATGGAATTGTACTTGCGTTAAGATACTCAACCCTTAGCAAAAGCCAAGATATTGTACAGCACCAAGGTCCCCACCATTATGATACTACCCCTTCCGAACATTCCGAAATTATAACGCGTTCCTCTTCTCTACAGTGCGAGATTGTTAAAAGGCCGAAAACTTCCATTTGTCAGCAGTTTCTATGCTTAAATGAAGAATTTTCTGCTACGCCAAATACCAGTGAGTTTAGAAACCTTTCACAAAAACTTGTTATAAGTGAAAAAGAAAGCAACATCTCAAATTTTGATAAGATTATAAGTAAAAAAACTCTACCTGTAACAAGCAGAAAACTTTTAAAGTTGTCACTGGACGAAGAAGATGCATTTATTAATATTGATTCTTTATCTAGCGAAAAAACCATTACGAAACAAAGTAAATTAAATCTTTCTAGTCAACTTAGTTTCAGCTTTGTCTTTTTTAACACAATATGGGGTAGGTGCACCTTCCAGGACAGGTGATGTCTGTGTAAGGGCGGGTATAGGAAGGTAATTTAAAATTTTCAAGGCAGACTAACTAGTAGTTTTGTACCTTTTAAACCTTCTAGTTTATGTACAAACCGTTTATGTTTATTGACTTATTCATGTTTTTAATGACCTTAACGTGTTTTCCCGCAGTGCAAGCCGCGACCCAACGACACAAAATCCTGTAAGTTTCCTTAATTTTACAAGCTATTAAAAAATAATTCTATTATAATTGAATCAGCCTGATAGCCTTGAAAGTCAGGTTTCAGAGAAGTTACAACACGAAGATACCAATAAACCAAGTATTATTTAAAATTACAACTCTGTATAGTTTTTTAATATCTCCTTTGAAATAATATAACCCTACAGAGTCAGAACTTGTGTATGCTGAAGGGGAAGCCACAGTTATTTTAAAGTCCTCATCGATTAATAAATGCGCCTCGTTCTCCTCTTTTGGAAATAAACATTTTGTTGGATTGGATGAACACTCCACACTAGAAAATAAAGAACAAGTTAGTCTAGTATTACAATTTCAAGTTGAAGAGCTTCCACACAATCCAAATCGAAGGGCCTACAACAAGAAAAAAAGTCCTTTTGAGTGCTTTAAAAAGAAAAACGATACACAGGAAATAAGCGAAGATACCAAAAAGGAAGCACTTAGTACAGAAAATTTTAAAACCCCTCCACTGCAAAAAATGGGGGATGACGAAGACGTAGACAGTCAGAAGGCGACTTCCTTAAAGATCTCTGAAAACGAAATTATTCCCCCTCTTGTTCAAAGAAGCATCACGGCACCAGACCGCTCGTCTGCTATTGAGAACGTGGATTCGCGCGAAAGAAAAGAGGACCCTGTTGTAAGCTGTATTAACGAGTTCAGAAAAGTAACTAGTTCAGAAGTATTGACAGAAGATTTTGTGCAAAAAGATTTCTTCGCAAGCGATTCAGGTCCGAATATTGAAAATTCACTCACGACAGTGAGCCAAGCACCTCCTTTAACCTTTAAAACTAAAAAGCTTGGAATCACCCAAAGTTTTGTTTGTCTTAATAAAGTCGCTCACAAGAGCACTCCTAACGACTCTAAAAAACTAAAAGCTATAGAAATCAATTCTAGAAGGCACGTGAAAATCCACGTACCCATAAATAAGAAAGGCAGGAAAAAAGCCATAGTAAACCGGCGTGGCTACAGAAAGCCTGTGAGTTGTACGGAAGCTGATTATCAAAAAGATAACGAACTTATACTTCAACTATTGCAACTTGGTCCAAGACCTTTGGAGCCTTTTAACAAAATACGAAGCAACACTAATCTGAATTTAAATTTCGATTCTTCTGTTGCTCCTGCTTTGGAACTTTCTTCTTTGAAAACAAAAACGAAAAAATATTTATCTCTTTTGCCTACAAGAAAAAAAGAGGGGGATGTTAGGCTAAATAAGGATGATAAAAAAAGTAAAGGAAATAAATCAGACCTTGGAAGACCTTACAAACCTATTTTGTTTGGAATAAGTAAGACAACCGGACTTGCCAGTGATTCAAAGAAAGACATGCTAATAGAAAAGGGAATACTTAAACATCTTGGTACCGACTCCCAAGAGGAACATGCAAAGACATTAGTAGAGAAAAAAATAAACTGCCTTACTGAGGCTCATGAAGTGTTCTCAAAGGAATCTAATAATAAAAACCTCGAAGACAATTTTCTTCAACGGCTAAAAATTCAAGAGTCGTTAACAGAACGCTGCTACCAACTTAATGAGGAATTACAAAACATATGCAGAAAAAGAAAAGAAGTGCTGAAGGACTGCAAGCAACTATATACTGTTGACGACAACCGTGAGGCCTTCGCAGGAATTGGGGCTTCCTCTTATTCTCGAAACTTGCTACGCGCATTATACAAATATTTTATAACAAGTGCTCAATACTCTTATGAACTGCACTCTATAATGGTAAAAATATTTTTTGATAACAGACTTAATCTCGAGTATTTCTAATATAGCAATCTTTGGAACAAAAACGAATTCACCTCGAAGAATGCGTTATTAATATACTGAAAGAAATAACTTTATAATATCAGAGTTTTTATAAGCTTATTTTACTTTAATAATAAAGTTTAGCTCTTTTAGTAAGCTAAAGAAGTTTTGGTATAATATCTTTAGTTTTTTAGTTATAAACTTGTAGTTATTTCATTTAAGTGCTAAGTTTGCAGTCTAGCTGATAACCAGATTGAGCTGCATCCTTTTCGCTAATATTGCCTTAGAACAGTGCGCACTGGTCCTAATAGTTTTATTTTCCTAAAAAAAATTAGTTTAATTTGGAATAATATATTAATTCACTATACTTTCATTTGTCCTTTTGAAAGACATCCACAAATTAAAATTCATGAATATGTTAACCAGAGAAAAGTAAAAGGAGTTTAACCCTACTTGTAGCCTCACAATAAGAATAAAGCAATAACAAAAGTGATGAAAACTATTGCCATATTCTATTATTAGGGACAGCCCATAACTACAATATTAAACTCTCACTCTTGCTTTTAGGTTTAAAATTATTTCTTTTAAGTACCACTGACGTGTAAATACTTTAGTAGCAGTATTATTACAAAGTGCATATAATATTTTTAATATAATTGACTTTCTCTTCTGAGGCACATTCTGAGAAGGTCATTATCACAATCAAAACCTTAGATCGAAAGACACTTTTAAAAATTCCTTTAGGGATAGAGATACTTAAAAATTGTGTTTATCAAACAATATGCTGTGCTTTTGTTTTGAATAAAAAATTATAATTAAGATCTATAAAAAGTGCCGCAAGTTTTTTCATTAGTTAGCTATTATGAACTTTTTACTTGTGAACACCCCTTTATAACCTAAACTGCTTACTGCAGTCTTCTAGTCATCCCTTTCCCTGCGTAAAGAGTTAGTTTACATGCTTGCTAAAGATTACAAGTAGATTTCTAAGCTTTAACAAATATTGTTAAAACGAGGTAGAAAAACTTCCTAAAAAAATTCTCATGCTCAATAGTAGTAAGTACGAACATAAACAGAGACCGATAATGGGGTCATTAAAAAAATTAAAAAAGAGGCGGAGCGAGAAAGTAGTTTGAGGTTACGGCCTCCCTTGTGGTTGCGGATATGTTCGTTATAGGGCTTCTGCTTACCTGTTACGTTTCTTAGTTTTTTTTAAGCCATGTATTATGCCTCGAATTATTGTTATACTTTTATTTATGTAATCCGCCATAAAATATTTTGCTGTTCATCACGTTTCTTGGTACCAAGAACTCATTTATCCGACTCCACCTTACCTAAGACCAAACTGGCTCGTTCAAATCGTAAACTTTTAAAGAAAAAAGAGATTTTTAAAGTTTCTAATAATAATAACAATGATAACAAAGTTGATAAGAAAGATTTAGAGAATGAGTGGTTCTTAAACAAAGTAGAAGCGTTTACAAAATACGAAAAATTAAATCCTTATAAACCTGCTAGTATCCCTCTTTATCTTGACTGTGCTCACGCCTGCGCTAAGTAAGTTTTTTTCTTTATAATATTTTTCAATATATTACTTTTGTTGACCATTTTCAATAGGCTAAACAGATACGAAAAAGCTGTAAAAGTTTTAGAGCAGTTGGAGTTGGTTTATGAAAAACAAATTTTTCCACCTCCGAAGACAGTAAATGTTATAAATAAACCTTCTGAGTCACCTGAAAACAATTTATATAATATTACCCCAGAGTTTATAAGGCGAAAAGTTACTAAAATCAATAACATTTTACTTGCCAATTTCATTAAAACTAAAAATTATGAAGCTGCTGAACAATTTTTTATTACACTGAAGCTAAAAAAAAGGTGCTATGATAAATAAATTTTAACAAACTTTTTAGTAAATAAAATTTTCAAAAGTTATTTGTTAAGTGAAGCAAGTTATACAACACTGATAAAAGGTTTTGTGGAGATTAAAAATTTTAAGAAAGCCGTAAAGTACTTAAGAATACTCGAAACTGAAGAGAACTTTCGGTGCGACTCACCTTGTGTTTACTTATAAAAACTATGATTTTAGCTGTTTTGTAAAAGGATTATTTTTAGTCTTACGCTTCATATTATTTGTGAAGTATTAATCTCAATATAATTTTCTTACGTAGTTTTTTATTGAAAGCTTTATATAACATTTAGGAAAAGTGTGCTTCCTTATAATGTTTTAATTAAGGGGTATTTTTCTACTAAGAAAATTTCCTCGGCTTTAGCTTTGGTTTCCAGTCTAAAACAGACCGGTTTTCATTTAATTTGTTAGTGTATTATAGTTTGAATTTTTTTTATAAAGGCATTCAACTGAATAGTTACTTCTACGCAATTGTCCTTGATGGACTAATTAACTGTGGGCAACTAGAAGAGGCGCTATCACTTTTCGAAGATCTTAAAAAAAAGGATTTGTCCCAAATGAATATTAAAGAGGAAGTACAAAAAATCTTTTTTTAATTAAAAAAACTACTTAAAATTTGTTGTGTACAACTAAGCGCCAAGAACGATGCTTGTCCAGCGTGGCCTACGCGGTGGTGATTAGCGGGCTGTTATCGAAAACGCGCGTAGATGCTGCTTTAATTTATTACAAGGAAATGAAAAAGAAAAGTATCTTAAATTCTCTATTTTATTAGATTTCTTTACATAACTATCTTCTTTAATAATAATTAAAATAGTTTTACAAATTAATTTTATCCTTTATATTTACAGGGCTCCACTTTTCACTTGTTTCGTATAATTCGCTCATTGATGGGTTATTGCTGGCTTTTTAACTAGTTTAAATTAGTTTCTGTATAAATTATTATATTTAAAACTAGTAGTGTTCAATAATCTTTTTATGTATTTTTATGTTATGCTGAAAAATATATCTTACTTTAATTTCTTGCTATAAAACTATATAAAGTTGCCATATTTTTTTAAGTTCCACGCAGCTCGAACTTTTACTTATTATTTCTTGTTGCGCTAATAATTTTATATCTATAAAGTTTGCTTAAGAATGATAAAGAAGAAGAAGCCGAATCAATTTTAAGAGAACTTACCAAATTTAAAGTAAAAGCTATACTCTAGTTGCTTGATTTCCATAGGCTTACCATCTTGAAAATTTAAATAATTCTTAACAAACAGCTTCGGCCGAACGCTGCCACTTTTACCAGTTTTGTCTGTTATTATTCAAAAAAGCTGGCAATGCAGAAGGCTGAAACTTACGCGAGCCTCATCGAAAAAAGCGGTTATCAGTTGGACGCGATCCCTTTTGTTTGCTTGATCGACGGTTACTTTCGCTCCAAAAATTGTATGAACGAAATTGTTTCGAGTTTCATAATAAGTAAATAACTTTTCTTCCAAAGTTACTGAGATGGAGGCGTGCTTTGTTGCTTTAAAAAAAAAAAACATTCAGCTTCCGCCTTTCACCTTCAACGTCGTTCTCTGGAACGCAGTGGAAAATGCAGAGAACTACGAAGACTGCTGGAAACTTTATAGCAAACTCCAGGAGGCCTACGGGTCCGCTCTTCGCTCTAAATTATTTTTGTTGGTTACTTTTAAATTTCATCACTTGCAGAGAACGTTGCGATATAGCGAAAACGAGAACGCACGTTAAATTCTACTATAGAATATTGAAAGAAGGCGGTTTGGAAAAGACGCACGCACTCCTAAAAGTACTCGAGCGCCACAAAGTTCCTGTAGATGTCGGCATGGTCAATGCTTATATTGAAGAGTGCATGCAACTTTTCGAGATCGCCCTGATGGAGAAGTTTTGGAGAGATCACGTGGAAACTCCCGATGGTGGGATTAGAGAGGGAAGTGTGGACGCCACAACCCTCGCTCTCCTCGTTGAGGGCTTTGCAGGAAGAGGCCACATTGAAAACGCTATTCACTATTTTGAGAAAATAAAAGGAGTCGCCAGGCTTCAAGGAAATATTATGCATGTCTACAACACCCTCGTGGACGCATGCTTAAAGCTGGGCTATACCCACGTGGCTGAGCAATACAAATGTGAAATGGCGCGGCTTATTAACCAATAAACCTTCCCCTTTTTATTTCTCGGTTGCTTCATTGCTTACAGCTATATCCGAGGTTATCGCCCGTCTTCGGCGCCTTGGGGTGCGTTAGCAATAGCCTCTTATCTTCAGAAGAACAGCCTTTTGCACGTGTTCGCTTAGCTTTTCGTATCTACCGCCAAAGGAGTCATCATAGCCAATCATACCAGCTCCAAAGATTAGTATTAGTACCTTTCAAAAGTTAGTATGAAGGTTCCTGAACCGGCTGTCTGCGAGCGTAGAACGGTCGAGTAACCAATCATTGTGGAGAGCGGAACTAGCGTAACCACGTGCAAGGCGTGTTAGTCACCTAAATATGATTGGTGCACAGCAGCGCAAGACCGAGAGCGTTTATAAATCGGATGCCGTCCGTCACTTCCACTGAGGCGATCTGCCCTCGCCTTTGACTGCTCAAATCGTTCAGCACAAGCCCTCGAAAACAAGCATTAGTCGAGCAAAGAATAAAGAGAGCCCATATAAAGGTACCAGTGTATTTGTCGTCGCATGTAATCTCGATCCTCATTATAGGTTCAAGCAAGTACGAGCCTTTGAATGTAGAAGATAATGACAACCGCGTGGGAACAGAGAATGAATAAGATGAAATGCAACCGGCCATTTCAAGTAACCTCCGCAGAGCTTTACCAACGCAAAACGCAATAGAAGCCACCGTAGTCTCATTGGTTGTCGTGCCTATGCACACCACACGTCCATACCAATCATATTAAGTATACTAAGTAATGACGGTACCATTTAGAATACGCACAACTACATGACTCACAGGAAAGCCGAGAAGAACTCCTAAATAAAAAGAAGTAAAATGCTGAAAAAATTGTAAATAATAATAAAACCTGTAGTTAGCGTGTTTTTCACAGCCTCGTAGATGGCTGTTTGCACCTTTTAAATAATTATAATAATATTAACAATAATAATATTAAGTTTGAACCTCTACTTTGTCCATTTTATAAAACTCATTTTCCTCGGGGATACTGAACTCCACTTTTACATTATTAACAGCATCGAAAAAGGGATCACTACAATTTTTTTGGTCCGAGTTTTCTTCTGCAGGAGATAAGCTGATGTCCAATGAACAGAGCTGACCTTTCGAGGCTTTAGTAATCAAACCAATAAGGGGGGCGGGTATCTTGAACAATAAAAAAACCAAGAGAGCCCTCGAACTGCTGGAGAACTCGAGCAGGTCGCAGGACGCTTTCCCTGTAGGCCACCTGCATTTCCCCGAGGCTTACGCTCAAGCCGTACACCCGCCGTATCTTCTCGCAAATAACCTCCAGATGTAGCTAAAGTGATTGGCTTATCGACTGATATTCTGTGGGCCAAAGGTTTAGACCTCGCCCATCCCTTTCAAAATAGTCTGCTGGTGGTCCTCGTCGTACTCTACGCGAAGGCTGGGATCTTCCTTCTATTATAAAACATATCGGGAATAATAAACCACCGAAAAAAAAAAGAATTACAAAATAATAAAAACCTGCAGAATTTCCAAAACTTCAGTTAAAAATTTTTCGTTCTTTAGCGAGTCTGCTTCGATGGAGCAGAAGAAGACGGGTTCCTTAATGATACTGTTTATTATTATAAATTATAAAACTTTATATGAGGCTGAAATTCCCACCGGAATATTGACAGATGAAAGGCAAAGCGCTTGCTTACTCGAGGACTCCACCAACGTATCGCCCGTCCTCGTGTTTCTCAGGCCGGTTACTACAGCAATGTTTCCTGCGCAAAGCCTGACAGCGTCCTTGTACTCGTCAGCAAATGCCTAACAGAACTAATAAGAATACTTAAAACCATCGTATGCGTAACACGCGTACTTGCATCAACTGCTGTACTCTTTCCTTCTTCCCCCTGGAAGTGTTTGTCAGTGTGGACTTGGCGTGAAGGACTCCGCGGTAGATCCGCAGGTAAACAAGAAGCCCTCATAATAATATCATAGTAATAATTATTATTATCTTATATAAGCTTTACCTTTTTGAAAGTCATTAACAACTTTAAAAGCAAAGGCGCAGAGCGGTTCATGAAAGTTCGGCTTTACCTCCACTCTGTTAAAAGTAATCAAAAAAAGGGAGAAGCGCCAAAAGAGATGCCACGTGCTATAAGAGGTCTTTTGATCCAATAAGGTGGCAGTAGGAAAGCTGGCGGCCAGCGGGGAGGGAAGATACGCTACAATCGCGTCCAGCAAAAGTTGCACCCCTAGTTTCGTAAGTTCAACTAAAATAGCGACCAGAGGGTTATTTGCGTGATGGTTATACCGATATCTTTCAAACTGGAGCCGCAAAGAATAGGGACTGCCGCTCGAGTAATGGTAACTCTCCTTAATGCAGAGCGAATGTCGTCCGGAAGTACTTTAGCTACGCTATCTACTCGTGCCTCCTTGAAAGAAGAGAAAGATGGACTTAAACAGTAATAAAAACCATCGCCCTCGTAGACGTCGAAAATAAGCTCCATGAATTTATCGTCCAACTCAGCGAGCTTTTCAATAAGTTCCTGCAAAATAGTTGTAAGCAGCTTAACGCTTAACAAAAGTTTATAAAACGCACAGCGCGTTTTTTTAAAGCGAACTGGTAAAGCGGGTGAGTTTCTGGTAGAGGAGCTCGTACGACATCGATGCCGTGTTCTCCCTCAAACTTAGCAACGTTCATGCCAACAACATCCACTATCTGTTATAGAAGACAAATTCCAAAGTCATTCTTTTTACTTTATCAAGTAAAGAGGAGGGAGTACACCAGAAATACTCTTTATATAGTCTACAAAGCCGTACAGCCTCCAAAGAGGTCCTGTTCTGAAGTGTAAATTGCGTCTGAAGTGGAATGCTCTTGAGCTTTTCAGCGACGCTGCGGCTGGCTCTGCCAAGATCGGCTCCAACGCGGTCCAGTTTGTTTATGAAAATGATAGTCGGGATATTATATTTTCCTAAAAAAAAGATCTTAATCTTAAAAAAAAGGTATTTAATAATAAAACGTACTCGACTGGGACCAAACGGTGTGCGTCTGCGCCTGCACCCCAGCGACGCCATCCAATATAAGAACAGCTCCATCCAAAACTCTCAAGGACCTTTCCACCTGCCAATTAAAATTTTTTCAAAGTTATTAAGAAAAACAAAATAAAAAATAGAGAAGACGAAACTTCCATGGTAAAATCAACGTGGCCGGGCGTATCAATAAGATTAATTGTGTGTCCCTTCCAGGGTAGCGTGATGGCAGCTATAAAAAATAAATAATTTTTAAATTTATAAAGATTACATAGTAATTAATAATGACCTGAATTAATGGTAATGCCTCTTTCTCTTTCTTGGTCCATAAAATCCATTACGGTGTCTCCGTCGTCTACATCTATTAAGGTTACGCAAAAAAATAAAGAATAATAAAATAAAGGTGTGAAAGTTTGATTATTAAATAGAACATAAATGCAAAAAAGGTTAAAAAAACATAGAATTAAATAATGTGAATCTTTGTTAATTAAAAAGCAGATCTAACAGGTAACTGTACAGATGTACAGATAATTAACAACTTCTATGTTATTATATATAATAGTAATTGAGTTGTCAAACCGCCAATGTGCTTAATAACGCCAGAATAGAAGAGCATCCGTTCGGTTGTGGTTGTCTTTCCTGCATCAATATGAGCCATGATCCCAACGTTACGAATTTTTTCGAGCTCTTTGTTATAATATCCTAGAGGATAAATTATAAAACTACTTTAATTAAAATAATTATAATATATAACTTCTATTCGAAAGAATATAAAGACCAGTTCTCTTGTTAGGTAAGAGAGTACGCCCAGTGTACCACTTAAAACCTAAATAATTATGTTATCAGAACTTAAATAACAGGCGAAAATCTTTCAAAAAAAATTATTATTTCTATTAGGTATAACTTTCTACAAACAGTCTTACCATATAATATTTGTTTTATCGCATAAGGAAAGGTTTGATTACGAACAAAGAGCATTAGAAGAAAGGCAGCCCGAACTACTGGACTAAGCAGTCCCTCCTTTGCACCTTCGCTTGAACGGCACGAGTTATAAACTTTACTATGCTGGCTGTACAACAACAATATTTTTCTTATGTGAATCAAAATGAGCTTTACAGTTAATATAACTGTTTATAAATAAGAATGAAAAGCTTGCATGGTAGTTTAATTTCGACCGCTTTCTCTGGTATTACTTCTGTTTGGGTTATTATTTGTTATCTACTTAAAGTACACTTACTTCGCTTTAGGGTTAGGAAAAGCTTTTGCACTTTCTATTTTTCAAAAAGTGCTAACTTTTTTATTTAATCAAGCCATTCTTCAACTTGTGGAGCCACAAGTTTTTGGTTTTTATAGCGTACAATCTTTGCATACCCCGCTTAAATGTTTGGTAGTGAACTTATTAATTATAACTACTAGGTTCAATTAAGTGGAATTCTTCACAGCTCAATCCTCTTCCTTTCTAGAGAAGGGCTTAGACTAGCTGCTTTACGAGTCAATATATACAAACATAGTTCTGATTCTTTTGAGACTTCAGCCGAACAAAAGAAGCGAAATGCTGTTCAACTTTTAGTTAATGTTGCTTGGAGTGCTATCTTGCTCTCTTTCGTTTACGCTGGTGTTCTGGGCTTTTTACTATTATACTTGGAGAGCGGCCACTTTACTAAAACTTCTAACTTTCCCTGGCGTCAATATAAATGGGGAGTAATAATGTTTTGTTTAAGCGGTTGGTTTGAAAGTTTTTCAGAACCTTTTTACTTACTGTCACAGAACGGTCCTCTAATTTATTTTTGGAAACCTTGAAGATTTATTATTTAAACTTTTAACGCTACAGGTCTACTTTTTGATATTCGGGTTAAAACTGAGGCCTTCTCCTCTTTTATTAGTATATACCAGTGCAAATTCTCTTTTATTGTTTCATATAATAAGTTGCGTAGGAATCTTATTAACACTCGCCTTTGTTTCAAGCCGGTCAGTTTACGTTGCTGGCATATACGCTTTTGGATGGGCCTCAATTGCCTACTCGATATCGCTTTTTTTAATCTACACGACTTTCTTTGCCCGAATAATACATACTGGGAATGAGTTTATATATTCTTGGAGCCAACTGCTACCTCGAAGAATAACTTATAAACAGGTTTCGGGTATTAAACTATAGCCTTTATGAGATTTTTTTTTTTGTAAATATTATTATTATATATTCTATGAGCTAATATGTGTGTTATAAAAGTAACTACTTAATTTATTAATACTGTAGAAAACGAAAGTACGGAGCACAAGAGATTAATAAACTTGTGTATATCGTTCACCTTACAATCCTGGTTTAAACATTTTCTCAGTGAAGGTTATATAAAAAAAATTTAATTTTCAATTAATTAAGTTTTATTTATAATTCAGGCGATAAAATAACGATGTATCTGGCAAACGATTTCTTAGAACAGGGCTTGCTTTTGTCTTCTTGATTTTTTATAATGTTTTGTTTATGTTACCGTTCATTTAATTAAATATCCTCAATTATTGTTAAGTCTGTATTCTGTTTAACTTTTATTATTCAATAATTAATTGTTCAACTTCACTTATTATATTTTATTTGTAATTATATTTATATAACTTGAAAACATAAAAAAGAACAGAATACTATCTAAGTTAGTTTCATTACGAACTAATAACTGTAAACAATAAGAATTTATTTTTGTTTTATTAAAAGTTTATTTATATTCTCGTCATATAAACTTATAAACTTTTTTAAGTTTTTGTAAAATCGATTAAATTTACTTACTGACTTCAGGGCTTTACGGCGTGGTTAGTAACTATGGCTCTCTAGCCGCTCGCCTTCTTTTCCAGCACGTCGAAGAGTTTTGCCGGTCTTATTTAATCCAATTCTCAAACCTTCATTATATTTTATTTTCATTCTGGTATTACTTTTTTTGGTTTCCCTTTGCTTAACAATTTTTTTTTCAGGATTGTGATCTGCAAGCTATTGCTAGACACTGAAAAAGAGAATAAAAGAGAATTGGCGGAGCGCAGTTTTGTTATATTCTTTGTTATTGTTGGTCGCTTTTACAATTAATTGGATTTCCGTAAATAGGCAAGCTGAAAGCTTATACATTTTTTAGCGCCGTCACGAAGCTCATGTTCTTCATCGGACTCTGCTTTATGAACTTTGCTCCGCGCTACACTCACCTGTTAAAAATAATTCTTCTTGGATCCAGCGAAAAATGGGCGCGGGTATGGGCTGCTGCACTGCCTCTTCTTCTATAATTAGGCGACTGACGTTGGTTTGCCCGTAGCTCCCGTCAATCCTGTCGTGGTACTTCTCTTATGTAGGCAAGAAGACTGTTTCTATATACAGAAACTGCAGCAAAATAATAAAACTTTGCAAAACAGGTTTTATGGCTGTAAACGGCGTGTTGGAGGCCTTCGTTCACGCGGTGATCACGAGGTCGCAGATAGCAACTTGGAACATCTTCTTGTTTGCGTGCTTTCTCACGCACGCCGCCGTCGCTCTGCTGCTAATGAGAGTATTGCCTGCACCCTTTACATCCCTTCAATTGGCCCAAAGAATACTTCACTAGTTTTTCAGGCTGGACTTGATTGGTCTCATTATAGCCAACTGCGTTAATATGGCGCTCCGCATAGCCTACTGCCTGCACTTTGCCAGGCGCTTCTTTTCTCCACATATCTTCCGCCTACGCGACTTTGTTCCTTGCGCTCGGCCGCTCTTTTTATTTCTCCTAAGCGGGCTATGCATGCGCTTTTTCGAGGCATGGTCCTTCCATAAAGACGGAAGCCGGCTCCTACGCCAATTTATCCACGTGATCGTGGGGTTAGGGTTTCTGTGGCTATGCTTTTGCAGTATTTTACGGTACGAAAAGAGTTTTGTTGAGGAACTGAAGTCCTTACGAGCGAAGAAAAGCATCAAAATTGATACTTAAATAAAAATCTCGACTCTTTATTGATACTAATAATCATCCCTGCCCGCAAGAAAGTCCTTTTTGGATAAGAGTTTCTTTGATTGGTCACCCTCCAGTTTGGGGCAATTAGTGATTCTGTGCCCGAGTCCTCCACAGTACGCGCAACCACGCACGCCTCCAATCACCTCGTGCTTGTCAAGGTCGCTAACAATTTTTAGCAGGAAATCGGGAACTTTTTGCTTTGCTTCCTGCAAAAATTCTCATTTAGTAGCAGCTAAAAGGCGCTCTTACTTTAAACAAACCGTTAAAAGGTGCTTCAAATCTAAAAGAACCGATTCGTCCACGTTATTATTAACGAACGTAGTGGCCAGCTGTATGAAATATCATTGGTTAGTAAGTGCGAGTGCAGTGTAACGGGGAAAACTAACGCCGGTCCTTCCGCTTCTTCCTGTGCGGCCGATCCGATGGACATAGTTTTCTATTTCTTCTGGCATGTCGAAGTTGATAACGTGTTGAATGTTCGGAAAGTCCAAACCTTCAATAGCAAATTGATATAGCAAACTTCAATAAGATAACAAACGACCTTTTCCTGCAACGTCTGTAGCCACCATGACGTCTTGCTTCCCTTCTCTAAAAGACTTTATGGCGTAATCGCGCTCCTCTTGGGTCTTCCCACCTGCAAAGCCCGCATAACCCCGTTAAAAAAGGGAGAAGATGCTTATAAAACAATGAACGATGCCATGAATAGCGACAGCAGCAACATTTTTAAGCAATAAATATTCGTGAATATCATCAACGTCAGACTTGTTCTCCGCGAAAATCAAAACTGGCGGGGCCGTTTTGCGAAGGCATTCCAGCAAGTAAACAATCTTTGCTTCCTGCTTCACATACTCGACTTCCTGCAGGACGTCCAAGTTGGCTGCCTGGCAAAGGAAAAAATGTCAAACATTTCGTAATATAGAAAGTTAGTATGGGGAATTTCAAGCTACCCCTGCGCGGCCAACATTCACAATCACCGGCCGCACGAGAGCAGTAGCGGCAAAGTCTTTAACTTTCTGAGGCATCGTCGCACTGAACAAAAGCATCTGCCTGGAAGGAAAAAAAAAAGGGGGGGGATGAATAACGCAGAGACAAGCCGCTGCGATGACGATAAGCGACCGCTGATACTGGAAATAAGAAAATATTGTGCGCATGTCATCCTCGAAACCGACGTCGATCATTCTGTCGGCCTCGTCAAGGACTAGCAGCCGGCAGATATCAAGATTCATGACCTTCTTGTCGAGCATATCCATGACTCTTCCAGTGGTTCCTGCTCATCGCTGTGGCTAGAAAGGAGGAGGAGCCGCAGCGTTTAAGGCAGGTACCAATGCAAATATGAAGCCCTCGCTTTAGATTCTCAGTAGCGTCTCTCAATGAAACTCCGCCCATGCAGAGGGACGTTCGGATCAGAGGAAAATCTATACTTATTTAATAAAAAATTTAATAAAAGACAAAAGAAAAATAGAATAATAACCCTTGCGATGCAATATGCTGGTAAAGCCGCTGACAATCTCATACGTTTGCCTCGCTAATTCGCGGGACGGTGCCAAGGCCAGACAGTAAGGACCCTCGCTGCCTATAAAAGGCATCCTTTTCTCTTGCTCCAGAGTTAGCATGACCATCGGCAAACAGAAAACCTGTACAACCATTAATTAAGAAATATGAGATACATAGACTTTTAAAGTGGTGGACACGTTCTCGCGTAATTAAGTTGTGATACTGACGTTAATATCAATTTAAAAATAACCTAATGAATAACTACAGATGAAGCATGAACCAGTAACAAAAAGAATTGTATATTTTCTATGTATAACTATAATAAGTAATCACTTTTTTTTAAATAACTTTTAATATAAAATCTCTTAAGTTTTTAATTATAAATTATAATATTATCAAGAAGAAAAACACAACTAACCAAGTAGTCTCACGAAAAGTTACCATTGTTTTACCGGAGCCCGTAAAAGCGATTCCTATCAAGTCCCTTCCGCTCAGAGCGACAGGAAGGCCTTGCATCTGGATCGGTGTGGGTCTCTTAATGCCTCTTTTCTTTAGAGCTCTCAAGATGGGCTTTGGAAACTTCATTTCCACAAAAGTTTTTATAGGAGGCGGTATATCCTCACCTTCAGCTTCAATGTGCCTTTTCAACAAAATTGTTTAAAAAAATATATAAAAAAAGGAAGCGCACTACCATCGCTTTCGGAGCTTATCGCACTTTTCTTTAGACATTCTAGCAAGATACTTAGGAGGAGTCCAACTTGTTTTTATGCTCGACTCATATTTAACTCCTTATTATGTAAACAAACTATTTTATTTTGCAAAAAATTATAATATGTAAGATGAAAGGAGACCCTTTGCAATATCCTGCGCAGACATTAAGGCTTTCTTAGCGGTAACATTTTTTAATAAGTCAGCTGAATAAAAAGAAAGTTAAAGTTTCTATGTCAATAAGATAGAATTAAAGTTAGAAGTGGAATAAAAAGAACCCTCTATTTTTGCAAGCTTCTGGATTTCATTTTCGTGAAATTCAGCTGCTTTCTTTCTTAGCTCACATGTTTGATCCAAAAGACTAAGTTTCGCTTGTGGCCCAATTTTGGGTTCTTCTTCAAAATCTTTAGATTCCTCTTAAAGAAAAATAATTAAAAGTTTCTTAAAGTCAAAAAAGAGTTACACTATAACGTGTAGAACAAAGAAGCTAATAAAATACAGCCACAATAAAAAAGAGAACCAGAAATATTACTAAAGTAAGAAAAAATAGAAAAAAATAATAGTTAAATCAAAAGTAATAAGAGGTTAAGAAAAACTGAGAAGAAAACTTACTCTTATGTAATTTATTAGAGTTAAGAGTTGAGATAGATAATCCAGCTGCTTCTCGTTTTGAAGTAAGTCTCTCTAATTTTAACTTTTTGCGCTGCGAAGGGGGGATGTACGGCACATAAGCTACAGAATTAGTGTCTCCCATCTACACTAAAACTTAATAGAAAACCGCATTTAACAAGATAAAGTAAAGCACGCCAAGCTTACATGCTAGTAGTTTTGGTTAATTCCTATTGGTACGCCGTTTTTTTATAAAATTTGAGCGGAGGAGCTTGAAATAATAGTTTGACAAAAAATGAAGTTGACACTTTGTAAAAGGGCAGGCCCCTCAATTGTGTTATTAGCTAACACAATTTAGCAAGAAGATATGTTTTACTTGAATAGCTAAGCCCAGTACAGAGCGCCCATGTTTATAACGGCATGCATACATTAATTGGCAAGTTAATGCCTTTACTTACTGAGATTAGGTGTATAAAAAATTGTCCTGTAGTTTATGATACCTTTTTTTTTGGGTCATCTGACTTACAAACTATAATTTTAAACAAAGAGTAGCTGGATATACTTAATAAGCCTTCTGACCCGAAGTAGGCTAAACTCTTTAAAATTTGGCTCTACTTTTGCTTGCTCGACTTCTGCAAGTAAGGAGATAAGACGCACACTACATATAAAGCCCTTTAGCGTAGCAACCCATTTCCTAAAAACCTTAAGATAGAATAATACTCGAAGAAAGGCGTACTTTCCCGAAAATATGTGATTAATCGGACTTTAGGAGTGTGCGAGTTTCGCGTTATCTCTTTAGAGTCGAATGTTGTTCCCCTCCTTAGTTCTTTCATGCCCTATTTGTTCTCTTGTTTTATCCTTGTTTATTTAAATTATATAAAAAGTTAAAAAAATACTTTTTGTTAAGATTTATATCTAGATTAACAAAACCAAATTCATATATGTAGAAGTAACGTTATCTAATCGATTCGCTACGATAGTAAGGGCTGGAATAGCACGAACTTTTTTTCAATCTACTCTTATTTTCTATTAATAATATATATATATATTCGCAAGTGTTTATTCGGCAGCGTTACTTTAGTAAGGTATTTATAAGTATTAACCGCTTGTGTCTCATTAAATTTTGGTTTACACCTCCAATTTGTTAGATTCCGCCACTCCCAAGAGTGGACGTCGACCTCAAGGAGGTAGAAGATCATATATGAAGGTGAGTTAGGGCGGTGTAATTCATCTCAAGCCCCATGTTTTCTTGTATTTGTAATGTACTGTAAAAACCGCTACCACTTAGGGTAAGTCTTTGGAGGGGAAATCATATTTTTTAGCCTCAGGTCAAATTTTACAGTTTAGTAGTGGGCGCTGTGGTTAACCAACGGAATTCGCAGTCAGCCCTAAAATTGAACAGAAGTTTAATAGGGTTATCTCAACTGTTCGTAAACTTTTTTAATAACTGTCAATCAAAGATGAATTAATAATAATAATAAAATATTAAGTAGTACCCCTACAAAACGTCTCTGGCGCGGAAGTTAAGATGTATTCGGCGTTTTGTTAAGCACCACAATCTCTGCCACATATGGCTAAAAGCGACGAAGATTATACGTCATTCTTTTCTAACTATGTTGCTACTCAAGTATGCCTCTAACTTGGGCAAACTCTGAAAATAAAAGCAAGATGCGTACGTCCATTAGTCCATGTAAACAAATTTATTAAGCGCCACGTAAGATCACTATAAACCACCTTGGCTACTTTCCATCGCTTGGTTTCTTTCCTACCCGATGCACAAAGGCCACCTTCGTAATGTTACCCAGGAGAATTAGGCCCTGCGTGAACTTCCCGGTTAGCTTGCTTTCGGCAAGGGGTTAAATTTCCAAAGGATAAGGTTTAACTTTCAAGCTTTAAAGGATATCAATAAAGCTAATAAAGATATTTTTCGAGCCGACAACAGTTATCTTATTTATTTAGTAAGTTATTCCATGTTTATTAGGAAGCTACGCTAACGTTACATTATTATTGACCCTCCGCCGATCATTCTCACGGTTATTCGCAGCCTGCAGAATTTGTAAAAAAGTCAGGAGGGCTTCCAGATCCTCAATAGGATTTCAAAATAACCGCTCAACATTATACTCCAAAGTCTAGTCAAGTAGCAACGTGGAACTTCAATATTTAAAAAGCCAAAAACTCGCCTTTCTTGTTGTTAAAAAAGCCTTTGCTCGTATATATCTCAAGAATTTATTTTTACAAATTACGCGCATAAGCCAATTCGTCAGCTCTCCCTAACTCCTCTCCAGCGTGTGGAAGCACCTCTTAATAACTATAATATTTTTCAATCTTCTAACTGTCCATTAACGACCGTTGTTCCGCATTACTAATATAACACCTACCTGCTACTTGGACACATGTTCCAACTATTACTAACAGTGGAGAGTACCCATTAAGGCATACAAAGCAGGGCGTCTCCAGAGCGTAAAAAAATATATATATATTTGGGAGTTTCAATGATGCTCAAATCCAGCGATAACCCATCCACTAGGAGGCGGTAAAATCAAAGCGGTATATTACGAACATGGGACCCCCCGGACATCCCAAAAAAATTTAAGAAAGTTCGCGAAAATTAAGTGTAAAACACATTAATGATTATAACCAGTAACGAGGCTGGATAGTTTACCAAGAAATTGCACATGACATTAAGTATATAAATATAATGATATTAGAAAACAAGGTCGAAAGGTCCACAGGGTATGGCACGCTGGACTTTTAAAGAATTATTTACCATAAAAAAACTAGATTATCTTCTTCAGCTTTTTTAGTCTTTTTTACACCAAAACACATTTTATATTAGAGTAGCTATAGCTAGTTCATCCCTGAAAAAATTTTCTATGGGAGGTTCACAAGGCTCACTGTTGTCTTCCATCTTATTTGTTTTATACATGTTAAACATACAAAACTTGCGAATACCTTTACCTTTCTGTCACAGTTTGTGGATGTGAAAATTTTAAGATTGAGCTATCTATGCTTATAAATTAAGAGTTTAACTGCTCATCTGTTCAAGGACCGTTACGTAATTACCGTTTAAAATAAAATAAAACAATCAATAATAGCTGTCAAGCAACAGAGCACAATTCTAAAAATGTCTTACTTTACTATAAGAAGAACCTTACACTATATACACACTAGAATTAAGATTAAATAGATTCTTACGATTAGTACCTTCCTGTAAGATCTCTAAGTATTCCACCCAGTTTTTATATATGAGGTCATTAGGCCATTATTTCCGTGGTTTATTAATCCAGTAATAGAGGTAGTTTCATTTAATTTTCAAGATCAACAAGGCGCCATGGTTAATGATTAACTTAACACACCCCTTTAACCCACCATGGCGTGCTTAGGGTCCGAAGTAAACAGTACTTCGTTAATTAGATAATGATAAGGCCTGCCAATAAGATTTTTAGAAGAAAGTCAGCTATCACTTATTTAGTACTGTAGTATACAATATCTATGTGCCCAACATGGGCTTTATCTTTACTAAGTGGTACTTAATATCTATGTGTCCTGAAAGCTTTCCTCCGTTGCGATTGTGTGCTATGTTAATGCTCAGCTAGTTGTCAACGTAAACTTGTATGGGTAAATTAATCGAAATGTTAAGCTCACTAAAGAAGTTCACCACCCACGTAATCTATTTAACAGAATTGCAAGGGTAATATGCTCAGTTTCTACTGTTGATAAGGCAACTAACCTTTTTGTTTTATTAACTACCATATTATGGGCTGCAATAATTTCTGTTCTGGATCTTCTGCCTATATCCTTTGCATATTTGAATTTCTAAGGTGTCACTCTTGGTGTCTTTAAGATAACCGCCTTTGATACCAATTAAATATCTCAAAACCATTTTTGCGACTTCCCAGTGTTCTATATCGGAACCTTTGAAGTGTTGAGACATATTACTTACCGCGCTTTAAATGTGGTCTTGTGCAATTTGCTAAATATTTTTTTTGTTATCCTCCGACTAACTCCTTAAAAGGTCACTCATACTTTATCTTTTCTAATACTGCTAGATTAACATTGTGCATCGGGTATTTAACCGGTTTTGAACTGGAAGTGTCATACTGCTCAAAAAGCATTTTAAAATATAAACCGTTTGTGAGATATGGAATACGTTCTCCAGATAAGTAAAGTTCATGTCAAAAAACCTTCTTCGAGGAACTTCTTTAATACTAATTTTAGTCCATTCATTAATTTTCTGGCTTCATCTTAATTATCAATATAGTGTTTCAAATCATTAATGTACATTATAAGGAAACATTTAAACAAACCATTGATTCTAGTAAACACGCAGGATACATTTTTTTAACTGCAGTAAATTTGCGCCCTTTAGAATATTGATAAGATGAATGAACGATAGCAGACCCGCCTGCATGGATCCATACACAATCTTCTATATTCTAGTGTGGGATGGATTAGTTCAAAACCCTGAGGAATTTTATATACATCGTGTAGTTCATAGTCGCATGAACATACATTCTTAATTTTAAATTGTAAACAATTTAGATAAAAATGTATCGCTGCACCTCCAATAACCTAATGGTTTCTTTAGAGATTAACGGAGACGTAAATTCTAGGTAGTCGATATTTTTTAATGAGTGAAGCCTCTCAGTCCTAACCTGGTTTTTATACCACCATCATTCTTTCACAGAATAGTTCCGGGTAGTTGTTTTGAGTTCATATTCAGTTGGCATTTTAGCAATTCCTCATGTTTCGGCCTTCTCCAAAAAATTTAATTCTTCTGCCATGGATGCTTTCCATCCTCCATTTGACATGGCCTCCCAAGGAGTCTTGAAAGTACATCTGCTTCATTCATTCAAATTATTTCAGGAGTCTCATAACTTGTAGATAATAACAAGAGAACGTCCTCATAATCTACTTTAAATGCCGTTTCCCCATCATCAAATGTAATATCATAATAAACTTTTCCTTCTTTATGAATTACCGTTTTTTTACAGCCCCTGGAAATTATTTTGCCTTTCTTCTTCTGCCTGTAAATTCAGGAGTACTTCAACTCTTTTGCCGCATTCATAAGAATAGTCTGGGCCCTCTGTTTCTGAGGTATAACTTTCATTCATATTAGTAGTCCGTCTTTAATATCGAACTCAATTTTCCTCTTTTCCTGCAGATTGAGTTCTTTATGGTGAACTTGGCAGGGATTATAGGGTTTTATCATGATAACTTTCTCTTCGCGCTTATTTCTACTCTCCCAGTTTTATATTTAGTGCTTCTAGATTTTATAACTTTGGTGATAGCATCATAATAAATCCTCATGAAACCACCGCATGTGTCAAGGGCCAGTCCTAAAAGTATCCCCTTGCGAGAATCGGAAGAATTTTCTCCGCAGAACACATGACGATAAAATACTATAGCCCAAACATAGTCAAATCGGCCATTTTTGGCGTCATTTTGTGAAAGCGTTCCCATACGCCAGAGTATACGTTAATAATAAAGACAGCATGACTAATTGCTTCGGGCCAAAACTCGTGTTCAAGTTTACCCTTGGGAAAGAAATAAAATCATTCATCCAACGGGTAATGGAATGGGGTATATTAGGGGCTGCAAAAGTTCATTGTATCTTTGTAAAAATATTGCCTTGAAACTTTCCTTATCGAATTCTTATACATTTAACCTCATAGCCATATCCAAAAGTTTTATCCTAAAATTTGCCACTTCGTAGGAAGCAGCTGACTTTGTCTTAATCGGAAGAACCCTTAAAAACTTGGTGCTTTTGCACAACTTGGTGATAACATATTTGTTATAGCTAAGAGATGCTAACCATGGCCCACTAAGATTAATAGCTAAATGAGATCCTAATTGCAGGTCATCATAATTCTGGTTTGCTCGTCGTTTGATTGACTTCTTATAAAGAGTCACTTCAGCGCAGGTACTGCACTTGATTTCCTAGATCAAAGTTATATATATCAAAAAGTTCGTTAGTTTCCTTTCTTAAAGATAACTCATTATATCATGCCATTCATGAATCGATTTCATTGCAGTGTTTTTAAATAACTAACACCCGTTGTTATGCCTTGGTCTACTGTCTGAGGTGTTTTAGTTTCCAGTTCTTTAAATTCTAGACTATTAGCTTTGAAGACACTTGCGTTTTTTGAGTTAAAGACCACTATATTACTTTGGTCGCAAAGTGAGCCCGCGCTTACAAGGTTTTCATTGGCATCAGGAACATACCGGGCCTTACCTTTACAAAGATTATCCAAACCTTTAACCTCTGAACCCCCACTCAATCTGATTATTATGCCAGTCACCGGTTAAAGTTCATGAATATAGCTTTTACCATTAAAATGTGACTGCTGTCTCCGGAATCCAAAATGTTTTTTTCCATTATATCTGAGTGGTTGCCCATGTTAAAATAAGACCGTCGCTCGCATTCCTTATTAGGGTGTGTGCTATTCATAAGTTTTGTTCGGTGCATTTTAGACACTTCAACCCATTTACTTGGACGAAACGATAATTACTGGCATAATTATTCTTACCGCAGCGTATACATCGTTGTGTTCCATAGGTTTCTTTTCTTAAGTTATTTAAATAATCTTAATTACTCGCTTTTTTTTAAGGCAATTTCATCACTGTACCCGGAATCCTGTTTAGCAAATATTTCCCAAGCAGTAGCACTGGTACTAATTCATTAAATGTTTACTTCTCTCTCTTATAACTTCTTTTTAAGACATTGTCTGTAGGGAGAGCTCCTAAAAAACTAGTGATATTCATCCTCTCGTTTACTGTGTCGCTTTTGTCTTGGTATTCTATCCTAGGGCGGAGAAATATTAATTCTAGCTATCCATGCTTATAAATTAATTTTGACGGCTTATCGGTTTTAGGACTGTTATGTACTGATTACAGTTAAAGATAAAATAAAACCATCAAAAATAAGCTATCAAGAAACAGAGTACAATTCCAAAAACGACTTTATTATTTATTTTTTTATATATTAATGGCGTTTCCTGGTGCTCGATCTAGTTAACAACTAAATATATGAGCTCTTCAATAGGTTTTTAGTCGTCCACGAGCGCAAGTAATATTATTACCTTAACATGTGTCCTTTACGTTCAGTTCATACCCCCCAAACTTAACTTTCAACCGTCATGGTAAGAGAGCGTCGAGTGGACTGGGGCAGTATTGTGCGCCGTCCTATAACCCATAAATGAGTTCTTCCGCTAGTAGGTGATTAGCGTGTCCACATATCCGTCCGTAGATGGCAATGGCATCATTTTTAAAGAGTGTGGTCAGCAGCTCGTTCCGTAATTCATGGAAGTGTATCATCGCGCACAAACCACAGCGCGTTTGTTAAAAAGCGCAGCAGTTTGTTTTGTCGCACTATAGCAAGGGTTTTACTGGCGGCAAGTCTTGGGCCTAGGCAGAAGATGCATATGTCATACTCGACCGAATGTACAACACATGAAGCCTTCTCTTATTTCGCAACGAAAGTTTACTTTTGCTGCATAATAGAGCATATAGCATCTGGCCCGCTGCCTTGACCTTCGCCATTACAAGAATTAAGGTTAAATAGACCCTTATAGTTATTATCTTCCCGTAAGATCTCTAAGTTAATCCACCCTGTTTATATATGTGTAGTCATTGGGCTCTTCTTCTCGTCATTTAATAATGCAATACTAGAGATAGTACCATTTAACTAAGCTCAAAAGACCCATGAGTGGTGGTATGTTTTTTTAACAGTGGATTGTATGGCTGTCTATGACTCAAAATCTCCTTCTCTAACTTTAAAACACGTGAAAAAGTATATTACTGCACTTGAGTTATGGTCTGGTCAGTGACGAATTACAATTAACACACTTTGGAAACAAAGCTACTCCTTTATCGAAAAGAATATTTCAACGGAGTCATCTTTTATAACTCTTTGTTAACTTTATCAATTAATATATTTAAAGGCGCTTCGAGAGCCGACAATCAAGATAGAGCCGGAGCTTTCACACAATGAAAAAAATGGAAATAGTTGACCTTAGCATGCTAATTTATCAATATAAAAATTTTATATTAATGACATCTATCATTGCATTAAGCGCGTCATATTATTTACTAATAATCTTAATCATATTCGCTGCAATTTATGATAACAGTTCATCTGTTTTAGATCACAGCGCTTTAAAGGAAGGAAAACACGTGACTTAATTTACAATAAGTATTCAGTCATTTTTTGTAATTATTTGAAGAGCTAACTTACCCTTTTCCCCTTTTAACGGCCCCATTGTTTTAAAGATATACATACTAGTCACAAGAAAAACTTTTGTTTTTTTGTTAACAATTAGTATGTAAGGAAATACTCTTCAAAAGTATGTTTTAGTGTAACTGCAAACTTACTAATCCTTATAAAAGTGATTAAGAACTAGCTATAACTTTAATTAGTATTATTATAGTAAATATCTCCCACAGAGAAAGTTGTGATACATATAACCTGTAACAGAGCTAATACAGTTTACAAACTTATGTAACTCTAAAATAAGAACAACTTTTTAGTTTGCTTCTATAGTCTATAATCATACAAACCCTACTTCTTAATTAAAATATTTATACGGTATATAATAACTTTGGTATTAACTTAGCCATACAATAAATAGGGGCAAATGTCTGTATTTTTAAATTAGCTTTTGTTAGTAAGCGAAATTACCTAAATTTTCAATTTTTTTAAAATTCAGGAAATTTTGAATAAGATTTTGGGTAGTAATAAAGCAATACATGTCCATTCCCCCTCTTAGGCTTTGAAGAGCATAACAACTCTGGTATAAAGCAGTTTGTTGAAAATCGCCCTCGAGAGAGGTTAAAAGGTTCAAGGAGCAGGAAGAACTCAAAAACTGGCAGAACACTACAGAGTAAAGATTTTTACTCAGAGGTAGAGTTTTGTCGCTTTAAGATGGAACTTAACGAAACTCCGGGGTTCTCTTTAGCAAAAAGTTTTATGGTAAACTATAATAATCATATACATTCACCTAACATTGATAAGGCAGGAGCAATTGCTGGATTTGTTGTTGACGCTTCCTTGTATCCTTTAGACACTTTAAAAACTCGTTTGCAATCTTCTCAAGGATTCATAAATTCGGGTGGCTTTAGGTTTAGTTTCAGTTTATAAGTTTCTAACTAAAGTATATATCTTATATTTATTAGACAAATTTATAAAGGGGTATCAATAAATATCATGGGCTCCGCTCCGAGCGCTGCCCTATTTTTTTTAACTTATGAGATTTGTAAGAATTTATTAGCGCATGAAAAAAAAGAAAGCGGGTGTTTAAGCTCTCGGTAGTTATATTAGTATATTGAGTGAGTACCAGATTTTTTTATGTAATGTTTACAGTAAAGAAGCTCTGATACACATGGGAGCCGCCTGCGGGGGTGAAGTTGTAGCAGCCTTTGTTCATGTTCCCACAGAACTTATCAAGCAAAACGCCCAAGTTGTCTTGTTTAAAAGGGAGACTTTAACTTTTCAAGCTCGTTCTAGTGAACAGAATATACCGCTAATAGTGAAAACCATTATAAATCGTAATGGTTTTTTAGGGCTATACCAAGGAACTTTTTTTTTAATTATTGTAGTTTCCTACTTTAATTTTTTTTTTTTTGGTAGGCTTTTGCGCGACTCTTCTCCGCGAAGTGCCTTTTGCCATCACACAATTTCCGCTGTACGAGTATTTTAAAAGCCGTCTTCCTAGTAAATTGGGTAAACCCTTAAGCTCGTTGGAATCCGCTGCTTGTGGTTCTTTGGCTGGTATAAACTTCTCATAATTTCCGTATTTGCGACTTGATTTAATGAGGCTTTAGGAGCAATAGCGGCTGTAGCTACCAATCCGTTAGACGTTATCAAAACTAGAATAATGCTAGGCGAGGTGAGACTCTTAAGCTACATAGCGAGCGTCTTTACTAACTTCAAGGTGTTGCATTAAAAATAAAGGATTTGAAAGGCTGTGAGTATAAGAGCTGGAGTGATACCGTCAAGCGTGTATATCGCAGTGAGGGCGCATCAGTTTTTTTCAACGGATTGCTACCCAGAACAGTTTGGATCTCGCTAGGCGGTTTCATTTTTTTTGGCATCTATGAAAAAATGCTTTGCGTGCTTTAAGCTAGCCATTATTTGAAGTTGTGTCGTTGACTACAATTTTTGAAAAAAATTAGTTTGTAAAACAACGTATTATGCTCATCTGACCGCATAATCTGTTCGCATTTTATTTTTTATACAAATAAAATTATTTTTTTAAAGCTCAGTCGCGCTCATCTTGTATTTCTACCAAATTAGCGCAAATCTCCAAAGCAATTTTCTTTGTACCGGCTGCAACCACTCTTCTAGCGAGTAGATCTACGCTGCCTGCAAGGAAACAATAGTGCGTCTCCTGTATAACGCACTTTAAAGTATTACGAAGGGCAGGCCTTACCACTAGTGACGTCCAACACCACGCCATTCGCCTCTTCGACAATAATGGAGGAAGCAGCGTAATCCCACACGTGGATGCCAAATTCATAATTTCCTGGTGATAAATGAGGCGCTTTTTGTGGGGGAGAGATTAAATAAATCTAACCGTCTGCCCGCCCCTCAGCTATTAAGCACATGTTCAGCGCTGCTGATCCAGTAGAACGGATGCCGTGACAGGGGCAAGTTAGGAAATTGTTAAAGTTTTCTTGAACCTTCTTTAAGCGTTCTGGCTTCCGATTAGACCTAACACTCGTTGGTCAGAGAAGTGATAAGCAAAGTTAACAGACTCACCCCCATTCGGAAATTAGAAGCGATTTCGTTAAGTCGGTACACTGACTGGCCTCTATACGTTGTGAATTAAGGAAAGCTCCACCGCCTAACGTAAGTTTTGGTAGAAGTAGACATAAATATGTAAGCTTTTTTAAAAATTAATGATTTGAAACATAAAGGGCTCAAGTCTGTAAAGTAATAGTTAAGATCTTGTGCGAGTCAATAAAAACCCCATCTGAAAAGTTGAAAGGGCTCCTGCTTAACTCTCAACATGGTATGCGGGAGATATACCGCAGAGCTGTTAAAGTTATATTAACTACTATTTAATCACCACCAAATCCACTCTGGTAAATCAAGTAGGCAGTGTGTAGGAATAATTTTATTATAAAAATAATATATGTAAGCGAAGTCTAGTATTGTAGCAACTTACTGCAAGAAAGCTTGTGTTAAAACAAACTAAAACGTAATAATTTAAAACCTTCTTTCGCATAGTATAGCCGGTTAAGTATGGGATTATAAACAACGCCGAGTTTAACTTTTTGCTTAATAGAAAAGCCAATGCACACGGCTACATAAGGAAATCTGATCTTGTAGAAATTAAATTTTATTAAAAAAATTAGAAAATAAGTTAAACCCATGCACAAAATTAGTAGTGCCATCAATTGGGTCTATTATCCAAGTAGGACGGCTAGTCAGATGTACTTTCGAGTTTAAAACAGTAGATTCTTCTCCAATTATGCTAAGAGAGCGTTAGAGCACCACAAAATTAAAAGATTTATAAATAAACTCATGATCCGGGTATAAATCCTTAATTTTTGTAACAATAAGCTCTTCACAAGCTTTATCGGTTTCAGTAACTAAATCGGTAGAAGATGTTTTTGTTTGAATTTTTTTTTCTTTATTTATAGCACTAACTATCAGCTTTCCGGCTTCCCTACAAAACAAACAAAAGATCAAAAGCAAATGCTAATCATTTTAAACTCACTTAGCGCATTGTACAGCCAGATTAAGTAATTCATCTAAATTTTCTTGACTCATTCCAAATTTTTTTATCGATATGCAGAAAAACAACTTTTATGATTACCAAAGTAGCACAGTTTGTCCGCGCCCACAGACTTAAACTTGCAGATTAAGTTTATAAAGCTGGTGGGTTGCGTTTATCCATTTAGTATGGAGATTACCTAATGGTGGCCCGAGCCGTTTATTTGGAGTTTTGGTTGTCAAATCCCCGTTTAGTTAAAAGTATCATTTATTTTCAAAGTAATTGCGCTTTAAAAAGATTTTTAAAAAATTTTTCTAATTGCTCTAAATTGTTAAGTTCTTCGGCAAAATAATATATTTATTGCCTATATAAGTGGTCCCTTTTAGAATCTCAAACTGTAACACAAATTTATTGACAAGTATAGTCATGTTAGTTTATTTCATACTAATTTTAAATATAGTATTAATGACTTTTCATTTTAAAGTTTTTCTGTTTAAATCTGTTTACACCATCTTTAACAGTTTATCAAAATCAAAGTAATTACCTGTTACGACTTCAGTAAATATCAGCAGCTAAAGAACATTTAGCATTGGGATTGTGTTACGAGGTGAGTAATATATCCTATTTGATAAAAATATTAACTAAATGTAGCAGCAATAATTATTTTAATGATTATACCTCTAGCGTATATTTTTACTACAAAAAGTTTTAGGCTAGTACACTAATTTGTATGAAAGTTAAATTAGATTTAGGTGGAAAATGTGTAAAGGTAAGCAAGTTCCCTGTTAAATGGCAATGTTCTGAATGCAGAAGTATTCTTCTCTTTAACGCTACCTTTTCTTTGATTTCACTCCATTTTAACACTTTACATAAGAATTTTATTAACTTTGCTTTTAGCAGTTTTAGCTCTGAGAAAAATTGCTTCCCAAATGCTTAGTTAACAAAAAAACTTCTACAGGAGATCGCGATACCTTCTCGCCGTCTCCTTCAGTTATAAATTAGACTGAGAAATCAGAAACTTATATAGACTTCGTTGTCTGCGGAGCGTTTATAGCTTGCAGAATAGCTCTACTAATTGTAAAGTTTTTTTTTTGTCAGTCAAGTTGCGGAAAATTCAAAAATTCTTTTTAAACCAGATTAACTTCTTTTTAATGAATTCTTCTAAATAAAAGGGTAGTGGAATAAGTAAATTAAGTTCTAAAATATCTATAACTTTGCTTGCAGTTTGCTTAAACGTTATGACTTTTACAGTTTAGGAAAATTTATAATAAAAATAAGTAAAAAAAAACCAACTTTAACCTTCGACATAAAAATTTTAAACTTTACTGCTGTGTCCTTCTTTAAAAGTCTTTAACTTCAGAAAAACCCTCTAACTCTAACAGTAGATAAAATGGAATGTATTTTTACTTACAATGCTCCCTCTTGTACATATTAAATAGGAAGCGGTCAGTCCATATCAAGTTTGTAGAACATCAGTGAGCCCACCAAAAGGTTTAAAACTTATAATTAGTTGAACTCATATCAGTAGGCGTAACAATTTCAGAAGAGTATAACCAGCAAGCGCTATGTATGCATATTCATTGTCAGTATCTAATTATAACTGAAAAAAAATGACATTGTAATTAAGAAGTATGCGCATACCCTAATTATCTGGTTTGTGTAGAAAAAAAAACACTTTCTTTTTATATAAAAAATTGTTCTAATTAGATTCTCAGATTTTTAAAGTCTCCTTAGGGCGAAAGGTATTAAAAAACTTGCATAAATAGTATGTAATTTTTTAAAGATGGTCTTCGTAAGTTTTATTAACACTATAATTAAAGTTTTATTTGTAAAGTGGTCACTAAAACAACTTAATTTTGTCTTTTAAAATATTCGTATTTGCTCCACTAATAGCATCTACTCTTTCACCTGTTTAAAAAAAAACACTTTGTAAGTTATATATAATTAAAAAGATAAAATTACAACAAGATTTACCCCTTTTAAAAAATAAAAAGGTTGGTAAAACTTGGATGCCTTCGTCTTTGGCAATAGCCTATATAAACTATAGAGATGAATAAAATATCGTTAAAAGTTTAAACAGACCTGAAACTTTTCCACATCAACTATATAAAATTGAAGATCGGTATTTTTGTAAATTTCAGAAAGCTGATCGAATGCTCCTTTTGAGTGTAAAGAGGCTTCATCCCTGTTAACAACACATTAGAATTTTTAGTATTTAACTTAATGAAAAAGGTACCAGCTTGTTTTGTAGCAAATCACAGCCTATCACTATGTTAAAGGAATATTGAGTACTATGATAAACTAAAAAAAACCTTTTCGAGAGCCTTTACGTTATCATACTCTTCTTTTGAAACCAGAACCTTCACCATTTATACTTCCAAATAGTTAAAGTTAAATTAGGTTTTCTTTTGTAACTACAAAAAATTAAAATTATTTGTAATTATATAAATAGCAAACAGATACCAAACCCCAACGGTTTTGCTAAACTACACTGGAGAAGCGTGAAAAGTTTATAGTTTCTAGTTAAGATGTATAGTAAATGGGCTACCTTTTTTAATTTTTTTATTAAAATGCGCAAGTTCAACAGATGGAAGATTTAATAACTTTGATGACAAACAAAATTAGTTGCTAAAAAAAAATATAATATTGAAAAGTTATCTGTAGGACGAGCTTGTCTTTAAGCTGCAATAAATATAGGGAACACTGATATGACTATAAAGCTATCAGACTCAGTAAATGAGTTTCTCATATAGTAAACGAAAAAACAATGCCGGTTCTTATATCGCTTCCTTTCTTTAATATATAATTTTATAATTTGTTTCCAAAAAAACAACCGTAAAGTTATTTTTCTCTCCCTCCATGTGAAACTTCTGTAGTCGAGTAAATCATTTCCTTTTTCTCGTAAATTAAAATATACCCCTTTCTTTTTTGTTACTGTTTAATTTATCACTATCGTCTCACCAATATACCTTAACAACCAACAGTAAAATATAGTTGATTTTGATTTTATTTACTCTTCAATCCGCTGGTTGAAGCTGCTTGATAGAGGCATAATAAACATAACTCCTCCCCCACCCCTTAAATGCTTTAAAATATCTATATCATAGAGTGCTCCGTTAAATCAAGTTTTCAATACAAGTCTATAAGTAAATTAGCTACTTTACCGCTAAGGGAAGTGCTTTAGGTTTAGCTTTGCTTGAATAAAGATTATTATAGACTAAAATGCTCTACTAATGGGAGATGTGATATATACTTAGCTTTGCTTTCGCGAACTGCCTAATTATAAATAGTTAACCATAAAACATTCGTTATAGCTTTACTGTAATTAGAGAAACTCTGATAAGCAGTTGTCTATAGCTTACATAATTTGCTTTATAAATTCTTATAAAAATTTTAAAAACAAGATAACTATAGAATTAGACTAACTCCTTCACTCATTTTGCTTGAGAAATAAAGTTATATGGCTTAAAATCATCAGTAAACGGGCAAAAAAAAATGAAAGTGCGCGAGAGAGCTATGAAGTTTTACGTTCTTAATCCTAGATGTGGCTACTTATCTATTTTTGAATTTACACTCGGAAGCTAAAATATCTAAAGGAATCTATCCTTGTTATAAAGAAGTCAAAGAGTTTCGCGAACTTAGGGAAGAACACAGAAGTATAACTCTCACAAGTAAAGCTTCTTTTGCAAATAAAGTACTAAAACTAGTCTAATTTTTTCTTTGCACTCCACAATCTTAAGAAATTATAAAATTTTAACAAAAAGATATACCCATTGAATTTATATATATCTATATCTTTATTCAAAAAATAACTATAAAAGTTACGAATTATCACTATATTCTTCCATAAAGCGCTTGTGGAAATTTTGCACGAGCTCTAAAAAAAAGTTATAAATATCAATGTGACTATTTATGGTCCAACCTGTAAAGCAGTCAAACTCTTCTTCTTGCGGTAAAAAAGTACATCGAAAATGGAAGGTGCCCTCCTTTTGGCCGAAGCCCGATCCGGGCACAGTTGACTGGAAGACAAAGCCAAGTGGGCTTTCTAACTAACAGTAGCAACTTTGCAAGGCGCTTACCACTCCTGTGTTTTCCAGTAGCTGCAAGCAGTAGAAGGCATCTGGCGTCATACCGCGCCGTTCCGCCTCTGCAATGGCTTTCTTGGAAAGTCGCACTTGAGGGAAAGTGTATAAGGCGCCCTGGGCGGGATTGCACGTGACAGCTTCCAAGGAATTGAAAACCTCCTGAAGGTAAATTTAACAAATGGAAGATCTAAAAATAAAATTATACTAGCACGAACCACAAGTCGGCGCGCCCTTCTTTTCAAGGAGTCCTAATAAGTTTACAGATTATACGTTATGTAAAAATTAAATTATAACATAAAAGGTTTACAATAATGCTTTGTTTTTCCTGGACAAAAAGCTCATACGACTCTTCTCCGGGAGCAGGAGGGTCGACCTGGAAAGCCAAATTGTAGTGGAGGCGCTGTTATGCTGATCCTTCCAAAGAAGTATTACCATCAAGTCGGTGGTAATCTGGCCAGCCACGCTGGAACAAAGGCCTATTGAAGCGAGTTTCAGCAACTGCTTTTCAACTTCGGGATCAATTCCGGAGAGCTCGACATATCCCCCTCGCTTGCCACATTCGCCAAAAAACCCCTTTGAAGTGCCTATAATAACAACAAGCATAAATAGAATTCTTGGGATGCTAATAAATAAACTGAATACTATGAAAAGAAAAAAGTTCCAAATCCCTATGCCTGCCCCCCATACGCTCTTTAACCCGTTTAAACGAGGCAAAGGGTAAAGCTGAGTTGTAAGTGTTCTCCTGGTAAACCTCGTCCGCTAGCAGAACCAAGTTCTCAGCGACACAGAAATCGACGATCTGGTAAGGACCAACAATCCAAAATTTTATAAAGAAAAATGCTCAAGAACGAGATAGGAACCTCCTCCATACGGGCAACGCTTATACAGTTGCCCACGGGATTCCCAGGATTAATAACGACTAGCGCACGGACATTGGTGCCGCCTTGACGAGCCTGCTGGATTGATCTTCTTAACTCGTTAATCTACGTAAAGAGAAGAGACAATAGAGCAATTAGCCAACAGCCATTCAACACTTACCGAGATTGACCAATCATCGTCCTCGTCAAGATAGTAAGGGCAGGAGACGCCATTCAAAAGAGTTAATGTTGCAGAATAAAGCGGGTACTGCGGAGTGGGAATCATGATCTGAGAATATAGAAGAAAAGAAAAGAAATAATACTGGCCTAAAAACAACAAGCAGAATTTTATAAAAAAGATCAATTATTCAAAATAAAATTAGAAGTTACAAGTAATAATAAAAATGTATTAATTGGTTTAAAATATATTGCGCCTTTTAACATGCACAATAAATGAGCAGAATAAAAGATCTATACTCCGACATCAAGGCCAGAAATTAAAAGTTGAAGCACAAACGTAACGGCTTGACTAGCACCATTGGTTAAAAAAATCTTGTTAGGATCTGAAGGGAACCCATCTCGTCCTCGTTCATAACAGAATTAGTTTAACTGTAGAAGGGAAAAAAAAAAAAGAGAAATACTTTCGATAAACTGGGCAACATGCCCTCTAATAAACGTCATTCCCTGCGAGATGGTATAGGAACCGGAACTTACCATACCATTTTCAAAGTAACTTTGGGCTCTTTTAATTGCATCTTTAGGAAACAGCTTATTGAAGATGAAATATGTTATTTTAAAAAAAGAACATAAAATAAATTACCTTCAAAGTCTGAGCCATATTCTTTTCCTCCATTAAATACGGGCACTCCACTAAGGCTAATACTTGCCTTACAAAAGTTAAAGGCTTCTGTCGAAGTTCCTGTGGATTGCCTATGTTACAGCGGACAACTTGTTGAAAAGGGAACCTATGCTGGGGATTCTTTAATTGCTATTAAATAAGATTACAATACGAGAAAAAAAAAAGTTTTTGTCTTTTCTATAAAACCAAAAATAGTTCTTCGGCTCGTGCAGGTATGCTACCTCGAACAGCGTACTCAGCTTCTTTCAAAGGCTTACTAATACAATCAAGATTCAGCACTTTTTCTGGTAGCATTGTTATTAGCAGGGTATTAATTAACTAACACCAACAAAGAAGTTAAAAATAGGTTTTTAAGATAAAGGTAACTGATTTGAGTAGAGAAATTAAGAGCACGTAAAGTTTTGGAAGGTTCAGAAACTTCTATTTTCCCCTTTAGGGCTAAGTTACGTAACATCATTGCATAAGTTATTTCGTTTTTATAGAGTGTGGGTCAAGCATTGCTATATGGGACCGTGCTCAAGGAAACAGTAAAGGCTGAGGGCCAAAATAAAGGGCACCTTGAAAGTATTGGTGCAAACTGTAAATAAAGCAGGGGATCTAATAGCTCGATGGAACGTATTTGCTATCGCGCGGTATTATCTTTTTGCAATTTTTATAGATTACTCTCTCCATCGATAACCATGTTGACAAAGTAGAATATGTTAAAAATAAAATGCAAGCACTTGTAATTAAATCAACTTAAATATATATACTTGATCACTTTTTTTTTTTTTTAAATTTACAACAGCAGGTTCAGTACTACAGCTTTTCATGTTAAAATTAAAAAAGAAAACTGGGCATCTTTATTTAAATTATAGACCACGAAAAAACATACCCAAGCCATAGATGACTACCTTGACTTTAAGAACATTTTCTTTTGTGGGTTTCTTATATAAAAGTAAAAGAGCAGATTTTTTCGTGAACACGAAATTGTTATAAAAAAATCCGCAAAATAATAAGCTTTGAATATAAAATAAGTCGATAAGAGTTTGTTTTGCAAATCTTTTTACTTTAAAACTGCAAAGCTACCTCTAAGTGTCTCTATCATGAAGTTTTTAAAGTATACACTGACAGCTGTATTGAAATGCTAATAACTGCTATACTATGTAACAAAAATCGACTAGAAATTCGAATAGGTCCAGTTAAACCCCTTGTAGCTCCCATCATTCAGGGTAAAATAAGAGACCAAATTGTTAATTAAAATTAATTTAAAGAAACGGTCTTACTTTGAGTTTTGTTTGCTTAGAATTAAAAGTATTCCTTCAATTTCTTTTCCTCCTATTTTAAAAAAGAATATATTAATACCTCTTTAAAAAAAATTATCCTTACACTGTAAATGTGATAATAAAAAATAGAGGTGGTACCACCTGACTTTAACTGTCATATAATTTTCTTTTTCTAATATTTAATTAAACTTGTATAAAAAAAAATTTTGCGACAGGACAACTGAAAAAAAAGCTGAGAAATGTAGATCCTCAAAAACTTTAACAATTGCGTTTTCGTATTGCATTTTTTTTAATAGAATACACCCACCAGTAAATATGGCACATATTATCCGTTAGAATAAATTTTTACATAAAATTACTAACTAAATATGCTTTAAATTAAATAAATAAGAAAAGATTTAATTATTATATACAAAATGTAGCACATTTCTAAAAATAAAATTGAGAGCAATATAGATCACCAACTTTCGTGATTCATATTTAAAATGTTTGCTTGAGAAATATAAAAAAGATTAATTTTAAAGATTTATAGTAGTATTAGACGACGATGATACCTACTTGTTGTTTTATTAAAAAAAGCAAATTACACTCTATGCTAACTTTGTTGTCATTAATATTTATCGTTCTTAGGCGCGGACGCGGGGATGGTAATTTCTTATGCGTTTTACGAATTGAAAATTAATACGCTTACTAAAACTCGTGTGGTATAGGTCAAAGGCTTGCCTGGGAAATTCTTTTTAGTAATTCTATACTTAGAGCTCCGCAGAGCAGAGTAACATGAACCTAATAAATCTAAATCTATATATAATATCGAGGCTTTACCGAGATAGGAAACCCCTTGCGCCAATGTAATCTATGTTATTATCCCTAGCACAAATTATTGTAATCCTCTACCTAAGAAACATCGAGTATTTTATATACACTCTACTTTTTTTGCTTACTCGTATATTGTCTTATCACAGAGTGCATGATTTGCATGAATTACTTCAATCTAGTGATTACGCTAAGCAAATTTTTTCGTAACACTTAAATCATGAAAAGTCTAGCTGCAAGCAACGGATGTATCCGTAATAATCATTCGTATAAATAGATTATACCACTTCAAGAGTCATTATTTGCAAAAAAATTTTTCAAATGACTTACCTCTTTGAGTATATTCCCGGTATCTATAAGCTTCCCTTATATAAAAAAATTTTTTTAGCGAGTAACTCAGTCAGCCGAAAAGTCGAGCATTCATCTTAAAAATAGAAGATAGAGACTATTTGCACGCTGTTTAGAAATGCAAACAGTTCTTTATGGTAAAGGGAAGAGCGAACAGTTAAGTGAAACTCATTTGAACCTGGACGTTTATTAAATTTAAAGATATCATTTTTTTTATTATGACTCAGCTAATGTATTTTATAACCAGGTTAAGGTGTACACTAGATATTGCTTAAGGTTAAAGTGCTAAAAGTAGTAATTAGAAAAAAACTAGAGTAATACCAATTAAAACTTTAAATTTAAAGGCCTCAGCTATTGGGGAATTTGGTAGTAGAGCAGTCTAACAACACCTATTATATACAGCTATACAAAAAAGAACGACTTGTCCTATGTGAGTTGCGCGCCTTCTCAGGTATTTACAAAATATCTGTACAACGTAGCCCAACCTTATATAATTAATCGATGGAAGCTTAGTTTTTTTTAATACTGATACAACAATAACAAAGTAAATATATTATTTTTGTGTTGTAAATAAACATTTTACAATATCGATTTCAAGCGGCAATCTCAATACAATTTTTAAGTTCTAATTATCTTTACTTTGTATTCAATAACTTTGTTAGTAAAGTAGTGTGATCTGATACAAACTTTACATCATACTATTTGCTGGTACTGACCAGTGGTAAGGTAAACAAGAACTAATATAATGTCTAATAAAGCACCAGCAGAGTTTTTTATTTTTCTTATAATTTTTAGGTAGGACCACTTAAAATTTGAAACAAAGCTAACCGCGATTGTCCGCAATATGACCGCAAACAGTTTACGTAAATATGACCTGTGAGCGCTTTATACAAAAGTTATTTTTGTCTTAATATACAGACCTCGTAGTTTGGAGGATTTACTAATATATTAGTTAAGTCTCCTGTACTCCCGAGAACGATTATTGTCATTCTTTAAGAAAAGTCTTGAGGAAGAGCTTCTTTTTTTTTTCATTTTTTGAGCGGACTTTAGCCTATATAAGGAACTTCTCTTTTATCTTACGGGGAAGTTGTCTCTAAATACTATTCATTAGACAGCGTTAGAGGTTGATAGCTTATTTAATAGTAAACATTATTAAAAACTGGTTAACCATAATTTGAACAAGCAAACTCGTTACACGTTATTAAACAATTTGTTATTAAGCGACCGCCCGGTCTGCTCAGTGAAACTACTTCTGAAGTGGGACGCTAGTTTGCTCAAGTTTGTGAGTATTTTTACAAAAATGACGTATTTCACGTGAGTGAAGCAAGAAGAAACCTTGAAATTTTACTAATAACTCGCTTACCTAGTATATCTCATAGATTTAGATCGAATATTACTAATATATTATATAAGTAAAAGTATCCCCAATAACAGTGAAATTTTAAAAAAAATATATCAGTAGTTACATGTTACATATGTTAAACTATTGCAAGGTTTTTAAAGTTATGGAAAGAACAAATACAAATTTAATAAATTTTTTAATATATCAATTTTATTTTAAACATATGTGAAGTTACCATAAAGAATTTTCTATTGAGATCTTTCATGAGCTGCCTAAATTATACTTTCAGTACTTTATAAAATGCCTCCATAACGTTCTTGACCTCCTAGAGTACATAACAGGCACTTTTCGCCATATTATTTAAAGAAATAAAGAAAGACAATTATTTATGGAGAATGCGAAAAATATACACTATAAAATAAATATTATGAAAATTATAAGAATATTTAAAATTTTGAACTTAAAAGTTGATTCGTTTTTATTTTCAGTTATCTTAAATAACCTACGAACTCACCTGTTCCCTATATCCTTAGAATTTACCAGTTTGTCTGCGCGTTAAGAAGACAATACGAGTAGCTTACCAATTGAGAGTTAATGGAGGGCTCCCTTTAATAATTGGGCGCTCCTAGCCGGGGGAGCGCCTCCCTAGCATTTTGCTGACAGGTGGCTGCCTATGTTTGGTCCTATGGAGGGGTTCCAGCTCCGAGGCTCAAACCCTTTTTTAGAGTTACTCGAAGGCAACCCTTATAATTACTCAAAAGCGTACGGTAATGGGTACTTGTGTTTCTTATTAGAAAGGAAAATAGGTATATAACGACTTAAAATTCCTTGCAATATGCGAGTTAATTTTTCCATAGCAACTCTTCAAAACCAGGAGCTTCTTAACAGGTGTGATTTATTTAAACTTAAAAAGAATTTTGATTAGCGTTAAAGAGCCCATAAGCAAAGGGCTGGCCTTAGGATATTAGTGGTGTCAGTGAGGGTATAAAGTAATGTTTGATTAAGCAAACGTCGTGACTCATTAAGAATTCAAATCAAAAACGGTTAAATTGAGCGGCGCCGGTTAATAAAAGTGCTGGAGTTAACTAAGATAAATCAAGTGACAACGTGGTCATCTGCATGTGTTTATTATGTCTCATGTCTGTCCATTAGGCACCACGTACCTACCCGCCTGCTTTAGTCATGTGCTTTTTACCATGTTTCTACTTCTGTCTTACATTTTTCACTAAATGTTGGCGAGGGGTTCAAGCGACGGCCGACGTGCTACCTTAACGAAAAGAGCCTGAACCCGATGGCATCACTAATGAGATGCTGAAGAAATTGCCATTAAAAGGGATGCATTATTTGTACCTCCTAGCAAAAGCTGCGAAGGTCCTTGGCCCCTTTCCGATCCGATGGAAGACGGCGACCGTTGTGTTGCTGCCAAAGATACTTAGACCGGAATCAGCAACTAGCAAGTACAAAAACCCATCCAGTCTCCTGTCAGCAGCAAGGTGGGAGAGACCGTTTTACTGCGCCGAAGAGGTCGTTAACGCAAGGACGCCTTACCAGTCCCCCTTGGGATTTCGGCAAGAATACTAAACGACCCGCAGCCCCTCCGCTTAGCTGAATGGATCACTCGCGCATTTAACTTTAGGAAGGCAATAGACGCTGTCTTCCTTTATGTTGAATAAGCAGTTGATCAAATTGGCATGAAATCTGCTGCACGAACCGCGCCCGTTATCCTTGCCTCATGGTCTTTACAAGGTGCTGAAGTCATGTCTATATAGCCCCGCCTTCAGAGTGAGCGTAGGAGATGCACAGTTGCCGCTGCGATCTCTGACAGCAGGGGCCTCTCAGGGATCACTTCTTTCGCCATTTTTGTTTTCAAATTTATATGAGCGACACGCCCTTACTAGCAGATCCAATCACACGAATCGCCCTCTACGCCTATCGTCGAATTCTACCGTCTTGCTATCTTAACGCCCTTGCTGCCTGGTGTCGTAATAAGAAAGTTTCTATAAATGCGGTGAAGAACAAAGCTGTTTTAATTACTAAGAAACGCGCCCCCTTGTGGGTGCACCTTTCATTGCGTGAAGATGCCGTGGTGTTCTCAATCGAAACTTAGCAGTCATTTATTGACAACAAACTTTCCTTACAGCCACACGTGGACTATCTGGTGGGGAAGGTCAAGGCAGCAACTAAGGCGCTTTACCCTTTACTTTGCGGCAAGAGCAAGCTTTCTCTGCGAAACAAACGCTAATTGTATATGTCTTACCGCCAGCCAATAATGACTTGCGTGTGTCTGCTGACTGGGCCTAGGACTTCATTGCAACAAATTACTTGTGCGAAATGAATTCTTCAAGGGCTTCCAGCTGGGCCCTTTAAACGTCGTCTTCCAACGTAATACCAATGCCATTCACCACAGGCTAGCCAGGGACACTAATCGCCTGTTGATGAGTGAGATTATTTACAAGCCGTGGGATGGAGGACGAAATTGACCGCCCCTCCTCTTTTCCTCCGCCACGTAGCGGGTGTAAAGATGTGAAGTAAAGTAGAGCGCTTAAATGAGAATAAGTGGATCGCTAGGCCAGTTGTAGGTGGAATGACAGATGTGATTTTTAGTTTGCACTGGAAATCTAAACCGAGTCAAAATAAACTTTCTAAATTTAGCACCACCCCCTTCTTATTTCCCTAAAGCCAGAAAAAAGGACGTTACCGGAAAAGAAAGAAAATCTATTTCAACTCAAGGCGCTTATTAAAAGCAGGTTAGGCTTCTTAATTTTTCAGTTTGTAAATTTTTATTGCTGACTTTAGGCTGATCAGAATTTATTATTCTCTCCAGAATTTATTACTCTCTCGACCAAAAGACACTCTACTTTGCTTTTTGGGTCTGTATTTTCCCACAGGAAAGTTTGCCTATATCTAAAGTCCGCTTGTCTTTATTTTCCATTTTCAATCTACTTTAAGTATTTAAAATTTAAATGTTTCCAAAATGAAAATAGTTATTTTAGGTAAATTTATAATCTAATAAACGATAAGGGTTTATAAATATCTAATAATAAGATTAATAAAATAAAGGTAAATTAACAAAGTGTAGGTTGTTTGTAACATACTAAAGCAAGAACACTATTTAGCTTACAGGTACGGTGAAAAACTTTCAAAGAACAAGGATGTCCCGTTATTTTATAATCTGACTTTGTTTATATAAAACTGGCTACTACCTTCATATTGTTTCTCATTCACTTTCCAATTTTTTTAAATTAGCTACCGCGTTTTCAAAAAGGTAATTTTAAGGTTAAAAAAAAAAAGTTAATTTTTATTAAAAGAATAGCTTAGAGAAGTTCACAGGTTTAGTTTTGCTCAATGATGCGCTGCAATTTGTCGTTTAAATTGTCAATAATTTTTTTTACTTTATAGCATTACTGAACATATTTTGTAAAGTAGTAGTTGTTATAGGCAAACCAGTCCGTATTGTGCTAATGCAAATAGTTTCAATGTTTAATATATTTGTCCATATTTGATTCGTTATTCAATCTAATATTGTGGGTTTTTCAACTCCTTAAGGTGTAGTTTTCTCTATTCAACTTAAGTGCTTTAAATAGCTGATCTCTAAGGGGACGCATAGTTACAAAAATATACTCGACAGTACAACCTAACAAGCAGATAAAATTTAAATGACCTCAATAACTTTGCTTCTTTTCTCTTTTACTACTTTACGTTTATACGCCAGATTTTTTATTCCCCCCCTCTCGTTAGATAGCTAATGGTAGCCAAAAAGTTTAGTTTTTGTTTTTTGTGTTATGTATATTCTTTTAATTACTTTGTTTATCGTGGTTTCTGTGTTACCACTTCTAAAGGAAGGATATAAAGTTTATATCCATGTCACGCCAGCATAAGGGAGAGGGTATGGTTCAAAGAGAATTAATAACCCTATTTCACTTCTCAGTTCAAATTCTCATTTTTGTTGTAGGTTCCATAGTTTACCTGCAAAGTGCGATTTACAAAGCAAACACTAACATTTATAATAATTACTGAAAAGCCTTTCTGGAAAAGGTAGGCATAGTGAGCTTTTTAATATGTTGACTTTACAGAATATAACCTGCGGAGACTGATATAAATAAAATGTTGTAATAATTAGATAAAATATATTTTTTCAGCTTGAAGCCACAGGCTCTCATGACCCCTTTTACTCAAACGCCATTACTCACTACTTTCTAAAGTAAAAGCCTAAATATCCATTGAAATATAAACTAGAAGGCACTGCCCAGTTGCCCTTCGCTGCATTGTTTGTTATAGCCTGAGCACGTGCATGACAATTAGTACTTGCTTTAATTGTTTTTCTTTACTACTAAAGGCGTTATGTTTTGTTAGATGTCTTCTCGCTTTAAAAGAAAAGCGAGGCTTAAGTATGCTTCTAACAAAAGTAAACTTTTAAATAAAGATAGGTGCCACATTAAAGAATTTGGTGAAGCTCATCAAGTTAATAGTTTTGATCATTCTGCTTTTTCTGAGTATCTTTTTTTTTGTTTCGTTTATTATATAATCAAGTTGTTACAAATATAGAACAAAGCCGTCAACACCAGTTCAAAAGAAGTCGTTCTGCAGTCCAAATAAAAAGTTTGCATTGTTTCACTACTTTGTTATTTTCTCTGTTATGTTTCTAGCACTCTTTAGCGGTGTCAGTTTATTTCAAAAATGATAATTTTCTTTTATTATTTTGTTATTTATGTTACTAAGGCATTCTTTATAATTTTTTTGGTTTCCTTTAAGTTCCTCGATTTTCTTTAGTTATTAAATAACTTTATATGGCATAAGTATTACTATTCTTTTCAGGAAAACTTCTTTTTCTAACTTAAAGATTGCAAAGAAAGCTGAGCAGGCTCGTATTGTTAAAGATAAATTTGGCATCTTGAATACTGATAAACATAAAGATAATCCTAATGTTGAGCCTTTGAAAGCTTACAATTCACTTATAAAATCTTTTAACAGTAAAAAAGGGTATTTATTATTGTTTTTGAATTTTTTTTTTCTAAAGTATTTATTATAGATCTCTTAAGCCCGCACACTCCAATTTTTTGCAAGACACCGATTTTTCTTCTGAATCCTTTTCCAACTCTGATCCTTGCGATTATTCTATAGAAGATCAACTAATTACTACAAACATTACAAATAAATTGGATGACTTGGAGCATAGCGGGGATGAAGAAATCGAATTAGGTATTTAACTATAAAGTAATATATAACATATCTTATTTTTTTGCATAGAAAACTCTGAAGACGTTAATGAATTTGATTTAACTTTGACTGCAAGAAGCGGTACAATATTTTAATAGCTACCAATTTTATATATTATTATTCTCTTAATATAAGATTATTTTAAAGTTCATTTTGAAGATCGGCTCGCTGAAGTTCTTAAGGAAATTTCAGCGTCGTTCTTGTACTTATAATTTTCTTTAACTTTTTTATCATAATTTTTTTTTTGAAGCACAATTTCGAAGCCCCTTTTCGATTCTGATCTTAAGGCTATAATTTCCTTGCCTGAAGATCGCTTTTTTTCTTTAGTGAATCCAATTATAAACGTTTCAATTATTTATTTTATATTTTTTCTAATTCCTTTTTTTTTTGTAAATTTATAATATCAATTTAATTTAAAACATGATTTTTATATGTTTTTAAAGTAAATTTGTTAAGATTTTTAGTACAGATTCATGATAAATTATACAAACGATGGCAATTTCTTAATTCTAAACTGTTAAAATCCAACGATACCAAGCAAACCGCTGAGATTCGCGGCGAAGAGGATCTTAGTTTTAAAGGCGATCTTTTTATATTTAACAATATGATTGCAGAATTTTTTATATTTAATTATTAGAATTTAGCAGAATTCAGTTTTGCCTCGCTTCCAGCATTCTTAAGTATCGCGATTGTGGATTTTTTGATAGAAACATGAATAACGATGATGACGTTATTAATTTGTATTGTCTTCACGTGAGCAACCATATTTTGAGGTTTACAATTTTGTGCGCGAGTTCAGATTTTTTTTAAGCTTCCTTATAGGAATCGGTCTATAATAATTAAAAATAATCAGCGAATTAAAAAGAATTCCGAAAAAGGCGACTTTTGGTAATTTTATTGTAACGTTTCGATTTTCATTTTGATTTTTTCTCGCTTTACTTTATGTTTGTTTTTTTTTTTTTAATTTGAGATTTTATCTTCCTTTTTTTTATTTATAATAAATTTATATTTGAAATTATAAATTTTTTGCTAGCAAAATCTTTTTTTAAATATTTTTTATTGAAATTCTTTTATTATTATTAAAAAGTGAGAATTTTCACTTTTTTGTACTTTATTGATGGATTATTTAAATCTTAGTGAGATTCGCGATCAAGGCTTCACGAGGCCTCAAGTTCTCATCGTTTTGCCCATGCGCAATGCTGCATGCAGAGTTGTGAATGTTTTGCTCGACTTACTCGCTTCGGATTCGAATGTTATTTTTTTATAATTTAATGTGCTCACTTTTCGATGAATATAATCTCTTTTTCTTGCTGCTGCACAGTTTATCGTTCGAAACAAAAAAAGGTTTTTTGAAGATTTTCATGAAAAAGTGGATCACGCTGGTGAAAAACCGGGTCGGTATAAAAATTTATCTAGTTATTGTTAAAAAAGTTATTAACTTAAAATTTTATTTCTAAAATTGATAGAAATTATAACTTTTATTTATATATTTTTTTTCGAGAAATTGGTATATTTTGGATTTTTTTTAATAAGATCATGTTTATATGAATAAAACTTAAGTAAATAAAGAAATTTTAAATCTCTTTTAAAGTAATTTATTAATTATAAATAATACTTTTATTAGTTTTTAAAGTTAATAATTTTTTTTGATTTTGAATTTGTATATATTATGATAACAGAAGTTATTTGTGCTTCGTACTATTTATATTAAAAAAAGAGAATTAAAATTTTTATTAAGTCCATTTAATATTAAAAAAACTCAAATTAGTTTAGAAAGTTATATAACAATAATTTAGGACTTTTATAAATGATAAAATTTTAAAAATTTGTTCTGGTAATAACTTTGTTTAAAAGAGACTTGAAGAAATATTGCAAAGTATATTAATTATTCCCGAAACTTTTTGCATTTTCAATTTTGTCCCGATGATTTTTTTCTAAAGTGAATAAAAATTTTTAAATTTCGTTGTTTTTTTAAAAAAACATTTTATTATATTTTCTATTTTCAACTTTGTTACCCTGAATTATATTTATAAACAGCAAGAAAAACTAGAATTTTAAAAATAGCATCTAATGTTCGTTATATGAATTATTTTAATTATGCTGGAATTTTATTGCATAATTTGAATCTTTAAATTTTTAGATTTTATAATATATATTAAAATTTAAATTGCAAGTTATTGTTACTTTGTATTGCACTCACAATTTATGAACGTTTTTAAATTTCTTAATTTTTTATAACTTTTGCTATAATTAAAATCTAGATTTATTCTAATGGATTATTTTGGTCACGCTGAAATCCTTATAAATACTTTGAATTTTTCATATTCATATATATTCTTTTTTTGTTATTAAAATCTAACTTAAAAGTAATTTTAGTTCAAGTTAGTTTATTTTAGATTTGTTCATTTTTAAAAATTTTTTTTTTAATAATCTTAAGTTCTAGCCATCGTAATTTTGATTTCGCTGAAATTTATAATTTGTAATTAAACAAATTATAAGTTTTTGTTATTTTCGATGAAATATTCTTTTTTATATATTTATTGTATTATTAAATCTTTTAATTTATATATATATATAATTATTATCTAAATATTATTTCTAATTTGATTAAAAGTACTTAAAGTTAACTTGAAAGCTGGTGTTAATTTTTTTTATAAAATTTTTTGTAATACATAAAATTCAAGTTAATAATTTTTTTTATTAAAAAAAAATTGTAGTTGTAATCTTAATTATATGTTGTTGTTAATTTTGATGCTTATTTCTTTTGTTTTACCAAAAATTATAATAATAAGTAAAGTTTCTATTAATTTTTCTTTTTCTGAAATTTTTTGTGCGTTTGAAAATCTTTTTTTTTTATAAAAAATAATTATAATTACAATATTTGTTGATTTTATTGCGCTAAGTTTATTTTTATTGAAGTAAAAATAAAATTATATTACTTAAAAGTTTTTTTATATATAAATAATACTAAATCAATTTGAATTATTTTTTTAGGAGATAATAATTTTTATAATTAATTTTAATTTTTAATTTATGCTGCTTATATTTGTATTAGTGAACTACAAAAGAAGTTAATCAAAAAGTTTTTTTTATTGATAACAATATATTATTACTCTGTTATAAATTGTATACAATTTTTTATAAATAATAAATTGTTTTTAAAAATTAATATTTTTTAATTAATTTTGATTTATTTCTTTAATATATTTTTTTTAAAAAAAAGGGTTTATTGAAAAATATATTATTGCTCACGAAGTTAAGAATATAAAACTTTATTTTTTTATACTTAAAATATACTTGTTTGTTTAAAATTTGAAAAAAATTAATTAAATTTTAGTTTGTAAATATATTTAATTTAAATTTATAAATTTATAATTTTTACATTTTTCAAAATTTGGGATAATAAAATAATTATTAATGAGGAATTTTTTAAAATATGAAAATAATTTTAGAGATTTTTTAATACTTTTTATTGTTCAAAGAAGGGAATTCAGTAAATAAATTAATATCAATAAATAATTTTTTTATAGTAAATTATTAATAAAGTACGTTGAGTTTAGTAAGCTGAATTATTTTATTGTAATAACTAATAATTTTATATTCATTATTTGAAATTAAGTCGAATCTAGCTAAAATTCCATTTAAGATAAATTATTTTTACTAAAATGAATATATGAATAAACTTATCAGTTTTTTATTTTAAAAGAAATTAATTAGAAACAAATTTTCTATTTAATACTTTTTTCTTATTTATTTAGTACTATAAATTTTATTATTTATAGATTTTTTTCGTGATTTTAATTTTTTTTTTAGCGGATTACAATTTTTTATTTGACGGAAACAAAGACGACTGTTTTTTGTTTGGCATCTCTTTGAGGAGAAAGTCTTTGACTCTCTACGCCAATTGCTACAAGTCCGGTCTTCTTTTTTTTGGCGGGAGCTTTTTTTAACTATTTTAATTTTGATTTCTAATAAAGACATCATTATCGCATCGCCGTTGGGAATCAGGACGGCCACCGCTCGAAAAGCTGACGGGTCTTTCAAGGCCGATTATGATTTTTTATCTTCTATTGAAATTCTTGTATTGGACTTAAGCGATGTTTACTTAATGCAAAATTGGGCTCATGTCAAAGTTTATTATTATTGCTGTTTTTATAAAAATTTTTTTTAGTAAATCTGTTCAGATTTTGTTTGAGTGCGTTAATCAGCTCCCCAAAGAAACAAGGGAGACCGATTTTTCGCGAATTAAGCATTACTTTTTAAATAACCTGTTGAGTTTTTTTTAACGTTTGTTCCTACGTAATTTATTTTAATTTTTAATAATTAGCGCAACGAAGTATCGTCAAACATTGATCTTTTCAAGATTTATTACTCCTGAAATTAATAATTTATTTAATCGTGTTGATAATTATGCTGGTTGTTACTAAATTTTTTTTTGTTACTATTATTATTATTATCATTATTAGGAAAAATAAAACTTATTCCTCACTACCCCGAGGGAAGTATATGCCACGTTGTGAATCGAGTCCAACAAGTTCGTTTTTCTTTTACTAATTTTCATAGTAAATTTCTTACAGTGCCTTTGTGCATCAGATTTTCCGGCGATTTTCTTGCGAAGATCACACATGCTTGAGTGATCAACGTTTCAGCTTATTTATTAACGAGGCTTTTATTTATTTTTAGGGGCCCCTTTTCTCGCGGTACCTGAAGTCTTCTTGTAGGTTTTAGGAGAATTCCGCGATGCACTGCACCAGAAGACGTGTCTTTTTGTGTCTTCTTATTTCGACTTCGTTCGTTTAAGAAATTATTTTGCTCAAAACTCCATCTCGCACGTCTTCGCTTGCGAGTACAGTAAAGGTACTTGAGCTGTGAAAATACGGCCAACGGTGATATTTTAACGAATTTCCGTCAAGAAAGTGCCATTTCTCGCTGCCGATCAAAATTTGTGCATGGAGATGCGCACTTTCTTATCTACACGGAAAGACTTTATTTTTATAAGAGGTAATCAGCAGCGCCGATATGCTTGAAATTATTCTTTGAATTTAAATTTTTAAGGCGGAAATTGAAAGGTGCTAAGCATCTCATATTTTATGAACTTCCTCTATACGAACACTTTTACTCTGAACTTATTAACTATTTGGAATTTGATTCCTCTACATCCTGCACTGTTTTATTTTTAGTTTAATTTTTTTTTACTTTTTTTAATTTCTCATTAGGTACTGTACTCTACTTATGATTCACTGCGGTTGGAGAGAATACTGGGCTCTGAACGGTCCCGAAAATTACTACAATCTACGAAGTCTACCCATCTTTTTTGTTAATCCAAAAAAATTTAATAAAGATGGAATTTTTGTTTATATTTTACACACTTTTGGTGTTATACAGTGAAACTTTCTCCGCATGCGCAGGAATGCTTGACGTTGGGATTTTTAAAAACAAACGAATGTGAGAGTCTGTCCTCCACCCAGTCCATTTCAGATCCTATAATTGCCATTAGAGCTTTGCCGTCGACAATGACGCGCACTCCATGCTTATAAAACAAAAATAGAAAAAAAAATTTATTTTAGTAAAGCTAGCTTTGGAAATTCGTGTTGCGCTGTGCTAAAATTTAGTAAACATTTGCCATAATTTATCTGTTATTTAACTAATTAAGTATGGTTACAAATTACCTATAATTTATGCCTTTAGCTACACGAATTATTTTATTCAAGTTTTTTTTTAAGTTAGCCTTCAAAAAATAAAAACTTTGACAAATAAAAGCACTATTTACTATAAAATAAGTTAGACCTTCTCCTACAGTATGAAAAAGAAGTATAAAAAAGAACAGATACCTGTAAAACTTCTTCATCAAATCTTCCTTTTTCTTTTACACAGTCTAAAGTGTAAGTCAGTCCGTTACAACCCTTTCTTTGAGTTCCAACCTAACGTAGCACTTAAAATGAAATGTTGTATGATTGTTGCTTAGAATTAAAAAACAACTTTCACAGCGTAAGCGTTAGGATTTTGCTTTAAAATCGCAGATATTTGTGCGGCGGCTCTTTTCGTCTAACCCGAGAAAATTAGTATATTTTATAGATACAGTAATTTTTTTAAAAAGGCCTACTATGCTCAAAACAGTTCTTAAGGGAGTTTTGGTAATATTGCTGGAAACAACTCGCGTCTGAGATCCAAGAGAGGGCATAGCATAGACGACCGCGCTCCAAAGAACACAAAGTGAGATAATTATATTAATAAAAAAAGTAATAACCCCGCAACCAATACACCAAATATTTGCGTTAACGCACCAGCTGTGTCCTTTTTATCTTTAACTGGCTCGATTTTATCAGGCCTGTTGTGAAAGGCAAGTCCTTCTAAATTTTGCACGTAAAAGTTCTTTGTAAACTTTTTTATAACGTTTTTTAAAATGTTGTAAGTCTGTATTTTGATATTTACTAGGAAACATATGAGTCCGTCGAGTATAACTCCTTTTAGAAATAGTAATATCTTTGTTTTTACTTTTTTTTTAACTGCTTTGGTTATTTTAACTTTAAACAAAGGTAGTGCTTAATATCTAGTAGCGTTTATAGGTTTAGGATTATTTTTCTCCTAACGAGGTGATTAACGTTTTAAAGTAGTAATAACCCTTTCTTATACTTGTTTAAGGATGTATTACTTCGTCTTAGTTACTTTTACGAACCAGCGTCTAACTTTAGCTCGTCCAAAATTTCTTTATCAGTAGCCAAACTTATATAATCAAAAATTTTAATTTTCTTTTTTAAGGTTACCAGTCGATACTTGCTACGTATATGTTTATTTAGACTTTAAATAAATTCTTATATATTTTAAAGCTAATTTTTTATTAATGTTCTCTAGTAAAACAAGTAAAACACTTGTGGTTCCATGTGTTAAACTTAAGCTTAATAGGCCCAATTACATAAATAATATAATAGCTTATTATAAAGTCCGAGAATCTTCCAGTAGATTTTGGTGTGCATTCTCATTTCGCAACATGACAACAACTTGACGGCAAACCATCTCTTTTTTTCATAAGTAAACTGAGACACATAAGCTTCTGCTTACACGAAACAGACTAATTACTAAATGATAGTAAACTACCAGTTGACTTTATTAATATGAAGGCGATGCTTAGCAAGTAAGCAGACAAGTTATTTGTGCATAGGAGCGTGCTTTTAAGCAAGCAGTTGCCCCCTTTAATCATTTCAGCTTGGTTACAAACTAGATCTTTAAAATATCTTATATTTGGGCTTATTTTTTCTTGAAACACATTTTTTGTAGATTTTTTCTACATAATTAAAATATATCATTATACTGTTGAAAGGTTTTTGTTGTTATTGTAAAAATATAGGAAAAAGAAAATCTCTACAAAATATAATTTTAAAAATTACTAATTAAAAGAAAGCTAAAAATAAAATTTTATAAAAAGGGTTTAAGGAGGCAGGAATTGCAGGGTTAACCCTAAAATCTCAATACGTTTTAATTCATCGAGTGTTTCATGTAAGCCACGCTTAATGACGTGGCAAACGGAAAAGTTTAATAAAAAAATTCTTTTTAATAAACCGAACAAAAAAGGTTAAGTATCACAGGTGACTCGTGCGATAGTAATCAATGCGCCGTTACCTTCTCTCAAGGTTTTCCCCTTTACTTGGAATGGAGAATTGCCTATCATTATCCCATTCATTCTTGAAACCACTCACGGATGTTTAACATTCGTTTCCCTGAAGTTTAGCAAGAACCGCCTTGATTTAGTATATTCTACTGCTTATAAAGGGTAATAATTTAATAAATGAAAGGTTTTGTAAAAAGAATTTATTATATTTGTTGAATATTTGGTTTTACTTAAAAAATAACACTCCTTATAAAAATTGGCGCCATGAAAAAAATTTTTAACTTAAATACTACCCAAAGCTTACTGTGAAGCTAAATTTTATAGTACTATATATATTTATTAAGTATTAAAGCATCACTTTAGTAGGAAAATAGGATATATAGGAAGAAAAATAAGAGTTACTTTCCCTTTCCTTTCAACTTCTCCTATTTAAAAAAGTTTTCTTTTCAGCACTAAAAACAACTTTAGGGACACCCGGCATCGCAACTACAAAATTGTTCTTAATCCTTTAACAAACGGGCAAATCTCTGGGGCTTAAAATATTGTTTTTTTCTGCAAAATCGCTTCCTATGTTGAAACTATACTTTAAAGTCCAATATTTGTTTTCAAATTTTGATTCTGTATATCCCAATTCATATTTTAATATAAAACATAAACATATGTTTACTTACCTATCTAACCAAAAATAAACTCCTTACTTCCAGAATGAACACTTTTTGGGTCAAATAAAATGATTGCGCAACACATGCTCAACTTTACGTTCACTGGTAATGAAATTTACCACTTTTACTTGTTGGTTGCTGCCTAGTCCGTTAGAAATGGTACTCGAACTTACCAGGGTTTGTTTCAGAGACTGAGCCCGGCTTTTAGGGTCAAGTTCCATAGACCTACTCTTGCAAATTGAACCTACATGACAAGTGGTAAACATAGTAACCAGTAACCTATAAAGGGTTAATCCATCAAAATTTTAGTATATATAGCTTCCCTCATTTGTTATAATATCAATTCCTTAGCCCGGAGGATAAAAAGTTATAGAAAATTCACAGACCTTATAGGAACGGTTAATTCAAATTTGGGGGTTTAAACGTTGGAGTCCCTCAAGGGCACTTTTATCACCGCTTCTATTCTCGATATATATGGCAGACATCCCCAGGTCAACTATCGTATCCTTAGCCCAATATGCGGGCGATACAGCTATTTCTGCGGCTCTAAATCCGAAGGCACTGACTATTAAACACTTCCAAGTTTATTTGTACACTCTGGAAACCTGGCTTACTAATAGGAAGATAACGATTAATGATTCTAAGAGCGCAGCAATGATAATATCAAGAAGAAGAGATAATATTCAAACATGCCAAACTCTCCATATATTTAAAACTGCTATCCCGTGGAACTCTCGTGTTAAGTACTTAGGAATTATTATAGATCAGAAATTAAGTTGGATGGCTCATATTGGGAATGTCATGAGAAAAATGGACGCTGCCCAGTATGTCCTGCACCCATTAATATGTAGGCACCGCAATCTCCACCTTAGTAACAAGCTGCTTTTATATAAATCTATTATTCGCCCTTATGGTGCATTCTTCCGTTTGTTGGCCCTGCTCTGAGCGTCATATAAATAGGCTGCAAAATTTTAAAATAAACTCCTCAGAATTATCACTAATGCTCCATGGCTCATATGTAATGCTCAGTTACATCGTGACTGCCAAATGAAAACAATCAAGGCTTTGTTTTTACAAATTGCGACTAAATGCTATGAAGGATACAGTGAACATACCCATAGTTTGTTAGCCACTTCTGTTAGTTACAACCCAGATCAGTATAACAGGTATGGAAGACCTATACATATCTTAAGATCGCTTTCTTTGAGACTCGATTTACCATCCTAATTTATTTGTCGTTTACTCATTTATTTTATAAATTAATTTACACTTTATTATTATTATTTAATGTTAAATAATCTACATATAAAAGTGACAGAATACATAAACTATTATTTTAATCGACAAGTATAAATATAATTTAATTAATACATACAGAAAAAAACAGCGTATTATATTATATTCATACATTACCACTTAAATTATTTTATTATTATTTACTGTTCTTATTTACTTATTTTATTCTTCTTGATAATAAAATCGGTTTTTTTGTTTGGTTTTTGCTGTGTACTCTTTCTTCTTATTCGCCCATGGTTGATACGAAAACATGGAAGATAAAGACTCTTCGAGGGGGACTGGATCCTTCTTTACCTCTTTTATAGTTTAAGAGGGGAATAAGGATTAAGCAGAAAAGATGTGCTATGTCTATCGACTGTTGTATATCTGTAAATAAATAAATAAATATAATATCAATGTAAGCAACCATATTAAGCATCAACGTAATTTGTTAGCCATTTTTGGTAACGAAAACGCATTCTATGTAAAGTTGAGTAAAGGCTGTTTTTCAACATAATTTAACGTAAATATGCTTTTTTTTGGAATAATACCTCTTACGTTGTGCTTTGGGGCATTGCTAGTCTTTTCTATTCATGCACTGTTTTTTATGAGGATAAACAACTATTCCAAAAATAACTTAGATGATATATTACGGGCACTTAATTTCAGTGCTTCTACTTACTGTACGGAAAGATTGCTAGTACCTAAATATACTTGCAAATTCTGTATAAATGAACACGATTTCAAGGTTTTGAATTTTATTCACGGTGTGCCAAAATTCTTTTTATTTGCAAGACTGCTCAGATAGTAAATTACGTCGGCTTGCAAGATACTTTCGCGTATGTGGGAATAAGTCCGAGTAGACAACAGATATGGGTTTCTTTTCGGGGGAGTAGGTCCATCAGTAATCTTCTAACCACATTATTTTTGGTTACATATAAGTCATTTCTATTTTTAATCAGCATTTCTTCCCTAAAGAACTGGATCACTAATCTTAACATAGTGAAGGTTTTTCATATTCTTGTTTTTTACTTTGTTAGTGTTATTGGCCTCTATTGCCGCTTTGTATTTCAGGCCAACTTAGATTCAAGATTACCTCAAGTTTTTGTTCATAAAGGATTTTATATGGATTACCACGATACTATGAAGTTAAAACCAATAGCCCCCACTCTTATAGAACTGAAAGGTAACTTTGAATATATACCACCCTCCTTGACGCTTTGCTTGATATGCTCTTCCTATTCTTTTCGTTTTCGTCAGCTACTTCGCTAAAAAGCTCATATGAAGCTTTTATTACAACTAACGTATAATAATAAGGAAATTACCCCCATTTTAAATTATTTATTACCGGACACAGCCTTGGAGGCGCTTTAGCAACAATCTGTGCTGCCGATCTTTTTTTAAATCACTCAATTACTTTTGATCATTTTATCACATTTGGTCAACCGCGGGTTGGTAATTCGAATTTTGCCGCTTGGTATACTTTTTGCCGTTAATTAGATCAAGTTTATTGATTTCATTGCCCCCATTCATGTTAATAAATACTGCAGGTGGGAGGAGATCTTTAGAGATAAGGACGTGCTTCGCGTCACTCACGCGAAGGACTTGGTTCCACATCTTCCTTACGCTTTATTCAAGTATCAACACTTCGGGCCGGAGTTATGGCAGAGGAATGAAAGTTTAGACTCACTTTTAGAGTGCTCTTCAGGAGAAGATAAAAACTGCTCAGAGTAATTTATAAAATTTATAATCATAATCTAAATTTATACTTGGAAGATAAAGTTTTGTAGGCTTTACATAAAATGTTCTTTTTTTATAGGCAGGAACACCCAACATTACGTGAAGGCATTGTAGATCACTTAAATTATTTCGGCATGGACTTGGGTAATGTTTGTGAAGTGTAAGTGGGCGTGCAGCTTTTACCATCTCTTTTTTCACCATACACTGACTTCTTTTGAACAAAGCCTTAGCCATAACAGCGCTTATAAATATACATATAACTCTGTTAGAACTAAAGAGGCCACTTTATTTTTTTTTAAAAAAAATTAATGTTTAATAAAATTTATTAAACCTTTGAGTGATCTACTAATGGATGCTTTATATACTTGTCACTTAGTAAAAGTTAAAGCAAAAAAAAAGTTGCAAAAAAAAAACCTATTGAGGATTAAATAGTCTAGAGAATATACCACAAATAAATTAGCGGAGAAATTGACTCACTGGTGAACCGGTCTTTATAATAAACCTCATATTAAAAGGAAGCTCAGCTTATTGGGTTAAACTTTAGCAAATTTTTTGTACTGTTTCCTACCAATAAAGTTTGAGCGTATAAACACTCACTTTTTGGAAGTCTAAAAGTAGCCTTTTTAAGGAGTTTTTAACCCCCTTTCGGCCTTTTTTTGTTATCAATACTTTTTTCTTTTACCACTTCTTAGAAACCTAGTGAATGTATACAGAGAATTAGAAAGACTAAGAATTTACATTTTTACAACATTCAAAGTACTTAGTATTGTAAAAAACTAAGTTTTGTTAATCTTAGTTTTAAAGTTAACTCAACTTTGTTCATAATTTTGGATACATGAATTCATAAAAACGTAAAAATTAATAATTTAATAGAGTTTAACGGCTTGAACTAAACTATTGAGATAGAGGTCGTCACATTTACTTTTAGTAATTATAAAAATTTTCTTCAGGTTGAATATTAGTTTTATCCATGGGTGAAAAAACTATTTCTTTCCTGGCAGAATTCAATAATCAAAGATTTTATGTTGACGACAAGCAAACAAACTTAAAAAGAACTTTTACTTTAAGTTAGTTAAGTTGCATTAAACGCTTATAATCAATTTTATGAGAGCAGAGGTTTTTTAATTTAAGGAGCGAAGACAGACCGAGGTGCTAGGCACCACTAAAACTGTGAATACTTAAATTTAATCTCCCTTTTATTAAATCAAAAAAAAAAAGACAATATATTCTATTTAATATGATATAGACGAGGGTCTACATGAATTACCTTTCTACCATACATCACATTAATTATTCTCACTGAGCGTCAAATAAATAGGGAAGGCCTTTTTAATTTCAAAGTTGAGCAAACTAGTAGTAATTAAAAAATAACTAGCGGATAGGGTTAAAAAAAATTTGTATGATTAATCTTAGCATAATAACAGTTTTAAATTAGACTTTTTTCCTAGAGAAAGGCAGGGTAGTAGGTGTAAGGGGTACAATGCAGGTGTATATATATACTCCTGATTCAGTTAGTAACTGGGGCTTTAACTGTGAGCAATTTCTCGAAGCTTCATCCTTTGTTGTATACCCTTCACGGGCGTAAGACCGCTTTTGTCTCCAACCCCATGTCGTAAGGCGCACGAATTATTCTGCTCTACATCCTTGAGGTAACGCCTTAAATAAATCTCGTTAAGAACTGAATTGGGTCCAGTAACCTTTTACGACTTAAAAGGCCTAACCTGGTCTAAACCAAAGTTTGTCTTCTGTTTAACTGCTATTAGACTTCTTTGATATATACTTGAAAAAAAATATTCTAAAAAAAAGTAAAGAGAAAAAAATTCATCCACTTAAAGATTAGTAAAATTTAATTCAGGATTTTTTTTTTCTAATAATTTAAATAAAAACCAGTAACAATTATTTTAATTGTATATAAACTTTGACATATATGCGTACCACAGGTAGAATACATTTATATGAAAAGTTTATCACTTACTATCATCTACGCCGCTGTTATGCTTAGACAGTACGTAACAGTCTTGTAATAAAGCTCGCATATTGTGCTTGTTTCGTTTCCAGAGGTAAACGTCTCTTGTTGTAACCTTTACTACGCTAAACCTAATGAAACGTGTTTAGTGTCGAATAAATTTTACACTCTTTATATATTTGTCTAAACAGTGTAATAGTTAAGCAAAAAAGTGCAGCTTAAAAATGAATTATAATCAACTTTTTTGAAAAATTGGTTGTAAAGTTCATCACTTATTGTACTTTGGCTTTTAATTGTTTTATAATTAAAAACATTGTTTCTCTTCTTTTCTACACTTTAAAATTCCTTACTCACCATAGTTGAAGCACCAAAGGTGCAATTTTTATTTGATGTTGTAATTGAGAAATTTAACGGTTTACAAGTTCTTTTTATAAAGTTAGGTAGAGGCCCAAAAAAAAACAAATTTTTATTTTTTATAACATTGAGTTTCTGGAAAAGTCAAGCACTTTTCACTTTTACAAAAATAAGGCTATTGTACTAATTATACTTCCCTTCAATAGTGCAATAGTTAATTCGAATCATTAGGAAAAGATAATTTTTGATAAATGTAGATGAGCCTCTCAAAGCCTAAAATGTTTTAAAAATTCGATAAGTGTGTGACATGTAAAAATTTTTTTTTACTGGGAATTATAACTATTATAGAAATTTCACCGTAAAACTAAGGTTTAATAACGATCAATAAATTGGATTATACTGTTTTTGTGCTACAAATAGGGAAAGCTAAAGATCCAAGTCAGTTTATAATAGTAATAAATCTATTTATTAGTAATTTACCTTTTTGATCAGAAAGAGGGCTTAAAGTATCTACCAATTTCCACGGCTTTTCTTTATTTTCTTCAAGATACTTTTGAAAATCATCTGAATATTAAATAAATAAAAAATTTAAACTTTAAAATTCCTCGTAAGACAGTTAGTGTTTAAAAAACCTGGTTTAAGTTGGATTGTGGCAAACACTCTAGAGTGCTCTACAAGTCTTCTTTTTTTACTCCTGTAGGAAGACCACGGCTTGGGATATGAAATTATTTATAAATAGTTGCTACATAGCGGCTTTTGCAAAAGTAATACTTGAGGTTCTAAGATAAGATGGCCGCCGTCTTCTAGCGTGCCCCATATATTACTGAATAGCTTCTTAATACCAGCGTCTCCCCAATTTAGATGAATCCACTTTGTAACGCTAAAACTTTTTTTTGATGCATAAAGTATATGTGTAAAAAATCTTTTCTAAATCGCACACTGATAGAAATTTAATCTTTCTTTCAATTTACAGAACGCAATCATTTTTAAAAAAAGAAAGATACCATAAAATAGTATCATAAAGGGTTACAGGCTCCCAATCTAGAAAGTTTTTGCATATAAACTTTACGTTCCCTGGAAAATCCTTTTACATTTTTTATTCAACTATAAAAAAAGGAATCTTTTTTTAAAATTACTTCTTCGTCCGAGTCGATAGGAATGGTACCCAAATTAATTAAGAAAGAAATGGGAAACTGGATATAACTGTCCGTTTCCTATATAAAAATAAAAGTAAAATATTTAAATAAATTTATAATAGATTTCTTTAAGCCTTTTGATAATAATAAGAGCTGCTTTGCCACCGAAGATTTCCCCAAGCTTTTTTAATTAGAATCTGGTCCAAGTCTACTCCGCATACCGACTTTGGATAAAGATTCTGAGCTTGAAAATTGTTAAAGTTAATAATAATAACATAAAATAATAACGAACCAATGTAAATTGCAACTAGCCCAGTGTTGCAACCCACATCCAGAATCTTTTTTCCCTCAAACAAATTAGGGTTAATAATTTTTAAACGGTCGCCGAGAGTACCTTCTTTTGTAAGTCGATAACCGTAATACCTTATTTATAAATTAAAATATACAAGTTTAAATTTATGTCTACAATAGTGAGGCGTCTAAATTAAATAGTAATCTTGGCTTTTAAAGTTACCCTGCGTAATTCCCATATCTGTACTGTTCGTTTTTATTTTTCTCAACGTGCTCGGCTTTCAAGCTAACTTGGCTTTTATTATTACATTTACTATTATTATCTTTTTTATTGTTTCTGCTATTTTTATCATTGTCGATATGCCTGTTATCCTCGCTGCTACTTTCTTTAATATAATTATTACTATGACTGTTATTTAAGTTACTAAAATGCTCAGAAGGATTATTAGTAAAACCTATATGGTTGTCATTCAAGTTGGCTTCATTAACGCGTATTCGTTTCTTTAAAGTTTTCAAACCTTTGTGTTTTCTCTTCATTTTTATAATATTTTTACATAGACGATCTAGGTACAATTTTAAGCCGCAAACACAGGTAAAAAGAATATTTCATTTACATAAGGAAAAAGAAAAGGAAGTTGAGTAGTATGCTTGTGAGAGTTCCCAGGCCTTGCCCTGGGGTATCCTGGCGTAACAAAACCTGCAGAAAGGGGACGGTGGTGCTAAACTAAAATTGAAAACTACGGAATTGTTAATCATTTAATTAAAGCGCAACACCTGAAAATTATTTAAACGCTGCTGGGGTGATATAATGCCCGAGTTACGAATAATTTTATTTAAATACAAAAATTAACTGCATAACAAAGCTTTTGCAGTGATAATATAATACGATATGGCTTTAATCAATGTCTTTGCCGTACATTAGAAGCTCAAATAAAATTTGCAACGAATTTACATGCAATGACGATACAGAATCCCTTTAAAAGCAGTCATGTAGTCTGACCCTTCTCCCAAAACTCGTGCAAAGCTTAAGTTTAGCTTCACCTTCATAATATCGCAAAAGTGGTTCGCGTCTGCGTGTGTCCTTACACTTTTTATTACTATAAAAAAAAACTCTTGTAAAAAGAAATTAATGACCCTATGAATGAACACATATCACGAGAATTTAAGTTAGTAGTTGCTGAAGGTTTTACCTCGATCAAGCACAATCAAAGTGGCGAGTAAGTGTACTTTTTTCTCTCTGCCTTTATCAAATCAACTCATTACTATCATTTTACGAAAGAAGCATTTTTATAGGAGGTATTGGGGGAAGTTTAATAGAATTTAAAAACTATGACGACCAAGATCCTTTTATTTGGGAAGCCAGTGATGATGTGATTTGCCTAGCTTGCAAAGTATTTTTTTTATATACGCTTAATTTTTTTTTAAAAAAAAAAAGTTCTCTTCTTCTATTTATATACAACTCAATTTTTTTTTTCAATTTTAAACTTAGAATAAAAGGTTGGTCGTAGGGACTGAGGATCATAAAGTTATTTTATTCGATCTTAACACTGTTCAAGAAGATCGGTATTAGTTTAACCGATATATAAATGGTACTATTATTTGTTAGAATACCATTAAAGTGAAAACTCGGCCAAGTTGTTAACTAAATTTGAATGTCCTGTACGCTGTTTATCACTTGATGCTTCTGGCACCTATGTCGCTGCAGGCTCTGAGTATGCTTCGGTTTATTAATTTATGTCATTATAATTTTTTCTATATGATAAAAAATTAACTTTTTAAAAAGTGACTCCACTATTAAAATTCTGGATTTAAATAACAAAGAAAACATTACTGAACTCAGCGGTCATCAAAACTCTATACGCTCTCTGGCTTATGATCCTTTAGGAGAATTTTTAGTTAGTTTTAAAAAAGGCATCGATCTTTTAAATTTTGAAAATAATTACGTAATAGCTGAGTAGCAGTTGTGATGGAACGCTTCGAGTATGGAATTTGCGTAAGAGCGGCTGCCTTGTTGTTAGCTTGGATATACTAGAAAAAATTTCTGATCCAGAGTAATACTAAGATTATCTTAATGAAAAATTATTTTTCAATTGATGATTCTCAAGACTTGCTATTGATGTTGGTACAGTGGAATGGCATCCAGAAGGTGGCAAATTTGCAGTACCATCCAAAAATGAAGTACTTACATGTGTTTAAAGAAATTCAAGCTAATATATTAGTGAATGCTAATAATTAGATTCACGTTTATCAAAGGGACGCGTGGAAGCTTCTTTATAAACTACATTCCACTGCCGGTCACTCCAAAGTAATAAAATGAGTAGTCGAGTCCATTATTTATACAATTTAAAAGTGTATTTTCACGCATTTTAAGGCAGTTTCTGTTATCAAGTGGAGTTTTGATGGGGCGTATCTCGCCAGTGCGAGGTTTTTATTATGAACTTTATAGAAAAAAAACCCACGAATGGCGGGGCTCAGCGTGGATGGCCACATTCTCATATGGGATCAGAAGACCTGCGAGCCTATCTGCAGTTGCAACCGCTCCGTCAACTACCGCGTGACCGATTTTGATTGGCATCCATCTGGCCGCAGCATTGCTATTGCTAGCTATAAGGGTCTTTCATTCTGTGCTTGATGGCCACTAGAAGAACGCTTATTCTCTGTTTTCCGGTAGGCGGGTGGTCTGTATGGGAAGGCGTTGTTCCTGCCAAGTCATTATTGTTAAGCTCCCACCACAGCAAAGAGGATCTTAAAAAGAGGCCCTCCCCTTTTAGGTAGTTCTTTTCGATGTTCTATATATATTTTTATGTTCAGTATAATCCTTGCAGCGTGCCCAACGGACTGCCTCCCACCACCTCTCGCCGGTACTCACCCGACCTTGGATCCATTACTGGTTCTAGCGGTGTCATTGAGGAAGAAGCTTTGGGTCCGTTGTCTCTAAGTAATATTTCTTTGTTACACTGTTATGCCTACTTCGCTTCAGAGCACGTGAGCGAAGCAGACGACATGAGTGACTTTATAGTGGACGACTTAACCGAAGAGCCGGAAACATTCGCCCAACGACCTCGTGCTCTCGTAGCTGTGAAAGGCATTATTATGATTATTATTATTTCTATCGTTATTACTTGCCACTTTTTTTTATAGAGCAAAGCGTTTTTCAGCCTAGCAGTAGCCCCATGCAGAACCATCGCCGTTACATGGCGTGGAACATGATTGGCGTAGTCGTCCAGAGGGAGGTAGACGGGCGCTCATTGATCGATATTGTGCGTATGGCACTCAAAAATACATCGATTGGTTTATACTCATTAACTTTCCACGCCGGTATATGTTCAGGAATTTCATGACGTGACTTCCAAGAGAAACATTCACTTTACTGATCACTACGGATTTACCATGGCAGCGTTGGGGGAAAATGGCGCCGTTTTCGCTTGTCCAGGTGAAACTAATCGCCATCAAAAACCTCGTACAGCCCACGTGCTAAACAGAATATATTTTTGCAGGCGACTTGGACTCCAGCAGCTGTCTTTATTATAAGCAGTTTGATTCCTGGGAGCTGAACGAATGGACAAATAAAATCAGCGCTTCGGATAATATCATCAACGTGGCCGTCGGAAGCGAGTTTTGCGCGGCTGCCACTCAGAAGGCAAAGCCCTTATTTTGTATTAAAATAGGAATTCGCTGTAATATATAACGCACAGAGATTCGTGCATATCTTTTCGCTTTCAGGCCTTCTCGTTCAGACGCTTTGCATGCCTGAAGATATAATTTGCACAAGCGGTAACTTTTCATACTTTTTGGTAGGCTATAAGCGGAGCAAATGGGTATTGGTGGGAGTAAAACACTAATTTTCTGCCTTCCATAAAGGCATTGTGTTTTACATTACAACCACTAACTTTTTTACAAAAAGGTTATAATAATAAACTGTGCGTCGTGTACCGCGCTGCTTCCGGCGCCCCCTTGAAATTTTTGCTCTACCGGTTTTCTGCTAAACTGGCCTGCGAGATTCTTTCCAGGTGACTGTTCTTTAACCTGTAAGAAGCAGTGAATTTGTTTTACACAACCTTTTATTGAACATAAGAGATGAAATAGCGCTCTCGACCAATAGCACGCTTCATTGGCTGGGCTTTTCGCAAATCGGGCTTATCGCCACCTGTGATTCGCAGTTCATTGTGAGAGTTTACAATTGTAAGAGTGGCTGGGTGCCGGTAGTCGACTGCAAAGAAACCACTGGTCTCTACTCTAGAACTTGTAAGCACAGTTCGCATAGAAGTAACTGCCTTATAAGCAGAGCACTCCGAAACCAATGGCTATTGGTTGGTGGGTCTCACCGACAGCTACTGTATGACTGTAGTTCTTCTTGGCGGTAACACTATTCCCCCACAAACACTAAGCACCGTACATAATGATCTCGCAGGAAGAGCTCATCCGCCAGTGACTCCGCGCCCTGTAATAACACCAGTTGCCTTGCTGCCTACTGGAATACAAGTCCTTAAATAAATAAATATACAAGCTTGTTATAATTGCCCAGTAACTATGAAGGATATGGAATCCCTGGAGGCCCAATACTTCAAAACTAGATTTGTGAATGGCGCTTTTGCAAACTCGGATGGCAAGTATACCAAGATTACGCAAGGTGATTGTACCTTTACCTAATCGTAAAGTAATCTTTTATTAACGGAGGCGCTAGAACGAATTCAGCAAATGCAGACTCAAGAGGACACGTGCCTTCTAAAGTTAATTCAGGTTGGCTAATTGGACGAACTGACTTTTTTCCCAACTGTTCACTATTATTACTGATGGTACAGTTGGCGTGTAAGCAAGACAAACTCATGCGCGTGCTGGATCTGGCTTCCTTGTTGAATCTTCCAAAAGGTCATATCACGTGGCTGATACTACACTTTACTTCGCACTCATTATTTTTTTATGCTTTGTAGCTGTAAGCATTGCCATCCAGATCGCCCAGCATGACAAGCAGCAATCTTTGGCTCAAAAACTTGGTGAACTTCAGGAGAAAAATCGAGAGAAATTGGGTAATCCTCTTTATATATATAATATATTATATTCAAACACCGTTGAAGACGATTCTGCTGTCGAACGCGATATGCAAAGCGTTTACAGTACGTTGCAGAAGAGCATGGACGAGCAGTATAACCATCTGCGCGCAGAGCAGCAAGCACAAAGGCAGTCAATCGAGGACACGAGGCACTTCATACGCTTCGCCTCCTTTCGTAGTCAAAATTATAAAAAAATATAGAGTTTTACTTTCCGAGCAGCGAAGCCGATTGGATACTTTTATAGAATCAGCTTTAAACACACCAATAGTGAGTTGTTTTAAGTTTTTTAGGGTCTTCTAGTTGGTAAGTTTGCTTATTATTACTCCGCCAGATTTCCTCCTACGACACAAGCAATTTTTCCGAGCCAGTAAGAAAAGAGATACCAATGAAGGCCAATCCCTTTAAAGAAGTACTCTTTGCAACGTTCCAACAGTTCGGCTGTATCAGCAAAGGCGTTCTTTTTTACAATTGCAGAGTTGGTCGTCGCACGTTGAAGACGCGCTGCCGGGCGAGAATATTTTTGATAAAATTCATTCGGCAACCTCTGGTTTTACGATGCTGTTTTTTTTTCCCTCTCCATCATTAAAAGTTGTTCTCTTAAGCAAATGCCAATAAACGCTCCCATACGCATAAGCCCCTCCAGAAAGGCGGCTGCGGCAAGCTGCGCAATAGCAGCCTTAGCCACTTTCTTAAGGTTCTTCCTTAATAGCCGGTCGTCGTTGCTGGTAGTATACGGCAATTTCTGCACAGCCGGAAAGTCTCACCTCGTCTGTAGACTCTTCTTTAACAGAGGTTAGCTTTTGTATAACATAAATTTCACTTATGGTCACGGGATATATCCCACTTTGGCTAATCTTCGAGGCAAAGGGTTTATTGGTTGTCAATTTAAAGTCTAATTTTGCTGAAATCGCTTTGAAGCATATACATCTAATTTAGTTTTATTAAAGATATTACAAGAAAATCTTTTTGACTGTAGCTAATTACTTGAATTAATATATAATATAGCCTTTTCTCAAGAGCACCGATTCTGAAGCGGATGATCTTTTCTTGTCTCAGCGTAAAAAAAGGGGCAAAGGAAGAACGTTTATTGATTTTGATGGGAGCGGAGATGAAAGCTGTAAGAGAATTTATCAAGAAGTAGAGCTAAATGGAACTGATCAGGAGCTTTAGTTTTTTGAAGTAAAGTCAACTTGGAAGACTTTCCTAAACTAGATTCGATGCCGCTGAAAAAGACTTTTTCTTTGTGAAGATAATAATTGTGCTTTTTTGCTTTTTTTTAATTTAGTCAATGTTTAATCTATTGTTCTTCATAAATCTACATTTTTAAATGCTTATATGTTTTACTCGGCTTTAATTTATAAAACTAAGTGCAATATTTATAGTAATATAATACTAAAAAGCATTGATTTTTTTATTGAAAAGTGAAAGTATAGTTACAAATTCTACGCATTGAAATAAGTTTACACAAGCAATAAAAGTAATTTATTTTTCTCCTTGAAATTCTCTATAAACCCTGCTGAAGCGACTTAACCTCAAATTTCACTTCAGCTTTCGGTTCATCCTTCGAAATGCCATTCTCTGGATGGTCTAAATCTAAACCGATATCTTCTTGATCTACGGAATCTCCGCCCTCCAATTGGGACACCATCACTGCTATAAAACCGTTGCAGGTAACATTCACCACGGTACTCGATCTGTCCAAAAGCCAGTCAATAGCTAGCAGCAAGGCATGATTTGTGGGCTTTACACCGTTAAAGATGGTGGTGAAAAAGGTGAGTATAAGCACAACGCCAGCGTTGGGTATAGGCGCTGCACCGGCTGATGCAAAGCTTGAAAGAAGCACAATTAACGCGTAGTGAACAGCCTTAATTTCAAGACCTTCACTGGTGGCTAAAAAGATTAAAGCAGCTGGGAAATAGATGGCGACGCCGTCCATGTTAATCGTGGCTCCGAAAGAAAGTACAAAGTTTGCTATATTTTTAGGGACAAGGCCACTTTGCATTACACAATCGATAGTGACTGGTAATGCAGCCGCCGAAGATGAGCTCGCAAAGGCGAGAAGTTGTGAGGGGAGTAATTGTTTCATAAAACTAAAAGGATTTTTATGGACTATGAGAAAGTAGAGAGTCGGTAAGACTATAAGAAAATGGAGCAAATGACCCGATAAAACGGTGGCGATAAGCAATCCAATACTTTTAAAAGTATTGGTTAAATCAGTCCGCTCGCCAAGTGCACCGGCAATTAAGGACACTATGGGGAGATGAGAATAGTGCACAAGAATTTGAACCATCTTCACTAAAGCCTCATTTATACAAGCTATTATACCTACTACATATTTATACCCTTCATTGTTATTGTCTATCCTCGAAATTTTTTTTAAAGCTACACCGAAAAACACGGCGAAAGTTATAATACCCAAAAAATTAGCTTCTTGAAAAGTTGTAATTAAATTAGAGGGGACCAGCTGTAAAAAGATACCATTTTGCAACGCGGAGTGGACACTCTCCACAGGTTTAGAAGGAAAAGCTTCATCCCCAAGAGCAAATTTAAAAGTCGAATTTAACAAAGTCTGAGCATTTTTTGCACATATAATCCTGTTATTACCGTCCACTTGTAAAAGATTATTTTTATGGGGACCACAATAGATTTTAAAAAAATCGGGTCTAGTTTTAACTGAGCGTTTGTGAAAAAATTTTTTGAAACAGAAGATCGTTACTAAGCCCTCTATACAAGCAAGGATAGTGGTAAAAAAGAATAAGCTAATAGTTTTCCATGCAATCGAAAATGCTTTTCCAGCTTTTAGCATATCAACGATAGATAGTATCATGCTGCAGAACACCATAAGCATAACAATACACTCAAGAGAACGCAGAAACAAAGTTCCAAGCAACTTTACCCAGGAAGCAGCTTCAGGGCCAATATTTGCAATAGATAATCCACACCCGAGGCTTAAACCGAGTATGGCTGATAAAACAATCTGTAATGTTCCATCCTTAAAAAATTTTTTAACAATAACCTGTTTTTTCATTGTTCTATTAATATAAATAAAATATTATAGTTAAAACACTAAAGGGTCAGGCAAATCAGTAAATTAATTGGCTGTTATTAATATAGTTAACATGGCTCTCTTATCATTAAAAACTAACAAATATCGGAAACCCAAAAGACGGAAAAGAGGGAAACACGGTTCTAGTGAGAACTCAAGAACGTTTTCGCGTTTAAAAATATACTATGAACTTCTAACCTACTGCCTAAACTAGAATCTTTAACTTCTTTAGAAACATAAAATTATTTTTAACCCTAATTAAGAAGATTAGCGTTTCAAAAGGCGCACATTTCTTTAATTAGGTTTGAACTTCTCTGATATCTCTCAACAAAGATGAACTTATGGCACTATTATATTCATTTTTAAGAGCATCAGGCAATAGAAAATATTTAAAAAACCAAATTTTTTTTTGAAATTTTTTTTGCTTTCAATAAAATTAGCATCGCTCCGAAACCCTTAATTTTTAAACAGTTTCAGTCCGGACTAGCATTTTTTTAAAAAAAAAATTAACTAGTTTTAAATACAAAAACGAATTAAGAATTTTGCGATGAAAAGTATGTTATGATTTAATTTTAGCAAGAGTTATGTGATAAGAGTTTCGTGTGGTACTTTGCTTCTACTCGACGTTAAACAATAACTAGATAACAAAATTAAGATAGTAAAAACGATTCAGTTTGGTCTTTATAGCAAAAGCAATATATACATATTTGTACAAGCTGTTCTAAGCTTATAAAAATTTGATTACAAAGTCAAGGTTTTATTTTATAAATTATGTTATTAATACCAAATTTTTATAAAAAAAAGTTTAGTTAAATTTTAGTACCATTCCTTGGAATTTTATACACTTATTTTTAGATAAACTCGCTTCTGTGTAATTGGTTGTTGCGAACAAACTAAGACACATTCATTAACATTTCTAGACTTTATTTTGGAGTACTTTAAGTTTTATGTTGTAAAAGCTTGTTAGAGGATTTGGCCAAAGGAATAACTGCATAGGTCATTGGAAAAAGTTGAAGCAATTTATATAATAAAAGCTTGTTTTTTTAAATAATTTACTTTTTCTGCACATTACAAATAGTATAAAACGCAATATGGTTTGTCTGTTTTTTATGACAGCGTAAGAACGAGATGTAGAGCCGTCGGTATCATTAAGGGCGTTTAACCTCTTTACTGCGATGAATGACAGTTTAAATGAGTGAGATATTTGGTATTTGAAAAGACCCTTCGGTGTTAGATTATGGAAGCTACTTATTGAGCAACTATGTAGTTTTTATCTATAGTAATTAAAAAAAAATAAAGGATTGGAAAAAATCACGGTTGTCAGTCGAGCGGTACTTTAGATTATCTTGTCGTCCAAAATGATTATCACCTGTAGTTAGCGTTATATAAACAAGCTATGACTTCTGTATGATTTAGAATTGTCTATCCCCGCATGTTGAGGAAGCATCATTCCGACTTGCTGAGCGCAAAAATTTTTCACACGGCTTCATTTATGTAGGCAATCCTAGAGTGAGCAAGGCGCATTGAGCTTCTGATTTTAAACAACTTAAAGTTAAGAACGGAAGATATAGGGAGCATGGTCTTTCTTAAAAAAGTATATAATCGCTTCTAGAAAGCTCATGACGCAGATTCTACTAAAAACTATAACATGCGGACTAGCAAGTGTGTTTTCCAAGTTCGTAAGAAAACACTCCTAAGGTAGATAGTATGCTTAAACAGAAGAGTAAAAAAAAAAAAATTTATTGTTCTCTTTTAACATACGCATGCTGAAAACCTATGCAACCTAACTGAGATAAAGCGGAATTTTGTTATTGCAACTCTACAGAAGTTACTTAGTTTTGGACAAAGAACGTCCACGTTCGCTGTTAGATTCAATTTTGCGTTAGCATTAAATTCGTTATGTTTTTTAGCCAACTTCAAAGGATTAGGGTAAAAAATATCGACAGATTCGTATCTACTACTATATATAACTTAAGTGGAAACCTCTTTTTATTGTATAATCACTGTTAAACCAATCTTTATTATAACCAAAAAAAATATATGTTAGATATGGTTCACACTATCGAGACAAAGAGAAGGTAAATGCAAGTAAACATTTAGACGAAGAACTTATAAAACCACAATATGCAAAACAGTCTTTTTTGGTTGGGAGACACGTATCAGTGGTTACTATAGAGTCAGGGCATAACACATTTGTTTACATAGATCTATACCAACTTGGTTATAAGCCATTCATGAAGTGATAGCTTATAAATGCGTTTCTTGTGGAGTTAAAAAACCTTGAACACTTGAGCTCTCAGAGAGTTTAGTTGTTGGCAAGTACAATCTAATTTTAAAGCGTTTTGTTCGAAGTTATGGCTTTGCAACCAAACACTTTAGCTCATTTTTTTGTCACTCTGACTCAGATATGGAGTACCACTTAAGGTACACGAGTTCTCCTATTATAAGTCGATTAGTGCGCCAGCCTTATAAAAACTCTGAAAAGCACCTCTAGCTGTAGTTCGCGGTGCAATGCCTCATTGTGCAGTAAGCACAACGCGTTTGTCAGAAGGCAGCATTTCTCGTTTAAAGCGAGAACTTAATTCTCAAAGATGAACGTCAAGATCAAAAAAAGGGAGGGGTTTGCTGGGGGCCTCATAAGTTGCAATCGCAGTTATGGTCTCTGGAGGGTGATAAGTAGAGTATTTTTAACGCCTTAATACTAAGCTAGCAGTTAATTAATAGCATTAAATCCTTCTTTAAAACTCATTATTTAACGCGTTTGTATATTTGTAAGCATTGCATACGAAATTTAAGTTCTTCACGGCCTTGAGCAAGCTTGAAAGATGTCAGAACCACTAACAGCTATCATAAGGCTAGTTTTGGTCTTTGCTTTTGCTTTTTCCTTTGCTATTCCCAAACGTTTATCTTGGCATGATAAGGATTATAAATGCAAAAAAAAATAATGCGATAAATGAAATTTTATTTTTACGAGAAAAAACTTAAGAAACAATCGAATGACAAAATAAGGTCCGACGCGAACACTTTGTTATGAGCTACATGGATCGCCAAAGGCCTACACGGCACTTGCTGAATTTGTTATTTTTTGAGTGGCACTACTATCTGTACAACTTGCAAAAAGCGTATATATATATATATTATATACAGGAGGTAGGAAAGAATGCGTAAATATTTATCAGACAATATATGTAATACAGTAATTAGGCTGCCTCCCTATTGTCTACTTACATTGACTGACAAGCTAATAAACGGATAAAATGCTCATAGCTATCATATCTCGTCACATTTTTAACTGGTCAAAACGTAAGATACGAATTCATAACGGTAATCTTGGACGGACTTTTTAAAAAGAAATTTTTATATGATCCGAATTCTTTATTTTAAAATAAATCTTATAAGAAAATCTGTATTAAAATCTACTTCACAGTCAATAAAATTCTAGTACGTTCACACCTACTCAAGCCCCCAATTTGCAAAACGAATTATCACGTTTAGAGCAGTTTAAAGGTAACGCAGGCTTCTCTGGTGCACTTGTGACTGCCAGCGAGTCGACATTATCGACACCAGGCAATGAGAATAATGTAAAGGTCGAAAGAAGATGCAGACTTTCTTTTCCATTTTCTCTTTAAAAATCGTTAAGTTTGTTAAAATTTATTATATTTTAAGGTCGGCTGTCTGCTGGTGTTTACACTAAGTTTTCGCCAAGTTGATGCATTGTGGATATGCAGCGCAGGTTTGTACTAAGCCCAAAAATATAGAAACAATAGCGATGACCAGTGCAACTCTTCTTTTTATTTTAATTTTAAAAACTTAAGCTTTTAACTGTTCGCATTTATGTCTTTAAAAGAGACCCTCTTTGTGCCATTTTACAACGAAACAGTTTTCCCACTTAGTTTTATAGCGCAACTATGAGAGTTCAAGACTCGATTTCCTTAAAAGTGTACCAGGTTAACATAATAAATGAAATTAATAGGAAGTCGTCGAATTCACAAAAACGTAATTAAAAAGCACAAGATAAATTTAAAGTAAAATAAGGTCTCTCTTTACGCCTATGCGCCTTGATAGAGCGGAATTTATCTTTCGTAGACTAAAAGCAAGTAAATTTCCTAAAGGACCTCGAAGTAACGCACCATCAAATAGTAAACCTACATGAAATAAACTAATAAGCAAAGACTAATGATTATTTATAATCAAGTAATTTAGCAGTCCAATACGAAAGCACACCACAACTGAAAGAACAAAAATAAATTTATGTAGGTTAAAAAAAAATCTTAGAAATCTGAAGCAGCCGCCCTTACAAAGAGAGATTTAATAAGTAATGAAATATACTCGATTTCTAGATTGTTATACGTTGCTTATACAGCTCATTAAAGCACAATAATGTTCATAGTAAGAAAATTATAAAAATAGTTTTTCTACTTAAACAGTTTTTATATGAAAATTGCCGAAGTTTACAAAATTCCAATTACTACTGTCCTTATCAATATTTAAATTTTTAAAATTAAAGAACAAAACAAAAAAAAAAAATAAAAAAAATAAATTGAACAACCTCTCAGCAAACATGGTGACTACAAAAACAAATCTAAATCCTTACAATTAAAAGTTTCCAATTTTAATTATTATGATAACAGTATTTAAAAATATTCAAGCCCTATGATAAACACATATCATAAACTGTTATGCATAATCATATCGAGAGATCCCAAAATTTCAAACAGTTTCTTCTGAAATTCAATCTATAAGTGATAAATATAAATAAACGTTATTGGCTATACAAACTTTAAAGGTAACAGAGCGATACCTCCAATTTAATCTTCCGGTGAATTTTAAAAATGAGCTCATCAATCTCTAACGACTGGCCAATAACAGAACTATAAATGTCTACATAAAATTTTCTAAAACGTCATGTCGCAAACAACATTAAAACAAAACCTATTATTACTCCGCAAAGATTTAATAAAAGCGACGAGTATCTCGGATTATTTATATGTTTAGCTAGAAACATTAAAAATGGGATCAGCGACTTTTCATTCCTTCCGCTAAGTGCTATATGAATTCCTCTTCCAAAAAAATAAGATTCAAAAAAAAAAGAAAAAGAAAAAAAGTACCCGCGACGGACCAGTTCCTCTAGAACAGAGATGACCACCACAGGCTTGCTAGTCTATTAATAATTCTTATAATCAAAATTCATTCTCCATTAAAATAATTTTGTATGTAGAGGAAAAACCTCCAAAGCGGCATCCAAAGCTCTTCCGTATTGGAATTTCTTGAGAAAAGCGTCATACCGCTTTAAAATTTTCTTTTTTTCTCGCTCAATAAAAAGGTCGTCCTACGCAAAATGCACTTCGCGCATAACAACAACAACAACGAAGCAAGCCAAGTGAAGCACAGAGCACCTCCTTCGGCTTCGCTAACGGTCCACGCACAATATACTTGTGCGTTCCGCCACGTGGAGGGGCCTGAGGCGCCGGAGGCGGCTTTATTTCCGGACGGTAGCGGATGGACACGCAGCCATCGCTCATGCCCACCACGAGGTGGCGACCGGTTGGCTGTTGCGCGCGATTAGTAACGGATGCAGAAAAAAAAATTTCCTGACCGAAGATGCTAAACACAAGACGGGGGCAGTGTACTTGATGCCGTGCAAAACTTTATAAGTGCTCGCATCGTATATTTTTACGTGGTGGTCCAACGATCCCGAAAGAATGCGACGATGGAAGCTGGTTCAAACGTTAAAATATTATAATAAATTTTTTTTATAAACAACACAATCCAACAAACCTATCAAATGCAAGAGAAGTAATAGTCTTCTGGTGATTCGAAAAACTATAAAGTTCACGCCCCCCGCTTAGGAGATCCCAAACTTTAATTTTGTTTCCTCCTAATAAAAAAATATCAATTGAAAAAATCTAGTAATAAGAATAATAATAAAAAATCAATTACCAGCGGAAAGAGCCATAACGCCGCCAGGGAACAATAAAACGCTTTCTACTGGAGCGCCGTGGCACATGGTAAAAGTGCTTAACATTCAGGAAGAATTTAGAGTAAAGCGTGGTAAAGTATATATAAGTAAAAGCAAAAAACGTTTCTTTGCTTCTAAGATCCCAAAGTTTAACAGTGTGATCATAACTTCCCGTTAACCATAACTCAGGAGAACTGGAATGAACATCACCACTTCGAATATAGTCCTAAATTAATGCATTTGAAACTGATATAAATATATTAAGACTTTAATAAGCCGAGTTCTCAGCAGATATACTCATTCTGAAAATAAATACTTTATGACCCGATAATGAGATGAGTTCTTCGCCTGTAGGTAAATCCCAGCAGCGCACCGTGCAATCGTCGGAGGACGACATAACTTGAGAGTAAGAAGAAAATTTAGTGACGTGTACTGCTCTAAAAATGATAATTTTACAAATTAAAGTAAAAATCAGAAGTATTTTCTCACCTACTATGGCCAATAAAAGTTCTCATAACGGTACGACTGTTACTATCAAAAACTTGTATAAGTCCAGATCCATCGCCTGCGACTAGTAATTGGCCATCTTCCCGAAAGCAGCCCGAATAAGCAATCTTATTGTTAAGCGCTTCGAAGCAAAATAATAGTCAGGAGCTATAAATTAGTTACCTCCTTAAATCTCGAAATAGTTTTCTTCACTTTATTATTGTTAACACCGTATATTTGGATCTTTCGTATATAAAAAAGTTAATTTCAAAATGAAAACTTTGTAAGTAAGAGTACTCTTGCTGAACTAGATATGGCGTAATCATAAGGTAAAACGGGACAAAAATCAATTGAGGTAACTGCCGCATATTCCTTTACTGTAACTTGATGCTAAATTTAACAGCAAAAATGTATAATAATATTGCAGAGGAAGGAAAGATATAAATATATATAACCTTAAATTTTCTCCAATACCTAGCCTCCGGATTTATATTAGTTTGAAGTTTTGGGTAACGTTTAAATTTAATTCTCTGATACTCAGTCATAAGAACTTAAATTTGTATACAACCTGAAATAAAAGTTTAAAAACATAATATATTTATCTCTAATAACCATTATATAAATAGCATTATTTATTTCTCAGTAAAAATTTCACGCCTCTTCCACGTGCTCGGGGTTCGACCTGAAAGTCCACAAATAGTAATATTTATATGTAAAACGACTTCAATTAAAAGTTTAACTGTTACCTTTTCTCTAAGTTATATATAGGGAAATTTATTTTGTGCCACTGATGATATTAGTTAAGAGTAAAAACTTCTTTAAGGTTGGAGACCTATACTTTGAAATTATGAGAATAATCTCATAGACTTTCTTAACTTTAATAGTTAAAATTATCTGAAAAAGGATTATAAATATTTTTTTTGCCGTATAATAAGTTTTTCATAAACCATAAATCTAGCGCAATCTTTTTTTTAATTATTCAGACCCGGTTTAACTAAATTCAGTGCGTTCATGAAATTTATATTTAAAGGTCTAAAAATTGACAAGAGCTTACGGAACTTTATATTGTTAGGATTTAAGAATCTTCTACTGAGCAAAAGTAAAACCACTTTTTTTTAGGTCTCTAAACGTTATTTAAAGGGCCTGTAGGATAAAGAAAAGGAAATGGTGGTTTTGAGTCTTATACCTTTTGAAGTTTCTACCCTGCCTAATGGAAACTACTAAACAAAAGTACCTGTAAGATCAAACATTCTAGATATGGGATTTCGGTAACACCTCGAGTCCCACTGTCCCACTAGTGCTACTATCTAAGTTTTAAGGTCTCGATCTACTCTTAATCTCCGCTTTGGAATCCCTCATACTCATGGTTGCTGCTGAAGATTAATTCCTTTTGATGCTCCAGAACAGTGGATCGCACGTCATACTGTCAGCTCTGCAAAGCACCGCTAACAAAGATCGAAAGGACTTTAAAAACAATGACGTTATAGTAACAATTTTATACGAACATTTTATCCTTCATAGTATAGTTTGGTCTTCTCTGTAGCTACTCAAAGATTGGTTTATAGGCGCTAGGTAATCAGTAGCCTTTCGCATTACGTGAAGGACCTTTTTTTTTTATATTTTATCCTCCCAAGCCTCATTTTCAAAGTCCTTTTAAAAATAGTGCAAAGATATTACTTTTCTTTGAGTGCAATTGAGGTTAAATTCCTTATACCTAGAAAGTTTGGGAATTATTTTAATTGTTTTAGGACAGTATTATATATTATACTATTTGCCGCAGTATTTATAATTTAATCTATTTTTAATTAGTTTTTACTATGGTAAGCCACAACCCTTTACGCTAACTCTGACTTTTTTTAAAAGTTGGACCCTAATAAATACTTTTAGTAAATATCACTTAATATAATAGCGTTTGAGTTTAAAACATATACTACTATTAACAAATATTACTTAATGCAAAAACTTTGTTAACTATAATTTATAATATTTACAAATAACAGACTTCTTTAAATCGTGATAATATTCAATATCACAATGCTATTACCATCTGTTACTATTTTATTTTATCATTATGGGTATTGTTGTCCAAACAATAGCTATTATTATATATAATACCCGGCGTTTTTTAAAACTCTTATTTTACAGTTATTTTTAAATTTTTTCCGTGGTAAGCTAAGCTTAAGTTTATAACTATTAAGAAAACTTCTCTCTTTTGAACGCTACACGAGTGTTTGAGTTCGTCTTCTACAGGTTTTTTAACACCTTAATTATTTAATAAAATGGTGCTGAATACAGTTAATAGGATTAATCTTATAATTGATTTATGCTTTCAGTAAAGACTTGGAAGTCGACTGTGGTGCTCTACGCCTTATTACCGATCTATTCTTGCCCCAAAGAAGGCTCGCCTAGCTTATAATAATTTATTTATTTATTGCATTAGTATGCTACAGTTCGTTATGAGTAAAACTTAAACTTCTCCATTCTCTATACCCCAAGTAAGAGGGTTCGAGAGTGCTCTTTTCCTGCAGAGATGCTGCCTTTAAAAGACGTCAATAAAAGTGAATCTGCCAAAAAAATTTTGAATTGTAGATCATGTAAGTATGCCTTCACCTAAAAAACTTTTTTGATAAAACTACGTCACTATTATTTTATAAAACTCCTTGGAAACGCCAGTGTTAAATAGTTTGAAATCCGATTGTTCTGTTCCTACGAACTATGAAGGATCTACTGCCGAGTTATTTGTAATTCGTAGCAAGTATGCAGTATTGCACATGTGATCATTTTACGTATGACCCTTATGCTTTGTTGAAAGCTTTCTGGAATGTATAAAAAAGCATAACAGTATAATAGTAGATTATTGATAATTAAGTGCAATAGTTGTGCTTTCCACCAACCTTAAGATTTGTTGAGTGGTAGAGTGACTTTTTCGGAAACCAAACTGATAAACTGATAAAAAGCTTAAAACATTAACAAATTTTTGCAACCTAATAAGAAGCACAGCCCCTGCGACTTTCTTAAGCAGAAAAGTAGGCTTTATTGGTCGATAAACAGCTACAGCTTGCTTCCTTCTTAATCAAGTTAATGAAATAAATGCAATTGTAGGAAGAATTTTAAGCATCCCATAAAATTTTAGCAAAACTCACACTCTCCCTAGTGTTAAGTTTGTCTATTAAGGATTGTATCTAATTTTTAGTAAAAGCGTCAAAGTAAGTAATGGGCTCCTACAGCGGTTAAAAAATGAAATTTGCTCTTATACGTGTGGTTCGTATTTGCTGTCCATCGATAAAGGTATCGTACATTGCCGGTACAAAACTTCAACTAAGAAGTTGGCTTTTTCGGAACTTGGGTAAGGGCCCTCCTCGTTTTTTATTGAAGGAGCCACAGACCCCATTTGTATTTTCCGCAAAGTTTATTGCTGAGAGATAAGGATTGCAGTTTATCTTTTCCATCTAATGTTTCGAAAAGCTCGCACTATCCGTTTAACATGCTTATTAATTTTTTTTAAGGCCGATTTATAAGGCCTGCCTTTCCGCGTATTGTACCTTTTAGAGGCATTTCTTAACAATAAGTTCATTGTAGTGACGAACCTAAAGCTTAAAGTTTTTATAAGATTTAAAGATGGTCACGTACTTTACAGATTAACAACGAAGTCCACAAAGACAGAAGTAGCCCTGTTAATACAGGTATTTCTCAGTTTTGGTCAAAAGTTAGTCTCAACTTCCAGCACGACTGGGCATTGGTCAGAAGAGGATTCGTAGAGGGTTTTGGTAGTACTATACCTAGTACACCCACCGAGTCTTGAGTTAGTAGGTGTCTAGTTACCAAAGGAGCTATTCATACCATACCCTTTTCCCACGGTTCTAGCTTTTACCGTTAAGATTATCGACCTGCTGTTCCATGGATGGTGTTTACAGTTTGTCTTCACAAACATAGATTAAATGGTCATCGTGAAACAACTTACCAAAATCTTTTACCTTCCAATTCTTATGCGGAGGATTATAAGTAGATAAGATGTTTATAGTCTGTAGCTCAAGATATTCCAATAAGGAGTCTTTTATGAACTTCTTAATAAGATTGGCTACGCCTCTCTCCCCATGTTGCAACGGTCTTTTCGATATGGATGAAATACTTATTACCACTTTTTAAAAGTGTTTCAGATATCAGTGCAAGATCAAATCCATTCTTTCAATTATTCCTTGTAGTCCTTGTTTTATGTCTCAAACCCCGTTAGCGTGCCAGAAATATATTTCAAAATGTTTTCCTTTTTTTTTCAATGTCTACTGTATATCTTTAAAAATAAGTCGCTACGATCTGGAGATTCAAGTGTTGAAAGACTGCCGTTAAAGAGTTAACAATCTGAGTTATAATAATCTCATCCAAGTTAGTGGAAATTCCTTGGGTTTTGTCTGCAGTCGCCTGAGCGAAAGTTTTGCTTGGTGTAACTATATAAAAGTGACCAACCGGCATTCAGAAATAGGGTTTTTAAGAGGTGCGTATTTAGGGTAATAAAGGGAAATTCGATAACTAGCAGGGTGTTCATATGTTGGTTTCTCGTCCTTTTTTTTTTTGGTTAGGTTTTGTAATCATGATTTTCTCCGCATTTAACGATTGGTACCGGAAATTACAGAATTTTTCAGTGTGATTATATATCTGGCAGTGAAAACATTATTCAAAACTGCCACTTTTTTATAGGTTCAACGGAGAAGGATATAACCCAATACCTCTAACAGCTACAATAGTACTTTCACTTTTGAGTACTTTATTTAAACCTAAGGGTGGCGGAGTTTCTATCTTGATTATGTTTCGGCATTTATAACCTCATTAGGGTGAAAACCTGGTTTTCCAGTTCTTCGTTAATATCTTTTACTTCTATTTCCTTAAAGACACTTTAAAAGACAACCTTAAGCTCTTTCTCTAATAGAAACCGATATGTATAATGTTCAACCAACTTTGAATCCTACACTACAGTTAACATTACCATTATTAGTAATATTACTAGTTTCAGTATTATTTTTTAAATCAATGTTAACAAGTTATCATCGTTATTAAGATTATTTCGAGTGTTCTTATTACTACTATAATTCTCAACCTTATAGCATTAACTATTACAATTATTTCTATTACCATTAATAAATAAATACTATTAAACTAGAGGGAACAACTCTCATTCCACTGTCCTCCAACGTGTCTTCTTTTAAAAGTCCATCCTTGTCTAAAATTTAATCGAGGAATAACGATTAGCGTTGGTACGCCCAAAGTAGTCTTTAGCTCTTGTGGTTATTTCCTCCTAAATATTTTTCAGGAATAAATTTTCTTTTTAGGTGATTTAATTCTGCTTTAAGTAAATTAACTCCTTTTTAGAGCGGCGTTTGCAACCAAACAACTAGAGATAAGTCCCGTCGTTCTGTATTAGCAAAATGCCCATGACGGCTTTATGAAATAAGATAGAGAATAAAGTAATTTTTGCTTGAAGATTTAAAAGAATTATATATATATATGAGCGTTAGGTAAGTAAATAAACAATCAGATAAATATTAAAAGTGATGTATGTATGAATAGTAATTGTGCAAGACAAGAGTAATAGGTGTAGCAAGTGCCTTGTAATCAAGCCACCAACCGTGTTAAGAGTATCTTCATAAGTATTCAGATGTAGAATAGTTAAGCTTGACCAATTTATATATAAAATGTTGACTTTTCTTACGGGTTAAAAGCATTCACGTCACGGTCAAAAAGGGTTTATACCATAGGAACACTGGGGCTTAGAGTTTGGGCTTACATTAACTTCAAGTATTCATATTGCCACTCCAGTTTTAAGTTAGTTAAGAAGCACCTGGAATCTATGCATATTTATCTAGAATCTCCCAAAGTGAAAGTGATCGAATTATTGAGGAAGACTTGGAATTAAAGCCCCATAACATCACGCAAGCCTACGTTAGGACCCTTATTTTGTGAGCCAAACTATGCTAAATATCATACGATCCCTATCGAGTATTCCTTACTCTATAAGCTTGGCTTATTTTAAACTGATAGGGAGTACTTATCTTCTCACACAGATTTAAAACTAATTTTTTTTTTCAATTATGTTATTAGCTTATTCCCTTTTGTTTTAAGCAATACCAGCAATTCCTTCTTCACTACTAGTCAAAGCAAGGCAACAACATTCACCACTAATTGCGTGTAATCATCCAGTAAATTGGGTCCTACTTTGATATTCCAGCATAAAGCAAGAAAGCAGATTATCGTAGTATAACTAACCTAAAATTATTAATACTCTTAACCATAAAACGACAATTACACTTACTAATACAACCCGAAATGACAGATTTTTTACGTCACAAGTTGCCCGATCCAACGTCCAAGTCGCTACATTCAACGTAAAATTAGCCAAAGATAACAGTATCACCGCATTGTGTTCCAAAAACTACCTTGTCATATATTTAGAATAGAGAAATGTAGAGAGAAACCAAGATCATATATGTATGTAAAAAGTAGAGGGACAAGGAGCGTTATGAATGGTGCTCAGTACAGAGCATAAATCACTAAACCTAGTAAATTATTGAAGACAGAGTAAACCATTACACAAGATCTATCTTAATTATCTTATTGTTACCTGCTTAACAAAGTTCAACCAACTTAAGGGTAACACAAAGCCCGTTACATAGCGTCAATACCTTTCACTTTTAGATTTGAACAAGTTACTTCGATTAAAAAAAAATATAACTTTCAATCACTTTTTATGTAGTTTTAAATCTTTGCTACCGTTATTAAAAATCCTTGATTCCATCCCTGCAAAGTTAACTTTTCTTCAATTCCGTACTATTTACCCAGTTTAATAAAAAAAGACTTTTTTTTTTAGCATTTTAAAGTAAAAGCGCTCTCGAATTATTATTTATGCAAGATTAAGTGTTTTTTAATAGAAGTCCGATTATTACCAGCTCACTGATTACTAAGTACAAAAGACTTCAATAAAGTGGATAGTTACCAATATTCACTTTAAAATGAAAAATTTTAGAGAGGTGAAATTAATGTTTACGGTTTTACAGTATATTAAGATAACTTGCTTTTCTAATATGTATAGTTACTAAAAAAATATTTGTCCTGAAAGACGTGAAACAGCAGTGGAATAACTTTTGTAAATATAAATTTACTTACAAGCAACTAATTTATAGGTGAAATATATAATTTCTATATAATTTTATTATAAACAAATATGTTAGGGATACAATTCAAAATGAGAAATAGAGAATTTTATAAAATTATAAGCAAATTATAGCGCTACTCCTCAGCGTCATAGTCATCTTCATCTTCCTGTTTCAATCTTGCACTGCTCAGCAAAACATTAGTGTCCTCCAAGCTCGAAGGATGTTCATTTAAATATTGATAGGCTTCGTTTTGGTAGCGATAACTTTTAGAAATTAACTATAAATAAATTAATTTGGTAAAATCGCTAAAATATGCCTGTCAGCAGCAAAAAGCTCTTGCTGTTTCCGGGCAAGTTCCTCTTGAGTCATTAAATGTTTGGGTTCTTTAGCTTTAGCTTTCCTCTATATAAAGTGCGAACAAAACATAAGCTAAGAAATAAAAAGGGAAATAAGAAAAAATTATAACAAGGAGCTAAATAAATTTCTTATACCAGATCTATAGTTTCCTGCTTATGTTTTAAAAAAACTTCCTCAACTGCTTGTACATATTCATTGAATCCCAAAGTCTGAAGTTATTAAAAAAAAATAGAAACCTGCAAGAGGAAACAAGTATTCATAAACTATTTTGGACCCTTTAAATAAAAATGGGAAAGACTTTACTTATAAACCTTTAAGGCTTTAAGGATGTGATCAGGGCATATAGTACGCTTATTTTCCTTAGTGCATAAATCGTTGGATTCAGAAGTAAGAAGATGAATAAATTCTGTAAGCAAAAGATAATACTTTTCAAAATAATAAATCATAAACATAATACCCGTGCAACAACTCACTATAAGCTCCTTAGCGTCATTGGCGCAACGAACGTCTTATAAACAGTAAATATAATTTTAAGTAAAATAATTTTTAAACATGACCAAGTTAAATTAAAATATTGTAGCCCACCAGAGGGAAGTAGATCTTTAATCAACTTAAAAACGGCTGTACGCGGCAGCAATAATTCATTTTCTTTTGACATTGCTTGTATATATTATGAAGTTACTAAGATACTTTCGATTTGACTACGCCAATGTATGGCCCCGAAAAAAGTTTACTAAGTTTATTATCATCGTTAATTGGAGTTGGTTTTAGCACGAAAAAGCCTTTATATACATAACAGCTTAGCACATCTTGAACTTTTTTGGTGCGCCTGTGCGATGCAAGTACCATATAAACCCCAAGCCAGAAACCCTTTATTGTAAAATATTAATTTTATATATTATATTTTATATTTACATAGCATTATATATTTTTGATATAGTAAATATTATGTTACGTTATAGAAAATTTTTTTTTTAAAAGAAATTTTTAATTTTTTGTTATAATAGTTTTATTTGCCAAGTCTTGACAAATTGTAATTCACCACGTTAGTTTTAAATTTTTTTTATTCATAATTCTTTATTTGTTTTATTAATTTTTTCTTTTACCTGCTAGTTGTAGCTAACGTGATCCAAGTCTAGTTCACATCCTCTAAAGTTTGTGTTTTAAAAATACTAAATAGCATTTTTATAAGTTTGGCTTACTAAAATTTACTTCTCGCCAAGAGTGCGTTAAATGCATGTGAGATTGATCCATGTAATAGATGATTTACTACACTAAGTTTTTCTGAGTACAACGGAACTGTTTAAAAACCTAGAGTAAAACAACTTAGTTAGGGTCTTCCAGACTAATAATTGATATAACTAACTTTAAATTAAACTCCCTCTAGATTAAACTATTACTTATAGGATAATAAAGGTCTTCTGGAAAGACAATTTTTAATAATAAAGTGCAAAACAATCGTTAAGTGACAAGACAGAGTAGAAAACAAATGGTTAAGCCGCATCCCTCTTCAAAAATTTAAAAATTTTACCAATGTACGTGTACGTTTTTTCAGTGAATCTTAGAATTTTGAAATGTTACGTAACATCTATATGACTTAGAGAGTATAAATAACTTTGCAAAGGTTGCGCAAGCAATTTTTAGAGGGCTTGTGTTTAAGCTAGCGGGTAGTTGAAGTTTGGTGGTTCTTGTGCTCTTCAATTTATATGTGTATAAAATGTTTAACGTTGCTGTAGTAATAGACTGTGTTGTTATTTTTCGCTACCTTTTAACTATACCACTGTTTTATAACTACGCGAGAAGTAAAAGATTTAGGCACTAAAATAATTTTCTAAAAATGTAAACAATTCTATTATCTAATTATAGCCGCCCTCGCATAGGCTAAAATTCGCTACCGCACTGTAAAAGTATTAGACTCTATAACCATAAACTTTTAATGCATCTCCTCCTAGAAATTATAGAGAATTCAAGTTAATAAATATATCTAAATTTATAATTAAAGAAGTACTAAAAAAAATTGTTCACTTCTGTATATCCAAAAGTTTTTAAAATTTACTTACAACTCAATGTTGTTTCTTAGTTTTTGTGTTATTAACCAGTATAATATATTTATATACCGCACAGATCCCCGAATAGTTTGAAATTAGCAAGTCCTGAAACAAATTATTTAGCTATTAAAAAGTTATGTTTACCTCAGAATTATGCGATTTTAGCGTTTACTATACGACTTAGACTAGAAATTGTTACTTTTATTAAAAAAATTTTTTTTTTATGAAACTATATTAATATTGTCCATTAATAAAATAATAATTTCTTAAACAAAGAGAAGTAAAATATTTTTGCTCTTAAATAAAATTTATTGCTACAAATTAACAATTTATTTTAACTACGTTAAAAAAAATTTGAATTTATTTGCGTTTAATAAACTAAACTTTAATATTATAGACATTAGTAGAGTTGCCTAAATATTACACACTTGAGCCCGTTTTAACATTTTTGGTTACCTCAGCGTTAGTTCTGATTGTCATCAAAACGATGTCTCAATTTTGTAATAGTAATGCTTTGATTAAATTTCTATTACCTTATAATAGTTTGCTTCATTGCCTTTTTAATCTATCTAAGTAACCAACTCGTATACTTTATATCTTTCTTGAGATATTGACTTGACTACTAACGACGTTAATAATAATGCTTCCTACAGCCGAAGCAGTAGTGGTAATTTTTTTGCTTTATTTCTTAAACTAACCTACATAACTTTCTCTACTAACTTTTGCTTATTTTATAAAGAAACGGAAAATGTATGGAAATACTGGAACAAAGCAAGTTCTTTGCTAACCAATTTCGTTAGCGACCATCAGAAAGAAGTGAACTCAGTTAAAAACACTTTAAAAAAGGGGTAGTATCATTATTTTTAGTGCAGTATATGTAAGCAAATAGTTAATTTTTTTTATTTAAATTTATTAGAAAAGAGCTCGGAGTCAATTTTTATGAGCAAGCGAAAGAGAGTTTGGATGCGCTCAAGGAGGCTGTTGAACCTTTTACAGAAGCTTTGTGTGTTTAGTAGTTTTTTTTTAATAAATATATTTTTTCTACATAAGTTTGTTACTTTTAAAAAAGTCATGATAATATTGCTTAAGTTTGTACAATTTCATACCCTATAATTATTTTTCGTTATATATATATATGTATATATTATATAAGTTTTTGGAGGTTATTTACCTTTTAGTATTTTTTAGAGAACACTTTTTGATAATTTGTTATAAATTTATGAATATTATTGCTAACATATGTGAACTTTACTCTACATTATACTTTAAAAGCTGTAACCATTTTTTTCTGCTAGTTTTAATCGCTCCAATTTAAAATTTTTATATTTATAATTTATTTCCGCGGCTACGTAGATTTAACGAACCAGAACTTGATTTTATAATTGCCAAAGCTGATGAAGTTGGAATTAAAGCTATTCAGAGTGCACTTTCGGTGGTTTTTCCAGCTTCCGACTGCTTTGTTTACGGTGTTATTTAATTATATAAAGCCAAAATGGCCTACTTTCATATAAAGATTTAATGTTATAATAATTATTGCCTTCAGAAAGTTGACCCTAAAATGTAAACTTTGCTTTCTTTTGATAAATTTACTAATTTAGTTTATAAAAATATTGTTCTAATTTTTAATTGTTTAACTTTAATTTTTTTATTTTGTAATTAGAAAAAAAAATTGATCAGCATGTTGCGCATCAACCCGTTGGTTTTACTGCAGCCCGTCAGAGCGTTTTTGAATGCACCAAAGCTGTTATAAATTCAAGTTAGATTTTTTTTAAAAAAAATAGAGTATAATGTGATTGCATTTAATAGAAGAAAATCTTAATAATCCTATACTAAGCATTCAGCCATTCTTAGTAGAGATTGAAGATGAATGGTGAGTTTTTATATTGAAATCTTTTTCTGTTTATAACAAAATTAAGGTTCCTTATGAACTGCGTTGCGTTACGAGATGTAACTTTAGAGATTCAATTATTGACCTACAGCCAAAGTAATTCACAGTTAACTTTTTTGTACTTTTTTAAATTATTATTATTACTGATATTTTGTTTAACAACTTTTTATTATTTTACTTGTTTTTAAATTATATAATTTGGAAAAAAAAATTTAAACACCATTAGCAATGCGTATTCCTACAAAATACGTTGAAGCTGCAAGAGAAGCAACTCCGGTTGGTTATCGTTTTGAAAGTTCAGGATTTATGGTTTGAATTTTTTTGGAGCTAATTTTTTTTATTGTGATCAACTCATGACTTCTGCGGGACTTATAGATTTCTGCGATTGATTATATGAAAGAAGATCTTTTTTTTAATTCTGAAGATTGGTATATTTATAAAACGGACAGGTTAGCACTTATAGAGAATTTTTATAGGTTATAATTTTTAAAAAATTAAATTTTTTTATATTTGTTTCAAATTTTACGATAGCACTCATGGGAAAATTTTATAAATTTTAAATTTATAAAAATTAAATTTTTTTTAAGATTTGCTTCAACTTTGAGGATTTTAGAATCGTGTGTAATAGCCGTTCTTGGAGAGTATGGTCATTATCTTATAGATGTTAAGCTGATTAATGATAATCTATTTATTTAATTTTGAAGCTATGGAGAGGAAGATTCGAAAAAATTTGGAAATTCCTACTAATAAATAATTTAAAAACTTTTTTTTTGTTATATTAATCTGTTTAAGAAATTTTAGGGCGATGGACAAAATCTTGTATTATTTACAAAAGGATCTTTACGTTCATAACAATTTTCATTGAAAATTTAAAAAAATATATATAATTATTTTTTTTACAAAATTTAATCGCTCGTTTTACTTTAGAAATAGAAATTACTTAAAAAAGGAAAATTTATTATTTAATTTTTAAATAATTCAGAATTTTGTTATCTGAGAAATTATAAAAAGTTTAGAAACTAAAATGGCAGGGCAAAAGTTTGGAATATTAATTTCGCAATCAATTGCTTTACATAACTTTAATAGACAATTAGGGGAATAATTTAATTTGAATTAAAAAAATTTAAAATTAGTTGTGTACTGAAATTCATCTAAAAACTTACACGATACCGCATTTTTTTGAAGTAGAATATTTTTTTTAAAAAAAGATCCAAAGGTTTCCTTTTTTTTAATTCTCAACAAAATCATTTATTAATTATTTATGAGTTTTTAGAAACTACCGTTTCGTAGTTGCATTATTTGTTATTGAAATTATTTTTTCAAAGTTTTATGCATTTAATTTCTTTTTAGTAATAACATTGAATATATTAAGTAAATTTCAAATATGATTTTCTTGTGAATATTTATTTTTTATTCAAGCATATTTAAGAGTTTTATATATTTTGATTTCATATAAGTAATAAAACTGAGGTTAAGTAAATTTATCTCTTCGTTTTCCTGTGAATTATTATTATTATTTTCATGCAGAATTCTTTTATTACTTCTTTAATAAAGAATTTAATTTTTTTAAAAGTTTTCTATAATTTAAATTTTTATCAATAATAAAATGGACTTTATAAATAAATTTATTTTTTATGATTTTCTTGTAATTTTTTATTTTTATTTTGACTATAAAGTAATTTTAAAAATGCAAACGGATTAGTGTAAAAATCTGCAGCGCTTATTTTTTATTGCGCATATGTTTTTGATTTTATTTTCTTAATAAATTTAAAAGAAAATTATTTTTATAAAACCTCAAAATTAATGAAGTTAATTAATTAAAAATCAATTTTATGTAAAAAGTTAGCATTTATTAATTTTATTTATTTTAATTTTTCAGATCAACGTTTTAAGGGTTTCAAGGCAATCTAGAATTTATAATAAAATTAAGTAAATTTAGTTTAGCAAACTTTCAAATTTGAGGGCTAAACGGTACTTAAAGTATAAAAAAAAAGTAATTTAATTAGGCGGGCTATTAGATATTAATTTTAGGTTAAATAGATTTTATCAATAATGCATCCTATGCATTATTACAATTTTATTAGAGATGAAGAAAGTTAATAATTTTTTTAAGAAAATAACTTTCAGCTTTGCTTAAATTAAATTTCCAAATTGTATAATATTTTAAAAAAAACTTAATGTTAGAAATTATTATATTTTGATTAAATAAATTTCAACTTTACCTGGATTCTTTAAATTATGTATTTCTTTAAAATAGAAACGAGATATGGAAAAATTATTAATTTTAAAAAAAGAAATAACTATATTTAAACACAATTTTGAATCAATATTTTAAAAAGTATACGAGTTGTTAAAAAATTATTAATTCTAGATGCAATAATTTACAACTTTGTTTAGTAGTTTGAAGTTCTTGGTAAAGCCGCTCTTGTTCGAGCAATTGTTTAGATAAATTTTCGTATAAATTTTGTTGATCTACAAAATTGTAAATTAATTAAATTAGTTGTGTAGAACTGGTTTTTTAATTTTAATAGAGAAGGTAAATATAAGAAAGTTTAGATTAAAAATAAAATAAAAAAATTAAATAAATTTAGTTTTTTGGAAAATTTAAATTTAAATTGTACACACTTTTTAGAAAGTTACATTTCTTTTAGAAAAGTTCCAAATAAAACTTGTGTACAATTTTTTCTTATGATTAATTTAATATACAATTTGTGTTATGTTAACTTAAAAACTTTTCATATAAAAAAAAATGGAGGTATACAACCTTTAAATATAATTTAGGCAAACTAAAATTTAAAATTTTTTTTTTTTTCTATAAGATTGCTAACTTAATTTTTTACCATACATTTCCTGTTTCCTTTTCCAGTACTTTGAATAAACTTTTAATTATTATTAATTGTGGACAAATATATAATTACTTTAACGTTTCTGAGGTTTGTTTCCAAAAAATCGGCTTAAAAATATAATTTAATGATAATAATATAATAAAATACTTTATCTTCGTTAATTTTACATAAAATTTATATTTTTAGCCAAATAATTGAATGAAAGATTAAGAAAAAAAAGAAGAAAAAAAAAGTTTTAATTTTAGAAATTAAAATTTGGTACAACATTAAAATTAGTATATTTTATAATATTGTTCAAGCACTGAAGTACGTTAACTTTAATACTTTCTTTACCTTTCATTAATAATTCTTCTCTATTGTTTAACAAAAAATTAATAATTATATTTTTAAAAAAAAAAAAAAATTAAAACGTTGTATTATTCAAATCCTTGATAACTTTCTCCTAATAGATAAGGAATTAGAAGTTTTATTGAAATATAAAATACTACAGAAGCACCATAAAGCTCTTCTGGAATCTTAATTGCCTTTTAAAATTATTATTTTTTTCTTTAAGGCTTATAATCTTTAAAGATTCGGCACGTACAAGTGCCTCTAATTCTATAGTTTCCTCTTCGATCAAGTCGATTTTATTCTGAGATATGTATTATAATGAACGGAGCAGTTTAATTTTAGTCGATCATATTCTACTAAACCTTAATAAAAGTATGTTTTTCTTTATAAAGTTCAATATCTCTTTGTATTTTATTTCGTTTCCTAACAACTTTAAAAGAAAAAATTAAACTTTTTTATTAAATCTTAAACTGTTTTAATTTCATTGATTTTTAACTTATGCTTAAACCAACTTTCTTCTATATATTTGTTCCTTTCTTCATAATTCCTTTCAGAAATTTCGATGGTAGCCAGAACAGCATCGAAATTACTAGACACGATAGGTTCTAAAAAATATTAAAAACTTTGAAACTTACAAAGCCAAGTTAACCAGGAAGCGTAATCCTTAAAAATTAAAAATTAGCAATAAGCAAAGTGTGTAATAAGCAAACCCATTTTTCTCTCTATTAAGTGCTTGCACTTAAAAATTGTGAGAACGAAGACAAAAGACTAAAAATGTAAATTTTGTGCCGAAAATTTTAAGGGTTTTCTATTATATAGAGTTAGTAGTGTTGGGGTTTACAGCATTCTAATGACTAAATTCACTCCACAAAACTGTTCTTTGGACGACGCTCTTAAATCACAAGTTAATACTTTTCTCTGCTCTTACTATTTTTTTACGTGTACTTCTTTTATACTCTAGTAACTCTGTTATATACGAAATTCTTTATAAAACTAAAAAGGTTATCATAATATGTTTTTAACTATATTTTACTTGCTGGGGTGGCGTGAAATTTAAAATTCGGTATGTTCAGTTTTTCAAGTAGGGAATCTTCTATTTTTTAGGTTTGTTAAAACAATTATTTTTAAAATTAAATTGCTTCATATGTTATGGCACGTTACAAAATTATAACAAAATAATAAGGCGAAGTAAATAACTCAAGCAGAATCCATTTTTGCTCTTTTACAATACCAGCACCAGACTAAAACAAAATTCTATTTACGCTGCCTTACTGATTTTGGTAAAAAAGTAGTTGCAGGCTCAGTAGACGGTATTACACAAGATTTCAGCTAGCCGAAAACTCTTTTAATCTCTTTATTTCTACAAAACAACTAATCTGACTTCTATTAAGTAACAAAGCTAAATATATATAAGCGTAAATATGGCGATCAGTGTTATTTTAAATTTAATACTTTATTATAAACTTTTTGAACTTCTGTGTTACTAATAAGATTAATATTGGAGGGTAAATTTATAAGACTTTATTAACCAAACTAGAACGTTGGTGTTCTTTGCAATAGAGCTATATTATTATAGTTCCACCATCAATACAATAGTTTTTTTTAATGTATAAATTTATGTTTGCGAGCTCTTTACGGTTGTAAACGCAAAAAATCTAAAAAGGGGAAAAAGTAGTAGATAACAAAGCTTGATGATAGCTATCACCATTCCTAGTAAGGCCCATTTTCTCGCGAGGAGTATGAAAGGGTTTTTTATCTTTTTCTTCATTTTTGCTTAAATGTTCTTTCTTCGGGTTTGTATTAAAAAAACTTTCTCGAGTATTGCTTCTCAACCTATTGCTTTGAGTATTTACTTTCCCTCTCCCTGCTGATGAGTTTTGTTCCATCTCAACTACATTAGGAAAGCTGGTTGGTAAAGAGTTAAGCACACAGGACATTCCAGCCCGTATAAAAGATGGTGCCGAAAAACTTAAATTTTCTTCCGGTTTCTTAGCTATCATATTTACTGGGAGTTCCAACTTCTTAATAACATCAGTATCGCTTTTGTTACATTCTCCCGGGGGTGTCATGTCTCTATACATGTAAATTATTATTAAAATTAAGCATATACAACAATTTTGAACACAAATTAAATTTCATGTTTTTAAGGATTTTTTTAGGGTAAACGAAAAATACATTCTTTAAGAACTCTATGAAAACTTATGATCTCTAAGGGCCGTTAGTATGATTCTCAAATCATAAATTCCATTTAACTTCTTAACACTGGCTACTTGTATACGGCATTAACGATTATGATATACCTCATAATATTATTTTAACAGAGTATTAGTGTTTATAATCCAGTAATTAAAATTATACTTATTAGCTGAGGTACCCGCAAATTAGATGTCTAGATTAAAGCGAATGGACACCTTAGGATATATTAATAAAAAATCTTTTACAAATTACATTTAAAATTATATTATTAGCTACAATGGAAGTTAGTTGTGAACAAAGTTTTAAAAGTGAAAACAAACCATACGAAGATATATTCTTTAAACCATATTACTTAGTTTTTTGCTTGGATTGTTCTTCAAGCCTCGGATTTTTAACTTCTGAGAAATTCTTTATAAATGTCATTATAGACTAGAACAGCACACATATTGACCACGACCCCTGGGTTTGTTTATAGCGTTTTCTTTTTAAAAAATTTTACTTTTGATTTGTTAAAAAGTGACTTCGGCAATCAACTAATAATTGCGTTTTTTAATAGTAGTGACTAATAGTATTTAAGTTTTATTAACAATTGGTCATTTTCTTAAAATTTTAGCGAGATATTATAAATAATTTTACGACTTTCTTAATATAGTATGGGAATGTACCATCTGTGTTTTTTTAGTTCTCTATTAAAAACAAAAAAAAGTTATTGTATATCTTATACTATGTAGTATATATATTGAGCTATAAAACAACTCTGAATTTAGGATTAACAATTTTTTTTATAAGAAAAGACAGTTTGACTTATTCTTTATTTTAGAATAACGTCAAGAAAATTAATGGCAAATATTAAACATGGTTAGCGACAAATTTCTTTCATTATTGAAAAACAAGAAATGACAAAATTACTACATTAGTTTGACAAAATTACTACATTAGTTTCAAAAAGATGTTCTATATAATTACTATAGTAATAGGTACATGAAATAAACATTTGCGTAAAACTAACTTACATTCCTAAAAAGTAAAATATACTTTTTGCAGTTTTCGCAATAGTTCTTGAATAATAAACTATTTTTTAAACATTATAAATTTAATCATATGGGTTTTGTGAATATTAATTTATAAGCACTTGAACTATAAGAGAGAATAAAGAGTTTGACTTTTAATATTTTAGTACATTCCTATGGATAACTTTTGATTTTTGAGTAAAAAATACCATAATTTATGGTTTTAAAGCGATGGAAAGAAAAGGTTATCCTATGTATTTTTGATAAACTTTTTAGCATATTTTGTCGTATTTAATTGAAAATCGCAAATGCTCCCTTAAGTTTTGGTAGTAATGCTTGTTGTGGGAATAAAGCTTCTTAATTGGGAATCCGACAATATATACACGCGCATTTTATAAAAACACCAAATATAATTTAATCGTAACAAAAGCGTGTACGTAATTTACTTTTAATTAAAGCGTTTACAACAAATAAAAATGCACTTTTCAAAAGCATGTTTTTTAACACGGTCCAAATGGGCCCCAAAGCTTTCCTAAGTACGAGGTGTAACCCTCACAAGTCATAAAATTTATACGAGCCTATTACCAGAATGGAGCGTAAAAACTCTTATAACACCAATAGAACAATTGGCTTCGTTTTAAAATTAAATTGTGCTGTAAGATGCAGATGTAAGGTTAATAAGTTATTATTCGTAACATATGTGGTATTGAAACGACGTATATAGCCGGACAGGCTTTTCAGCAAAAAAAACTCCGTAAGTTGAATATGTGTGGGCCGCTATATAACTAATATAATAAATTTAGTCTCAAGTTCATTTTTATAATAAATTAAATATTTTGGTAAAGCTAATAATAGACAATGACCAATATCTTATTACCTAATTAAGTAGAGATTAACCGCGTTTAAAAAAAAGTAACTGCAATTGCAACAAGTATGAGCACACCTCTCTTTTTACGAGGAGAGCTCAGAATAAAAGTAGAAATAGACTCCTGCTCTTATAAATTCTTCAAGGCATCATATTTATGAGAGCAAGTTCAATTAATTCACCTTAATATTTTGTAAACAATATTATATAAAGAGAAAAAATTGTGTTTTTTTGGCAAACAAAATAAATAATTTTACAATTACAGTCCGGAATCCGTTTTTATGGATACTGCATTTTGGGATGAAGTTTCACATTACAACTTGAATACGATTTTACTAGATGATATTATTGAAACGTGTTCGAAGAGTCTTTAATAAGTCTGAACGACTTTTTTAACGTAAAGGGCACTACATCTGCATATTATAGGACAAATAATAACCTCTTGCAAAGTTTCATGTAACGTCGATTACTTTAATATTAGTAATTCTTTAAACTACTAAATTTAAAATTAAATGGGTTTCACAATTAATAAGTCTTTTTATACATAAAGATACACGCATTTCAGGCTTATGTTAAGGAACAAAGATCCCCTAACAACAATCTAAGTGGGCATCTTGGAATATCGGAGTGGTTTACTATGTTTCATCTCGTTTGACTTTTAACTTTAACGTTTATTATGTTCAGTTATTTATGTGCTTTACAAAAAAAATATACACGACTATATATGTGTAATATTTTCGTTTGGTAGTACAAACTATGTAAATTTAAGAGAATTTTTAATAACTCGTCGGTTCTGTATACAGTTGTACTTAAGTTACATAAACCATTTAATGCCATCAACATTAAAGTTGTTACTCGGTATCAAAGTTAAACGAAAGATAAACCTAAGAAAAATCTTATATAGTGTCATCCTTTTTATATCTATCCAATTATATTCCAGAAGAATTATAAGATTCCTTGTGATTTTCTTAGCTTTAGCTCTTCAGATGTGGAAGTAACTTATATACTGTTTATGATAAGCGCGAATGAGAAGGCTGTTCTTTAGTAAAAGGTTCACTATAAGTATGCGTTCTGCATAGATGGGCCTGAAATATTATTATTTAAGATCAAGTTCTTTAGTTAACTTTTAAGTAAGCGACCATATTGTCTTTATTATAGATTAGCCCATCTAGAGTAGCTTTTATTGAAGTTTGAAAAAGTTTATTTTTCAAATAAAGTCTTTTTACTTTTACTAACTTAGAAATGGAATTCGTAAAGAGTAGTGAGAAAAACTTTCCTTTATCCGTCTAGATTTTATTATTTTTATGTTAACATACATTTCATATATAACAATAGTATAATTATACTTTTTGAAACTTTTCAAGCAGTATTTGTAGAATAGCTTATTTTTATCCCAACCCAGAATTTATTTTAGTAACCCGGGAGAGAATGAATACTAGTTAAATTATTGAAACAATTACTTCTTAAAAGATAAACGTAGTCAAATTTTGTATACGTTAAGAAAAAAAAGCATCCTTAATAGTATAATGTAAGAGATCGTCTTAACAAATCAAACTTTAATAGTTTTAAAATGAGAAAGCTAAACACCGATTCACCTTAAAAAAGTATATAAAAGCTATTAAAATTTTTTTAAAAAGTCCGTACTCTATTTATTGCTTTCAATTAGATACCAGCAAAATTATAAAGTTGACGCCACTTAACAAGTATTTTTAATAAAAAAGTTCGTTTATTAGCTTTGAGTATCTTGAAAAAGTTATTAGTGTAGCTTTACTGGTTTACTATAGCATAAGACTTAAAAAATATATTTACAGCTTCCGAGGTAAACAATCCTTATAACTGCTTAACACCGCTTCAAAGCTTTCACACGAAGCAAACTACATCAGAACGTGAACTTTATCAATAAAATAGAAGATTAAAAAATTTATAAAGTATATTAATAAATATATAAATCTTAAAATACATTCAATAAAAAAATTCAAAATTTTTATTAATTTTTTTTTAATTTTAGATAAAAATTTCAAAATTTATTTAAAAATTGAATTTAATACAATTTTTCTATAAACATTTATGAAATTTTTATTTAAAATTTTTTTGAGTTTTCCTCTATTTCAAAAGTGGTAGTTTTGAGATCTTTTGCTACATCTTTTTTAGTTTTCTCTTCATTTTCATCCTTTTTTTGAATTTTTTTTAATTTGATGGGCAATTCGTCCTTAAGTTACATGAAATAAAAAAAATAAAAACTATAATAGAGGAATTCAAAATAATAAATATTTAAAAATAAATCAAGTCAAAGAATCCTAAAAATTCGATTTAAAAAATTAAAATTAAAATTAATTTTAGCAAAAATAATTATAAATTATTATTAATTGTAATATTATTTATAATTAAACAAATATAAATTCCAAAGTTCTCTAGATAACTTATCAAATTTAATTATAATCAGTTTATATAATTTAAGAGTATAAATTTATTAAAGTTAACTTAAAAAACTTCTAAAGCAAATATATATTTTATTTCCGTAAAAAGCTACTATAAGTTTTTAAATTATTATAAAAAATTTAAATTAAAAAAAGATTGATTATGTATTTTTAATTATATATTTGTAAACTTTTACTATTTATTGACCCTTATATTTAATATTATTTTTTTTAAAAAATAATAAAATAAAAAATTAAATTCTATTAAAAATCTAAAATTCTGAAATCAAGTCGAAGGTAAAAAAAAAAATAGTTCAAAATTTTTTAATAAAAATTAAAAAAAAATAAAATTTCTTTAAATTAATACGAAACGGATAATAAATTCTTAAGCTAAAAATTTTTTTTAAAAAAAAATAAACAAGAAATTTTAAATCTCTATAAAAAATTTAATTTTTTATTTTTAATTATTTATAAATTTTTATAGATACAATTTTTATTAAAGTTTTTTCAGTTTCTGGCTTTTTCTAACTTTATTACTTTCATTATATTAACGTAACAAACGTTTTTATTATAAAATAATTATTTATTAAAACAAATTATGTTAAGTAATTTTTAAATCAAATTAAAAATTAACAAAATTAATAAAATAATAAAAATTATAACTTTTTTCATGTTACCTGTTTTTAGGATCTTTTATAATTTATAATAATCACTAATAAATTTAATACACTAATTATATAAAAATTTTAATTAAAAAACTTTAAAATCTTTAATAATAAAAAATAATATTAAGTATAATTCTGATAAAATCAATATTTTCGAAGAAAAAAGAGAAAAAAACAGTAAATTCCAAGTTATTAAATAAGACTTCTTTATAAAATAGTAAAAAAAAAAAGTACAAATCTATAATAAATATAACCTTTTATAAAAAAAGAAATAAAATAAAATTCTATAATAAATAAATATAACCTTTTTTTTAAAGTAAACAAAAAAAAATAAAACTTTTATTAAGAAAATTGAAAAAGTACAAATTTATAATATATATACTTTTCTAAAAAGAAAATAAAATATAATCCTATAATAGAAATATTTATAAACTTTTAAAAAAATAGTAAAATTCTAATATATATATATTAATTTTAAAAATTTATATAAAATATAATAAAGTAAAATAAAATAAACTCTTATTATAAAAAATAAAACAAAATTCTACAGTAAATAAATATAAACTTTATAAACTTTAATATAACTTATAAAATAATATAAATTTATAATTAGAAAATATAAACTTATATAAAAAGAACAAAGAAAGTACGATTCTATAATAAATATATATAAACTTTGTAAAAATGAAAAATACAAAAAAAAATAAAATAAATTTTTATAATAAATAAAAATAAACTTTTATTAAAAAAATTAAATAAATACAAAAAATATAATTATACAATAAATAAATATAAACTTTAGAAAAAAATAAAAAAGTATAACTCTATAATAAATAAATATTTAATTATTATGAAATTAAGAAATACAACATAACTAAAATATATTTCTACAATAACTATAAATAAACTTTTATAAAAAAAAGTATAAAAAATAAAAATTCTATATAACTTTAAAGAAAATTATAAAAAAATATAAATATATGATGAGAAAATATAAACTTTTATATAAAAGAACAAATATAGGAACTTTTATTAAAAAAAGTTCAGTCCTATAATAAATAGATATAAATGATAATGAAAAACAAAATAAAATTATATAATAAACAAATAAAACCTTTTATAAATTTATTATTTACCTTTTCAACTTCACGCACGGCGATTTTGTTATTAATAAGATCGTGAAGAGCAATAACGGAACGCACGAGAGAAGCGATATAGATGGCGAGAAGCTCGTCGTTGGATTTTATAGTTAAAGAGTGAAGTGTTTCCTCCACTGATAAAAATAAAAGTTTTTATAATAATATTTATGAATAAATATAATGATATTAAAGTAAAAAATATAAAAAAAATATAAAATTAACTGTAATAATATAAATTTAGTATAATTAGTAGAAAAGATAAGAAAAATCGAATTGCTAAGTATAATAATATACAAATAGTTATATATTATATAACATTCTATAAAAATAGTATAAATGATTAATAAAGTTTACAAAAATATTAACTTAAAAATATTATATTTAATATAAAATGAAAAAAAAAATATTTATATAAAATTTATAAAATCTATAAAAGGGGTAGAAGAGATTGTAAAAGACTCATCCAAAAAGTAAAAAAAATATTTATTTAATAAAAATAAAACAAAGTTATTAAAAAATAAAAAAAATAAAAAAATTTCTTTATTGAATTAAAAAAAAACATTAAAATATTATTGTAAAATAGAAAGTATTGAATAAAAAATAAAATAAAAAATACAAATATATTGATAAAAAATATAAAAATCTATAAAAGATAGTATAAAAAGTATTAAAAAAAATAATTATTTATTAATATAATATTTAAAATAAAAATATTAAATAAACAATAATTAAAGAAATTAGAAAAAAAAATAAACAAAACTTTTAATAAAATTGTCAAAAAAAAATAATGAATAAATTAAAATATAAAAAAAAATATAAACTTCGTTATTAATAGTAAAAAAAAAAATGATAAAAAAATAAATTTATATTGAATTTTTTATAAAATTGTTAAAAAATAATATATATATTATAATATTTATTATAAAACAATACAAACTGCATTATTAATAGAAAAGAATAATAAATGATAACAAAATTTTTTACAAAATCGCATTAAAAATAATAAAACAAAAAAATAAATATTTATAAAAAATAAAAAAAATTACAAAAGATTTTCTTATTTGCTGAAAAAATTTAAAAAATTATTGAAAATACGAACAAATTAACGATATTTATAATAAAAATCGTTAAAAATAATAAATAAACAAAAAGTATAAATATTAAAAAAAATTAAAAAGGTTCTGTAATTCGCTGGAATAATATAAAAATTATTCAAACTACAAAAAAGAAATTATTAATATAATAATAAACGATTCTAAATTAATAATAAAAATAAAATAGATATAAATAAATTTATAATTATTAAAATGAATATTATAAAAGTAATAAATATTATAATTACTGTAAGAATTATTAAATAATAATCAAATTCTTTATACTTCTTTATAAAAAAATTCTACAATTTATTTTAACTGCGTATTATTACTGTGAAGATTTTTCTTTAGTATTTTGACTTGAATATATTTTTAAATAAAATAAAGAAATCGTCGCTTATTTAAAAGCAATATAATATTAAAATTTTACTAGACTTTTTTCAATAAATAATAATTAAAATAATAATAATAACCATAATAACCAAAATAATAATAGTAATAATAAAAAACCATTCAAGTTCGGAAGTAAATTAATAATATTTTGCATTTGATATAGGATTTGGTTGTTCAAAGTAATGTTCCCACTAACAACATCGCAGAGATATCTATAATAATAATAATAATAATAATAATAATAATAATAATAATAATAATAATAATAATAATAATAATAATAATAATAATAATAATAATAATAATAATAATAATAATAATAATAATAATAATAATAATAATAATAATAATAATAAATGCATAAACTTTTTTCACCAGAAAAAATAAATTTTATAATATATTTTTATTTTTATAAAACAAAAAATAATAGTAAAAAGTGATAATAGTAATAATAATTAATACATAATAATAAAAACCCCATAAACTTAGCTATAAACTTAAAAATATATTATATAATACAGAATTGTATAGATATACTTTTGTAGTGATGTTAATAAATAATAATTATAGTCGCAGAAACTTTTGTTATTCCCAAAAATATAATTTTCTCTTATATATAACTTTATCTATTTTTTATTAAATAATATAAATAACTATAGTAAGGGTAATAGTAATTTTTTTAAAAAAAAACCCCCAGTAAAAAGTAATAATAACAATATATATATATAAAACTAAGCTGATGCATTTCCTTTAAGCTGCGGGCAAGTCCTTCAATAGCTATTAACTGAGTGCTTACTTTTTGTGACTGCCGTTCAATATATAATAAATATAATAAATAAAATAATAATGATGACAATAAAAATATAAAAAAAATGTTATATTATAGTAACCTGTTTAAAAAATGAATGGTTTTTATTAAGTAAAAAAAATGATAAAGAAATTAATACACAAGATATAATTTGTTAAAAATATTAAAATAATGGTAACTAAATGGATATTAATTATAAAAGATAAAACAAAAAGAGTAGTTTGTTAAAAGTAATAATAAAAAAAGTTCTTAACAAAAAAATAAATAATAATATAAAAATTAAATAAACATAATTTAAAAATATATATTAAACTATAAATAAATAAATTTTTAAAAAAGTAAATAGAAAAAATTAAATAAATAAAAAATATTTATAATTATTTATTTTTTAAAAAAGCAAATGGAATAGAATAAATATAAATAATAATATAAATATTATTATATACAAAAATAACGCGAAAAATATGTCTTAATTGGCACAATTAGTTAATAAAATAACCAATAATATAAACGGCAGTGTTTATTATAAAATAATAGCAAAAAAGGGATGCGCTTAATCCGAACAGAGTTAGTTATAAAGCACCGACTAATTAAAAGGTTACAATTTATATTGTGGTCAATATTTTTTTATTACGCGCATTTCTAAGCAAACAATAAAATATCACGCTTGTTTGGGCAAAACACTAGAATCCTGTTAGCTTGTAAGGTATTGATAATAGATACCAAATAGTACAACAGTGCAATTAAGGGCTAACTTGCTTCAAAAAAACTAACACGTTTTAAAAGTTACCAGTAATTACAAGCACCTGCTCCATAGCTTAAATGATGGATTATTTGGTAGGAAACAAAGTAAAAGAGGTCAGAAAGAGGACGTTGCAAAGGGAAATATGAACAAAGTAATTCGTACCAAAGTTCCGGTCATTGTGTCTTTTATGTCACGAAGTAAGTGCTCGACGCCTATAAACAGTGCAAATGAATAAAACTCTTAAAAATAAAATACTTTATAATAATAATTATTCTTAGAAAAAATGCTCGATTTATTATCACCAATCAAATAGAATAGTTTTTAATACTATTAAATAAAAATGGAATACAGCCCAATCACAAAAAGGTTACAACAAAGTAAATTTTATGAATTAATACTGCAAAAAAATTAATGAACTTTTGCTAACGTAAATAACTTGTATAAAATAAGAAGTATTTGAATTAAAAACTTTCATGTAGCATATTTTAAATATAAAAAAACGATCTCTGCTGCTTGAGTGTACATTATATGTAATAATAATAATAATAATTATAATTATAATAATAATAATTATAATAAACAACCAATTTCTTCAGCTTCTTCTGCTCCAATTTCAGAAGAAATATGAGCAAAAGTTTTCATTGTAGGAGAGCCGTCCTAACACAATAATAATAACAATTATTATAAGAGTAAATAATGAAAGTAATAATAATATTAATAATATTATTAAAAGTAATAATAAAAGAAAGTAATAGTAATAATTATAAAAGTTAAAATAGAATTAATAATGATAATAATTACATATAAAGTTTAAGTAAATTTAAGAGTAGTAATAATATATATATTAATGATAATGATAATAAAAATGACAATAATAAAAGGAATGATATTAGTTATATATATAATAGTAGTTACATCATTAATTTCCTCTACAGCCATATAAGCAGAAGTTGGAAGGCCTTCCTCTTTCGGTTGAACATCTAAATAGTAATATTAATTAAAAAATTTCTACGTCTGTGTACACGAGGTACCAACCCTCGAGGGCTCAACGGTAATGTATACATAACGGCGCGCGCAAGACGTTCTTTTTTTTTATTTTATATAATTGTTGTTTTCGCTTTAAATGTGGTGCTTTTCAAATCTTTAAATTTATTAAATAATTATTACTGTGTTTTTGAGTTTTAATTACTCCACACTATAATATAGCAAAAGCTATAAAATACTTTATACTAAATGATATAATGATTTATAGTAAACAATATATATTAGTTTGTGGGCAAAAGACTAGTAAAATTAACAATTGGTTTGTATACTTCTGAACGCAATGGAAAATAAGAGGACTCGTGCGCGCGCCATTCTAATTAAAGATAACATTTAGCCCTCAATGGTTGAGCCCCCTCGTGTATACACAACTAAAAAATTTTACAAATTTTGAATATTATTTTTTTAATAATTTCGAAGATATTAATAAATGCTGAGTAATATTTTAAAGTAAACTGATAAATAAAAATAAAAAAGATAAATTTCTACTTTATAAAAATTTATGTAAAACAAAATTAATTTTTATTAAATTAAAAAAACGTTAATAAATTCTGTGTATAATTATATAGTAAACGTATAGATAATTTATTTTACTATATAAAATTAATAAAAAGGCAACTAATTTTAAATAAATTAAAGAAAAATTTTAAAATTCTAAGTAATATTTTAAGCACAAACTCAATAAGAAGTTTTAAAAAAAATAAATTATTTCATTTTAATCTTAATTATAAATTTCTTTTGAAAATAAAATTTACTAATAAAAATTAAAAAAAAAATAATATGTCGCCAGTAAATGTAGAGAAGACGGCTATAATAAAAATTATAATTAATATTAGAATTTCCGTAAAAATTTAAGTCAAATCTCAGCAATTAAGTAAAAAGTTAACCAAAAATGTTACCCTAAAAAATTTTAATAAATTATTTATAAAATAACAAATTATATATATAATAATAATAATTACTATCCAAATTTAATTTTATTTAATTATTAAAGTTATTACCAATAGTGCAAAGAAGGGGGTTCGACATAAATCGTTTAAACAATTCGTTGATTTCTAAATCATTTTGTCTTAAAGAAGATCCGGTGTGATACCAGCCAACAAGTTTTTCTCTCGCTATAAATTAATATTAAAAAAAAGCATTACAAACTGTAAAGGAAATTTTATATTTTTTAAAAAAAAAGAAAATAAAGAAAGAAAATAAAAAGTGTTAAAAAATTTCTATTATGAATTCAATATAAAAGGAAAAAACGGATAAAATAAATTGACACCCATGGGAATTACTGAAGAACAATAAAAGAAATTTTTATAAATTGAAATTATAGTGTTAAAATTGTGAAAGTAGATCATACGTTAATATAAAAATTAAAAAAAAAAATAATAGCAGGCACAAGATATTTGGTTAACTCAAAATTAATTTTAATATAACAAAGAACTATTTCCCCACCTTCTTAAAAAAGTATACAAAAAGTAAAATTGTGAGAAGAAAAAAAATTTAATGCTATAAAAATAATTTATTATAAAATAGCAACTTTAATAATAATAAATTTATAAAAAATTATAGCTAAAATTTTTTATAAAAGCTCACGTTTAATTTTTTTACAATATAAAAGCTATCTTTATAAAAACTACCATTAATCTTGCGGAACATATAATACATATTTTCAACGTAATTGTGATCTACAAACCAAACTTTTGGGTTGGTTCTGTCCTCTTCAAAAGGAACTGCAAAGCTGTTTGAAACATCTAAAACATTGTTTTTTACTGAACCTAAATTAAAACTTTTCAGTTTTTTTAAGTTCATACATAAATAAAGTTGAACAGGAAAACCTAATAAAGCACCAACAACTCTAGCTTTTGATTTATTTCCAGAAACCCGGTTATAATGATCAACTACAGAAAGAAGAACTAAAGGATGGACAACTACTTTGTCTGGTAGAATTGTTTTAGAAGACAGTACACTTGGCATCTTGCAGTTAACAAAGTTTATAATATTTTCAAAAGAAAAAAGCTTTAGGAGTAAAAAAGTAATACTCCTTTGATTAAAAAAATAATATTTAGTAAGTGGAATCAATATATTTGCGTTGCTATGATAATCTGGTAAGTAAAGTTACACTGTACTCTTTCCGTGCACGCGCCTGCAAACTTCTGGCTCTTGCTTAAAATACCTAAAATTTCAGTTTGTAATTTGGAAAGCGTTAAATAGCTAATAAATATACCGCGTTTTAGATTGTTTAACAAACTTGCATAAAATACTCTTTTGCGAATTTCGGTTTTTGGTTGTGAACCTTTGAGTAAAGGGTTAAAGTACAAGCATCTTTATTTAATAATTAAAGGAAATAGTGGCATAGTAGCCACCATATAAACTTAAGATTCTTTTGTAGTGTAAAGTCCTCAAAACTTAAGAAAACTTTGTAAACGTTAAATAGAGTTCTTTTTTAAAGATGCAACTGTATTGATTCTAATCTTCCCTTTAAATCGTTTTCAAAAGCATATTATTTTTGAAGGTAGTTCTAAGTTAATAACCGTGCATACTCAAAAGTTTAAGATGGCTCCTCTACAAGGGCGCTGTCACAATATGGATTAAGTAGGAATCAGTTTCTAAAAGACCACCACATTTAACACTAAATGAATATTTGAAAAGAAAATTGAATTAGTTGTGGTTTTCACATCTACAACTAGGATTATAAGCACCTTAAGCTTACAATGTTTAATTTCTGGTACAAAAACCAATCTTTAAAAAAAAACCTTTTTCTACAAAATTAGTGAAAAAAGAAGAATTAGAGAGAAAGGTACCTTGATGGGCCTAAGTTTGGATCCTACCGACTATGAATAAAAAAAATTTAAACATGATTTTCTTTTGGCGCCAGAATAGTTTTCCATTATAGATATTAAGTTTATAACTTAAGATTGTTTTAAAAACTGTACATCAAAATTTTGAGGAAGAAGGATGAAAAGGTGGTGCTAATGAATTTCAAATTAATGCATCTCAGAATATGTAACATTAATAAGTTTTTCCTAGTAATCAGTGACGCTTTGACAAACAATAATAATAAAAAGTGAAGGCTTATAATTTTTGCAATTAAGTGGTTAAAGAAATACTAAACTATTAAACTGGAGACAAATAAAATTTTAACTTTCAACCGGCCCTCAACTTGTAAGTGAGCTGTTCCGCTTAAGCCGATTAGCGTAACCAGCTATCCATTCGTAGAGGCAACGACTTCATTTTTAAAGATTGTGACCAGCAGCACAATCCGTAATTCGTTGTGAGGTGTATCATTGCGCATAAACCACGGCGCGTCTGTTAATGGGCGCAGCAGTTTGTTTTGTCGCACTTGACGCGAGGATGAGATTATTGCCGATAAGTCGTAAGCCCAGACAGGGGGTAAATATTTCATAGTCGGAAGAGCGCACCACACATAGAGCCTTCTCTTATTGCGCAATGAAAATTTACTTTGCTGCACTATAGATATAGCATTTGACGTCATCTATTTTAAGCCCCATAGTTTGGCCCGTTAAAGATTTAAATAAGAATTAATAATTTTTAGAAGCATTCTTTAGTTATATAATTTTTTTAACTTTATAAATTGTGTAATGAAGGCATTACATATTGAAGTTGTGGTACTTTAATCCCCTGAAAAATTAAAATTAAGAGTAGCCAAGTATTCTTAAAGACAGCGTACACTGATTTACTTAGTCCACAAATAAAAACTTTATTATTCGGAAAATTTTATTACTTTGCTATTGCTAAAAGACTCCGGCATTATGGAAACCTTTTGGAAATTCAATATAAAAGTAGAAAAATTATCAATTTTGTAATAAGTGAACGTTTGCATCTACTTATTTAACAACTTGAATTAGTTTTCATTTTAAAAATATTTAATAAACTCTAAAATGAAGTAATCTTATAGGCTATAGAAGATTTGGATGCGTGAAATTATTTTTTATGTGACTATTAAATACAATTATGGGCTCTAATTTGAATAATTTACTTTTAAACTAAAATTAAGCGTACTCCCTAGAAGGCACCTCGTATTAAAATTAGGTTTTACAGTTATTTTTATCTTTAAATGGACTTTATGTAGCATAAAAAGTTTTTTTACTTATGAAGTATTAACAGACATTTAGATCGTGAATAATACGACCTAAGATTATTTATAACTATGACATAGTAGCTTTTTTTATATAATGCAGTCAAAAAACTTTTAAATTTTGAAAAAAAAATAATTATAAAAATTTAGTTCTATTAAGACGCTTCATTAAAGTTAAACGAAATGTTAAAAGAAATATATATTAAATTGTAAAGACTTTTAACAGAAGGGAATTTGTACACAAAGTATTAGTATAAGAGAACGCAGTTATTTACTTTTACTGTTACTTTATAAGTTATATAAAATAGATTAAACTACAAGACTTACAATTCAGTTAAACTAGAAAATTCAGTAAAGGGAATTTTATAAATTAAGTTAAGTTCGTTTTGCTAAAGTTTTCTTTTTATTTTAAAAGTTAACTTTTTTAAAATAAGAAAATAGAATTAAAAAACTTTTCATTGAATAGAAGCTCACAGCTTACAGTGTCTCTACTCCATCGTAAACTATATCATTTAAAAAAATAACTTTTATAAAACAATTCCATAAATCCCTGTAGCAAATGGGTAAATTTGTTTAAAAATAAAGAAAATTGTAGCAAGTAAAGCGTTATTAATTTAAAAAAATATATATAAAATATTATGAATAATATATCTTTGTTCTTTGAAGTACTCAGAAAAGCATTAGCCCCTCACTTGTAAAATAATTGTAGCTATTATAACTTAAAATGTTTGCTTACATTAGATATCTCTCCATTTTATAAAATTATATGAAATTACTAAAAACTAGGGGAAAGAGCATAGCTTTTTCTATATTATTATGTTTTGTAAATCTGAAGTTATCTAAATTACTTACAAAATGGAACTAAAAAAAATTTAAATTTCAGCGATTTTGTATATCAGTAGGTGTCTCTTTTACGAGAAGAATACACGCCGCGACAGTAACAAAAAGTTAACGGAACATTTTTAAATTGTTTTAATAAGAATTTAAATTATTTAAATTGATATTAAATAGTAATAAGGCTAGTCAGCTTTTAAAAACTTTTCGTAAACTTCAATAAAATATTATTAAAGAATGACTTTCCTACTCAATTATTTTCTATAGATTTTTAGAAGAATTCAATTTCTGTATATATATACGAATGTTTTATTTTTATCTACATTTTGCAGTTAAGCTATCAGAAGCTCCATTAATTGGCTTTTAATTATTCAAACTCTAAATCAATTTTATGGTAGCTTTTCCAAATGGCAAAGCACGAGCATAAACATTTCCTATTGTGTTCTAGCAAAAAAGGAAACCAAAATTTACTAAGGTTTCGAACAAATCCATTGGCTAAAAAATTCAAAATGATTTGCTCAGGTTTATCAAATTAACTGAATGAAATGATTATAGAACTATACAATAGCGCGCTGTTTTAGTTTCTTTCGGTTCAAAAAGGTTTAACCCGGTTTTCTGTTCAAATATTAGTTAGTTAGGTAAGAATTTTTGAAAAGTTAGTTAAAGCTAAAATTTCGGTTAAAAGCCTTTCTTTAATTAAAAAACAATTGTTATTTTGTTTAGTTACTTTGTTAAAATGTTTCAAAAGTTCATCAGCGTTAAAAAAATTTTTTTTTTTGCTCTTTGTTTGTTCAAAAAAAAAGTGGAACTGACTTTTTCTTCTTCATTAAAGTTATAAAATTGATACATAATATGCGTAATGTTATATATGAAATTTTTGGAGTTATTTTGAAAGTATTTAAGACACTGGAATAGTAATCACATGCCAATTTTTTTAGTAAAAGAACTTTCTTTTACACTGTTTAAAGACTGTTGATCGAGTTATTCATAATAGTAACAATAAAAGCTGGAAAAGTTTTAATCATTGAATGCTATAATAGTTATTTAAAAAAATAAAAAAGACCTATTAATTGTTAAACTCAGCTATAAGGTTACTAGCTATCTTATAATTATCTACTATCAGGATTGCTTAAATCATTTTGATTTAAGAGTAATTATTACTTTTTTATCTTAAAAATATTTATAATTTTATAACCTCAATTATCTATAATATTAGCGACATACAATAACTTAACGACACAAAGAAGTGCATTTTAATAGCTTTATCGTGATATTTTAATATTTTAATAATTCCATGTAAAACTCCCGTTATACCTGATAAAGAGGGAATTTAAAAAATGTAATTATTACTAAGATTGTAATATTATATATATCTTGTTTGCTTATCAAATTTTGTTTAGGTTTCTTTTTCACCCTCTAATATGCTGACTTGATAGGCACGTCTTAGGATCATCCACTAGGCAAACTAACAAAGTTTTGTATTCCATCAAGCGAATGTAATAATAGTAAGTAATTTTATATTGCACTTTCTTACGTTAAAGCTGGAGCTGATGAGGAAAGCAACTATGAAATTCTTTTAATATAAAATGGAGTTGCCCAATTTTAGGGTCAAACTTCATTGCGCAAAGTTAACTGGGCTATAAGCGACTAGAAATTATTAAAAAATAAAGGTTAAATAAGAGAAGTTGACTAATAATAAAAAGTTAAAAAAAAAACTGGTACTGTGCGTAAGTAAAGTTTAGATTAACGCGTTAATGAATAATTAATTTTTCCTCTACGAAATATTAATAGTACACCTTGTAATCCTTTGTACCAATCAAATATATGATTGATTAAAAAGTTGTCTACATACTTTGCAAACATCTTACTTTTACTTTATTTTATAGCCACCGATAAAGTTATTTAGTTTGAATATTGCGGAATTACTTGATATTTTCTTTAAATTTTTTTTTTTAAATTTATCATGTTGATAATTTAACTTTAAATGACTCAAATGTTTAAAGTTAGATTTGAATTCTTAAACTGAGTTAACTGAAAAATTTTGACTTTATTACTAGACGTTACGGTGCCCTTTAACCCATATACGTTGTTAATTGTTTTTTTTTTTATAAAAAAGTAATACTAGAAATGAGAGGGAAGGACGATTTCGGTTTTACAGAAAAGTTAGATGATAATCTTCTTGCCGATACCTCACCGGATGATACTGAAGTGGACTTTTCAAAAATGCTATTTTTATTTCTATAAGAAATTTAGTATACATAGCAAAAGTAAATAGTTATTAAAATTTTATTATGTAGACTTTGAAACTCGAACAAGAATTTAAAAATACTTTAGCAAACCATACTTTTACCAAAAACCTTGACGATGAGCTGAAAGCTATAGGCGTTTCCACGTTTGATTCTGTTAGATATGAAAGGTCAATAGAACAACAAGTAATTCCAAACAAAAAATATTACCCGTTTAAAAGTTAAGCGAAAAATAATTTTTTTCTAAGGTTGAAGGGATTTTAAAACAAAAGCAACAAAAATTGGCGTAATTATGTTTTTTTTTCTAACTGTAATATAATTTAGTAAATCTTCCAAGATTTAAAAGAGAAGAGGCTCAAAGATTCCAAGATGCCCTTGATCGAAAAAAATATAGACGTTCAGCTGTTTCCGCTTACCAAAATGACTACGAGAATTTTTTTGCAGACCTTGTACGCTTCTTACTTATGAAATATTTTATTTCAGATTATTTATGTTTATTGCTTGTTTTAAAATTTATTTGTATTTTTGTTTCTTTTTTTATTGTATTGTAGTGTTATTTAGTTCACAATTTAAATATAGTTTATAAAAGTGTTTGCGAGTATAATTTTATATTATTTTAGTTAAGTTAATTTTATTAATAATAAAATATATTTTTTATTTTTTTTAATTTTTTTTTAATTACTCCTTATTTGAAGTTATTCATAACTATTATCGTAATTTTCACTTTAATTAACGTTAACATTATAGTTAAAACAAATAAGTGAACTTGAAACTTTAGAAAAAGATCTTTCAATGCTTTTAGTTTCAGGTTATATTGATAGTAAAACGTTCAATAATAATAATAAACGTAGCACTAATAATAATAACTCTATAAATCTATTTGTAGAGTTCTAATTGTTAAAAATAATAATTACTTTTACTATTTTTAATTTTTTAACAATTTATGACTATTAATATATCTTTACTTCTTTGGACTTAAATTTTACAATATTTTTTAAGGTTGGAAAGCAAAAGAAAAAGAAGAAAAGGTTGTATGTTTCTTATTTTTAAGTTTGTTTATAAAAATCCAAATTATGGTTATTTTCTTTTTACAACGTCATATTAAGAACTTTTTTAAAAGGCCTGCTGAAGTAATGGATGAACAGTAATTTATATATATATATATATATATCTATATTTAGCTTGTATACTGCTTTTTATATTATTTAATAATAAATGACCAATGAATTTATATATATGTAAAATAGTATACAATACAAACGTATGATTGGTGTCTTTAACCAATCGCCTTGTTTATAAGTCATCAACAGTGAGAAGTTTAATGTTTTTAGTAAATAATTATAGTATTTTTTAAGATTCCCATAAGATTTGTTATAATGTAAAGAATATAATTCTTATTAACTAATCGCTTCATTAAAATATTTTTCGATATTTATTATGATAAGTAAAATTTTTTGGTGGTAATTTTCTATAAATCATATGTAATTTTTTTAAAACGTCGTTAAGAAAGAAGTTATATTATATATGCGAAGAAAAAAACCAAATAAGTTATAATTAAAAAATAGTTTAAAAATAAAAAGTTTCTTGCTTATACATGAGTGGAGACACCATATATCAACCAATTGTATTCGTTATAAAATCCATATGTATTTTTATTAAAAAGAATGTAGATTATAAACTTTTAATTTTTTTTTATAATTTTAATTTTTACTATTGAACAGCTACGCTAGATGTGTTGACCATTAAGTTGTAGAATAATTAACCAATAATATAAGTTATAAAAAATTTATAATCGACACACCTTTTATTATGATAAAATTATACTTTTTTAGTTTATATGTAAAAAAAAAACTGCTTATTGAAAAGTTTTTTAGATAAAATTAATTATTTTAGTTATATTTAAATAATATTAATTTTTAATGTTTATATTTTGCTCATCGATAAGAGTTTGGCAAAGTTATTATTCATAATTACTTCTACTGGTTTATAAAATCCGCTTAGCAATATCATACTTAACTACTCATATGTATTTTAAACTTCTCTGTTTTTTTTTTTTAGTAAAACTATAAAATTTAATACTAATTATTTGTATTAAATATAATTAAATATACTCTGGTGTGTTGATAGTTATGATAACTATTTAGCCATTAAACTTGCACGTAATTGTATTTTTATTGACACATGTTATACTATGCTTAACCAATACCAAAGCTTATTTTTGTTTTATTTAATTGATCATAAAATAAAATCTTATTGCGGTTTTTTTAAAGGGTGAGTTTTTTTTATAGTTCTTTTTTGAAATAAATATACAAACCTTTTTTTTTAAATAGAAGCTATGAAGAGTGTATAAGCCATTCAGATGTTGTTAAAGCAAAAAATATGAATCAAGTATGAGAATTATTTATATTCAATATTATCAAATGTTAACAAATCAATATTTTATTAAAAGTTTTAACAAAAGTTAATATTATAAATAAAATAATTTTTTAGTTTATATACAAATTATGTAAAAACTTTAAAACTAATGTATTAAAAATTATTTACTATATATATAAATTTAAGAATTTTTTTTATAAAAAGTGAAGCATGAAAAAAAAATTTCTTATATTTTTATTAAATTTTATTTTTTAGCTTAACTTTTCTGAGAGCAACAAACATAAGACTTTTGATGATGGCGATGATAATTTTTATATGAATCGGCTTAACCGCTGGCTTAAGGATCGATGTTCCAATCGTCTTGCACGTGTGTATAATAATAAATATAATAATAAAATTAACAGTAATAAAATCAAGTATTGTGGTAAAACCATTGCATCCAAAAATAAATACTAATTCATAATTCTCTTTACTTGATGGTAACAAAATTTTGCGCCTTTTTTCTAATATAAACTTATTAACAATAATATTTAAACGTAATTAATAGTAATAATATTAAACTTCTTCTAACATTTAAGCAAATTTGCTTCCTTTTTTATAATAACTTTTAAGTTCTTTTTTTTTAATTTTCTAGTGGTATTAACTTTATAAGGACATAATAATTTTTCATTTTTTTGCCCAACTTTTGAAGTGGTATTCTTTGTACTGATTGGTGGAACCTTTCATTATTTTTATAGACTCCGACGCGGATTTTCTTTGCAAGGAACAGTTACATGGTGGTATTATTATTATTATTTATTATTATCAAATTTATTTTTTATATTATTATGAAGAGGAACTTTTAGAGGAGGAGTTTTTAGACGGCGGCGATAAAGTTTTTCTACTTTTTTCTAAATTCAACACAAATATTTAGTAAAATTTTTAGGACTTTATAACTGGCGAATTCAAAGTTCCCGGAAGTATATGGAAGCGATTATTTAGGCATCAAAAAGTTTGCGTAAAGTGGCTTTGGGAATTGTTTCAACAAGTTGCTATTGTTTTTATTTTTTTTTAATGTAAAAAAAACTTATTATATTAAACTAAAAGGGAAAAAGAGAATGTTTATATTATGAAAAAGTATAAGTATTTCGAGTTGCCTTATTTTATTTCTAATGGATATTTATTATTATTATATTAAAATAAAGTAGAAAAGAATCATTTGTATTATATAAAAGTATTAATATTTATTTTTTATAATAATTTTAACGATATTGAAAAACGTACAAAACTATAATAAAAGTTTCTTATTATTATCAACCTAAAATAGAATAAGAGAATAATTATATAAAAGTATTAATATTCACAGTGAAAATATACAGAACTATAATTAAAGTTTACTATTATTGTTTTTACTATAAAAATTATTATTGTAAGCGTGTTGGAGGGATAATTGGGGATGAAATGGGACTCGGTAAAACTATTGAAGTCATTGCATTTCTTGCAGCATTAAAGTACAGCAAAATTGGTCGCAAATGGCCGCGCCATCCTCATAAAGGCTTTAATTTGGTACTGAATATAATTATAAATTTTATTGATTATCATTATTTACATTCATTATTTCATATTTTTATGACTCTGAAGGCCCTTCTGGTGTGCCCCGCGACTATTATGACTCAGTGGGTTAAAGAATTTCACAAGTGGTGGCCTCCCTTTCGCGTTGTATTGTTTCATTCGATTGGGTGATAATTTTTTCATAAATTTTAATGAATTTTTACGTATTAAGGTTATGAAAAATATTTTAACTAAAAATAATTAAAAAAAGTTAAAATAAAAAGTGTTTTCTACTTGATTTTTTTTGTTTATTTTTTATTATTTTTTTTAAAATAATCGAAATTTATATAAATATTAAATATATAATATATATAATTATATATTGTTATATAAAATATTAAAAATATTAGTTATTAAAAAAATTAAGTAAGAATATATTAAAGCTGAACGTATAAGTAATAGAAGTTTATTATTATTAATGAAACATTAATTAAAACTTTGGAATTATTAAAAAATTATATAAAAACATTAATGTAAAATACATAAATAATAAATATATTATTGTTATTTATAAAATGTTACTAGAAACTTTTGAGTTATTAAAAAAATTGTAAAATATAAAAGTATATCCCTTATATAAATGAAATATTAATAAAATAATTAAATATAAAATTAAATTTTTATAAAAAAAATTATAAATATTATAAAATTTAAAAGTTAAGGTTATTAAATAAAGAAATTTATAATAATAACTTTTGAGTTATTAGAAGTTTATATATAAACGTATTGAGTTAAATGTATAAGTAATAGATGTTTATTATCATTTATAAAATATTAAAAATTTGTTATTTATTAAGAAAAATATATATAAAATTTTAAAGGTTTTACATATAAATAATTAATTTTATTTTTATCTATAAATATTATTAAAAACTTTCGAGTTATTAAGAAAAATGTATAAATTATAAAATTTATTATTTCTATATTTTTGCAATATTATAAAACTTTTGGGTTACCTAGGAAAACATATAAGTATATATTTATTATTATTTATTAAAAACTTTGTGAAATGTAGAAAATTATACTAAAGTTAAATATAAAAATATTAATATTTTATTATTAATACTTATGAAATATAATAATAATTTTAATTTATAAAGAAGACTATATTAAAATTTTAAAGTTAAATACATAAATAATAAAATAAAATGTTATTATAAACATTTGAGTTATTAAGAAAAATATAAAAATTAACGTTTAAGTATAAGTAGTATTTATTATCATCAATTATTTTTTTTTATATTTAATATTTTTATTATTTTTCTATTATTACTTTTATTTTTTATTTTTGTTATATCTTTATAATTCTTTTTAACTTTTTTGGTTATTATCATTTTATATTTTAATTTTTTTACCAATTATCATTATTATCAATTTTTTACTTTCATATTATATTTTATTAAATCATTATTGTTTTTACTATGTTATATTTTAATTTTTTTTTTTACTTTTTATTTATTATTATTTAACTTTATTATTCTATTTTTTATTATTACTTTTTATTTCATTCTTATTTTCTTTTACTTTATATATATTTTTATTATTATTTTATATTTTAATTTTTTTACTTTTATATTATTATATCTTTATTATTATTTTATCTGAAAAATTTCCAAACGTTTTTTATATAATATTCTTTTATTAAACTTTATGTAATACTATTATATATTTTATTTTCTTTACTTTTATTTTACTATTATAAATTATTTTATAATATCTATAACTTTATTTTTTTTATCATTATTTATAATTATTTTTTTATTTAGAGAATTAATTCTATTTTATTATTTTATTATTATTTATTAACTTTATATATATATTAAAAATTTTTAACTTTTATATAGACATTATAATTTTATATATAGTTTTACTTATTACTATTATTATATATATTTGTTAACTTCTATTTTTATTTTATACTATATAATAATTTTTTTTTAACTTGTTATAATTATAACTTTTTTTAGAAGTGATAAAGAAAGCAAAAATTTGCAACTTCGAAGGTTTCAAGAAAAAGGCCACATTTTAATAATAACATATTCTGGATTGAGAATGATGGCTGAAGTACTTTTGAAAATAAAATATGATGCTGGTACGCTCGCCTATAAAGTAATAATAATAGTAATAATAATAATAATAATATAATAAATAACTACAATTTTTAAAAAATAACCCACGCGGCTTTCCATTCTATGATTGGCAGTTGTGTTGGATGAAGGCCACTTTATCCGGAATCCGGACGCTGAAATTACTGCGATATGCAAACGGCTGAAGTGCTTTGCACGCTTACTACTAACAGGAACTCCCATACAAGTATAACTTTTGCTATTACTATTATTATTATTTATTATATATTTTATAGAATAATTTAAAAGAATTATGGTCTCTATTTGACTTTGTCTATCCCGGACGGCTGGGCACTCTTCCTCTGTTCCAAAGCCAGTTTGCTCTACCGATCACAATGGGCGGCTACGCTAATGCTTCTCCTACTCAAGCTTATAAATATTACTATTATTTCTCTTCTTACTGTTATTATATTTCTTATAGGTTCAAACTGCGTACAAATGCGCTCTCGTTTTAAGAAAAGCTATTAGCCCTTACTTAATAAGAAGGTTTTGACTATAATAATAATAAATATAGTAATAATAAAATTAAAAACAAAAATATAACTTTTATTTATCCCATTATTATAAGTTTATTATTTTTTTTTAAGTGACAATGTTAATATTTTTTAAAACTGTTTTTATTTACTAAATATTTTTGTTGTATAATATTTTATATTTATTATTAATGATTAACTTTTTATTGTTATTTAAATAACTGTTTATATTTATAATTTTTATATAAATAGTTTACTTTTTATAATTATTTTGTTTAACTTTTTTTTTAATTATAATTTCTGAGGGATAATTTACTTATTATTATTATCTTTTAACTAATTTTTATCTTAAAATTAAAGATTTATTAAAAATATACTTGTTATTATTATTTTTAGCCGTTCTATTGTTATAATAAAAATTTTATTATTATTTTGTTCCTCATTATATACAAATAGTTAAAATAAAACTTCATTGTTTATTATTATTATAATTATTGCAGAATGAAATCCGACGTTGAACTTTCTTTGCCTCAAAAAGTTGAACAAGTTGGTTATAAGCAACTAATAAAAATTATAAAACTTTATTATTTTTATTTGCAGTTATATTAAAAAAGTAAAAATGCACCTTTATTTTATTTATAAATTTCATTTTATTAAGTAAACTTCTATTTAATTTTTTTTATTAATATTATTTTTACTTATAGTTTATTCATTTTATATAAGAAAACATCTTTTAATTAATATTTTATTTTATTAATTATATTTGTTTATAGTGTTTTCTATTAATTTTTATAATAATAAGTTAATTTTTTTATTAAAACAACTTTTACTTTATTTTTCTGTTTTTAAAATTAATTTTTTTAACGTATTCTTTTGCTTTTTTTAAAAAAATTATCTTTATTTATTTTTATATAACATTTGTTGATAATATTTATTTCTTCTAATATAAAAAAGGTTCTCTTTTGCAAACTTACAGAACAACAAAGAAGAATATATAAAGACTTTTTGAGTTCAAATAAAGTTATTTTATTATTATTATTATTAATATTGTATTTAGATTTTTTAAAGCTGAAAGCCATAATGGAAGGGCGAATGGATGTTCTGGCCGGAATTGATTACCTTAGAAAATTATGCAACCATCCACATCTCTTGGACCTACGGGTCAAAGAGGACACGTGCTTGTATGGTATTCTTTTTTGTAGTTATTATTATAATTTTTGTTGAGTTTTAAAGTTTTATAACACATTTTTTTGGCCCTTTAGCCATTTCAAATTTTTTTTAAAATTTTGAGTACTACATTTATGAATTTTATGAAATTGAGAGAAGTTTAATAAATAATAAGAAAAGTTTTATTAAATATACCAAATTTACTGCTATTTAAATTAAAGCCACCAATATTATGTAAGAAACTTTGTAATAGCGGAAAAAATTATAATTTTTAAGCAAGTTGCAATTTTTATTAATAAAAGTATTTATAAAACTTTAAACCAATAAGCGTGCTTCTAAATAAGCTTTTTCCTTGAATATATTAATAGTAACCTTTTTTCTTCAAGATAAATATTATTATTATTCGTAATATATTTCTTCCGTTTATTATATTTTTTGGTTTTTTTTAAATAAATAACTTTTTTTGTATATTATTAGCAAATCTTTTACACAAAATCCAAACAAACATTTTTTTAAAGTACTTTAACATACAATTTTTTTTATTACTATTATAAAAACTTTTTATTATAGGAAACTACAAAGAGTCTGGGAAAATGGTCGTTCTTAAAAGTTTATTAAGTATATGGGCTCAACAAAGTACATTAATTCTATCTATAAAACAGTGTAATAATGAAAGTATATAGTAATTATAAGTAATAATAGTAATTAATATTTAAATAACTTAGTAAAAATAAAAGTGCTGAAAAAAAATCATAATTAGTAAGCTGATTAAAAAGTTCAATAATATATTATAATGTTAAGTAGTAAAAATATATTATGAAAACTGTCTAAAAGTTTGCTTATAATAAGTTTTTGCTAATCACGTGCAAGTTTGATGGCTTTTTACACGTGGTTACCCTAAAATAAATTTATATATTGACTTTATTACTTATAATAATTATTATATTATAAAGTTTCTATTATTTTATATTTATATTTTTATTTTATTTCATTTTTAAATAAAATATTTACTTATTTAATTTTTTTTAAAAGTAATGAAACTTTAGAGAAGTTTCAAGTAATAGTTCATTTTATTAAAATTTTTTTATTAGGCTAAGAAAGTTATTATTATTTTTAGTAATAATAAAAACTCTTTTTATAGTTTTATAACTTATAAACAATTTTTTATAATTAATATATAAATAATACTCCGTGCAATATTATAATTATATAACAATTTTTATTAAGATAATTATTATATATATGCACTAGTTATTATTTATTTAAGTATCATTATTGTATATGCGGTATTTATATATTTTTAAGTATAAAGCTTCTAACAAAAATATATAATTTATATATATATATCATTATGGAATTAATACCTTTATATAAGTGTATATTTTCTTTTAAGCAGAAGTTATAAAGAAAAATTATATTATGTTTAATACAAGTTTTTAAAAATTTGTAGGGAGTGCATACATATTTTTTACTTTGAGGTTATAATAAGTATATACTTGTCAAAAATATTTTATCTTTCTTTATATAGTAATAAAATAAAATAAATTGAAGTATTGAAAGTAAAGTTACGTAATAATAATAAATAGTAATACGAACATATTTTTGTAGTAAAAGTTATTATAAGAGAAAATAGGTATATATTTAATAAAATATGAAAACTTTTATAAATAAAGTATAAATATAACCAAAAACTATATAAAAAGAGCAAAAAGTGCTAATATTTTCACAAACACGACAAATGCTGGACATCATTGAAATATTTGTAATTCATTATTTTTATAACCTTTTTTTTACCGAGTAATATTATTATAAATTATTAGGTAAGAAAAATGGATTATCGGTGCCTTCGAATGGATGGTTTGGTGGCCATTTCTAAGGTAACCATTTTTATTATATATATCATTATTATTGTAACGATCATTATTTTCATTGTAATTTTTTTTATTATAAGAGAGAACTGTTAATTACTGAATTTAACAACAATCCCAAAATTTTCATATTTTTACTGACAACCAAAGTTGGGGGGCTCGGTGTGAATTTAACAGGAAAAAAAATAATCATTATTTTTTTTGATTTTCAGTTTATTATAATTGGGTTAATACTTTTATCTTTTCGTTTAATAGGAGCTAATAGGGTTGTAATATTTGATCCAGACTGGAATCCGTCCACTGATAGTCAAGTATTGTTGCTATTGCGCAGGTGATCAATACAGACGACCAATTGCTATTAGGCTAGGGAAAGAGCATGGAGGATTGGCCAAAACAGACAAGTTGCTATTTATAGGTATTTAGCGCATATATTCTTTTTATTTGTTGCATAACATATATAAAGAAAACACTTTTTTGATAAAATTGCGTAATATATAAGTGTAAAAGTTATTATAATCAAAAATTTTAATTTTATAATAATAATAAAACAGGGATAAATTTATAATATAATAGATATAACTATAATAAAAAATATAAAACTGCTAATATACTTTTCTAAAACTTGCCAATAATAATAAAGTTATAAATAATAAAAATTTAATTTATAATTATCATAATAAACTGTAAAATATTTAATTATTGCTAATAAAAATATCATAAAAACAATGGATTTTTTTTATTCGGAAGATTACTTGTGAACGGAACGATTGAAGAAAAAATGTACCATCGACAAATATTTAAACAGTTTTTAACCAATCGGATTTTAGAAGACCCTCAGCAGGTTTAAATTCTTTTTTTTAATAATAGTCATAAAATTTCTTGGCTATAAATTATTACTTTTTTTTTTTAAAAATTTAATTTTTCTTATATTTTATTGGACTAGCGACGTTTTTTTAAAATACATGACTTGCTTGAATTGTTTTCTTTAAGTGAGGAACATGAAACTACTGAAACTGGGGAACTTTTTGGCGGAGAAGGTAGAAATAATAATCTTTTTTTTTCTTTACTATTATTATATCCATCAATATTATTATTTGCATTACCACAATAGGAACAGAAGTAACTAAAAAAAGTTTCACACTTTCTTCTGAAGTGTCTCGACCGGATAACGGATTTATAAATATCGAAGATAGTGATGTTTCGGGTAGTTTCTTTTATTTTATATAATAATAAAATTAATAATAATAATTATAATAATAATAACTTAATGAAGGAATTGAAAGTATTTCAAATGTTGAAGTTGGTGAAGGTGATAAAGAAGATATTAAAATAAATGGTAATCTGCATGGTTTATTATTATTAATACGATTATTATTATATTTTATATTATTCATTAAGACGATCGCATGTATATTCTAAGCGAGTTATTTAAAAGTTCCGACCTTCTTCATACTGCTCTTAAGCATGAAGAAATAGTAAATTCGGTGCTTTTTTCATTTATTTTTTTATTACTTTCTTATTTTATAAATATATATTTTATTATTACAACTTTTTTTTATTTTATATATATTATTTTTCTTTATAACAATTCTCTTTATTATATGTATATACGAATAGGGAAGAGATATTGATAAGGAACTAATTTTAGTTGAGCGCGAAGCGGAAGAAGTTGCTCAGTGCGCTGCACAGGCCTTAAGAGTTATTGTTATTGTTATTATTATTAATTAATAATACTGTTATTATAATTATTATAACAGGAAGCTCGTGCTAAGGCTAAGGCCATTCCCCCTGGTCTTCCCACGTGGACAGGCCGCTTTGAAGGAGCACGTAATAATAATTTTTAAAAAATAAACAACATAACGCTTGAATATCTTGTATAAATAGTAATGGAATATAAATAAATATGCACTATTGTATAATAATTGAAAGTAATATAATAATAAGCGCTATAATTAGTATAGAAATAAGATATTAACAGAATAAATAAACAGGAATAACTTATAAGTTAAAATAAAATAAATATATAATATAAAATTTTTTTACAAAATATAAATTGCTATATAAAATACATTAAATAATTAATTTATATAATAAAGTAATAAATTTCTAAATAAATTACAATATTATAAATAAATATTATAAAAAATTGGAATAATAGAAAAAAAATTATAAAATTTTTAAACAAGGGGATAATAAGAAAATAAAATAATATTTACATGAAATAATCAATTTAATAATAACAAATAGAAAAAACTACCCGTTTCGGTAATATTAAGAGTCAAACTATTAAGGCACTTACACAAAACTTGAATAAAAGTAATGAGGGGATATCCTTGACTGGTGAGCCATCATCTTCTGAACATGTAACATATCAGTTTCTTTATTGTTGTTATTAATAATTATTATTTATTATTTAACATATACTATTTATTATTTAATACTATATAGTTTCTTTATTGTTCACTATTTTTAATTTTTTTTACTAATCACTCTATAATTATTTACTATTCATTATTTATTATATATTATTCTATTCTATATACTGTTTATCTATTAGTTATTACTTACTATTTACTAGTTGCCATTTATATAGTATTTATTGCTTACTATTTTCTAGTTGTTATTTACTATATCATATTTATTATATATATTATTATTTTAGTATTTATTATCATTATTATTATCCAACTACGAAATCTTCCAAGTCACTTAGCAAATCAACGAGTGAATTTTCGCACGACACTTCCAATGAAGTTCCTCTTTCTTCATCGAGCATATTGGAAAAGTTATATATTTTTTTCTATTTTTCATAAAATTTAATGAATAATTTTTGGGGGGCGGAGCGGTTAAGGAAATTTTGTTGGGTGTGAAAAGTATACTGCTCCTTTTTTTCTGGCGCTAATTTTAATTTTTTTTATTATAAAGAAAAAAAATAAAGTAAAACAAGATAATTTTTAATAAAATTTTTTCATTTTCGTTTAAATTTATGAAAGTTTAAGAAAATCTAAAGAACTTCTGCAATTGTTTTTCTATTCATTAAAATAATATATTTTAGTAATATAAAAAAAAAATGAATCGTATAAAAATGTTTAATAAATAAATAAAATGAAATATTAGTTAACAAAATTTTTATATAATAAAAAAGAAAAATAAGCGAAAAATGCTTAACAACTTTACCACTATTTTTTTTTTGTTTTTACTTTTTTTTTAAAAAAGCGTGAAGAAGCGATTCGGAATTACACCATCTAAAGAAGATTTTTTTAAAAAAGTGATAAAAGAATTATGCTTATTTATTCAAAGCAAAGGAGGCTCTGTAATATTATTTATAATAATAATAATAATCAAAATAACTATAAATTTCAGGCATCTACAAAAGCAATAGTTGATCACTACAGAATTCTTTTAACCCGCCAAGAAACACGTGTTTTTAGAAGTATGTTAAGGAAAATTGCGAACTTTAAAAAAGATGAAAAGGGGCTTGGTTGGTGGACTTTAAAACCGGAATATTTATAAACTTTTGTTTGAAATCAATTTAATTTTAATAAAGAGATTTCTATTATAACAATTCATATATAATTTTTTATTTTTTGTTAAAAAATCTTAAATAAACTAAAACCTATAAGTTACGAAAATAATAATAATTTAAATAAAAATTGCATTTAAAGTTTGAATTTATAAATTATATGTTTAAAATCTATAATAAATAGTATAAAAAATTCCAAAAGTAATAAAATGAACAAAAAATAGAAAAACTTATTATAAAGTTAAAGTTTAAATAGAAATCAATAAAATTTTATATTTTTTTAGTTAATATTATGTTTGTGTTTAAATATATTAAACGATTGCTTTTTAATAATTGCAGTAATTTCTAAAAAGTTTTGTGTCAATCAGGATATACATATATATGAAAAAAAGATATATTCAGTACTGATTAACTTTTATTAGTTTAGCATAATTATTAGCGCTAGAAGTTTCTTGACATATAATTTTGTAGCACGATTATAAGTAATAAAGTTATAAAATATTTTTATATTAAAATATTAAAAACATAAGTAAAAAAGTTAAAAATTTATGACAATTTTTTAAAATCGTTCTTTATTTCAAGGCAGTATTATAAGAGAAGAGTACAAAAATTAAAATTTAATAACGAAATTTAAAATCTTTTACTTTTATAAAGAACTACAAATTTTTAATTCAATAAGTTAATTAGTTCATAAGCAAAGCTGCATTTTGACAACAATGGAAATGAATAAATTCTTATTATCTAATGCAATAAACTATAAAATATAAAAAAAATTTCTTTTTTGTTAAAAATTTAAATACAGCTATGACATGTTTATATGTGTAATTCGTCTCTTCATTTTGTTTTCTCTCTTTTTTTTGTTTTTTTGTTTTTAGACTTGTCTTAACTTAATATTAACTGTCACTAAAAATTGATTATTAGTGCTTTAATAATAATAATAATAATAATTAATTTTAAGTTAACCCAAAGTGCTCTAACACTTTAACCGGAAAATTTTACTTTATTCTTTTGTTTATTTATTTTTCAAATATATTGAGGTTATCGGTATGAAAGTGACAGCTCTCTTATAATTTCTTATTTATACAAAAATACAAGAACGCCCTGTAAATTTTAAGTTTTTACTTTGTCCCTTAACATTTTAGAAGATATAAAAAAATTTTACGTTATAAAATTGCCATTTTATTATAATTACTTAATTATATAAATTTAAAGGCATCTCTTACTTTATTACTTTAACTTTGTTTATTTACTTTTCAAAATGTTAGTTACTTTTTTATATAAATGCATTGGGAACTTAAAAATATTTATCCAAGTGTGAACTGAAGGCAAGTTGAAAGAAAACTTTACAAAAATTGTTTTATTTCTATTGCTTAGAAGTACGCCTGCAACTCCATAATACTAAAAAAATTCATAATTAAGAGTTACCAATTAATGAAGGAAAGTAAACGGACGGTCGAGAGCAGCTTGTAAGCACCCCCGGCAAAAAATTTCCGAGGCAGATGACGGATGGGCTGTTGTGAAAACATTATAGTTATAAAGTGTTATTACAGAACTTTTATATGCTATATTATATATACTTTTCTATAATTCATAGTAAGTTATTATCATTTAACATAAAAAAAATCTAATTCATTATATAATTATAAATTTTTATTACTTATTATTTACTATAAATATATTAATAGTATCATAAAAAATTAATTTTAAATTTGATTCTTTTTTTTACAAGTATCAATAAATCTAATTAATATTCATTATAAAAAAATTTATAATATAATTTAATTATAATAAACCTTTTTACTTACTTTATTATACTTTATTTAATTATTTATTTTATTTAAATATTTATTTTAACAAAATTAATATTTTTATTATAATAATTTAAATTTAATACTTTTTTTTTAAGGCATCAACAATTTACTATAATTATACATCATAAACAATTTATATGATTACTTAATTATATTAAAACTTTTACATCATAATTTATACTTCAATTAATTATTTATATCTATAATACAAAATTTTTACTATCATAGTAAAAATTCAATTTACTTTCTTACTAATATTTTTTTTGGAAGCATTTACAGTATTTTATTATTATCTATAGTAGAAAAAATTATATTTTATTACTAATTATTAAAAACCTTAATTTACTTTCTTATTGAAACTTACTTTCAAAAAAAATTACAATTTTTTTATTATTATCTAGTGTAAAACAATTTATATTATAAAAAATTTTAAAAAATTATTTAACTTCGTTGTTTATACTCTTTTTAGCAAATACATTAACAATTATTATTATCTATTATAAAACTCTTAATATTATAAAACTTAAATTACTTTATTAGTTACCTTTTGTTAGAGCTTCTTAACCTTTTTGAATTATAAATTTAACTCAATTTATTATTTATACTTTTTATAAGGAGTTGCAATTTTTATTATTGATATTCAATTTAAAACATTTTGTTGTTATTCAGTAGACTAATCGTCTGGATACTTAGGGGAATCTGTTATACAATTATATACTTGTGCAGCGACGAGAAAAAGATCTGCGTTACCTAAACATACATTTTTAAAGTCCAAGTCATAACCCGAGTGCTATCACTGAACAGCTTGTTTTTACCATAAACTAGCAACTTGAGTACAGGTACGCTAAAAATGTTAGGCTGGAAGCTAAAATTTAGTAACATTAACAATGACTATTGCGCTTTCTATGCTAAGTCATCGAAAAACCAGATTTCTTCGCTTAAACTCTTAAAAAATGGCTTTAGCCGGAGATGCTCAGGACATCAGACGCATCCATGCCCATACATGTACGAAATATATTCCTTTTGTCAAACAATACAAAAATTTAGTAATAAGTTTGGGGCGTTTAACGCCTCCTACTTAAGAAAAACCAAAATTGCAGATCACGAAACCATTACACTCGTAATGAATACCACGGCAACTTCACATTACTTTAGTATTAAAGATGTTTACTAAGAAAAAAGTAATTCCCTTAATACAATAGACGACAATATAATCTTGGGCGATATTGTAAAGGGTAAAGAGGTATGATATAGATAATTCGAAGTACTTGAAAGCACTGTATTTTTATTTTTTATTATAGAATCCTTGGCGCACTAAACCCAAATGTGCAATAAGCAAAGAAAAAGAAAAACTACAGCATATGCGCGAGTCAAACTTAATAATCACAATTAAGCAGCCCTTAAACATTGCCTTTTAATATAAACACAACAAAAAAGAACAAAACTCAAACTTTTATTTCAACGACACAAAGAGCAACTTTTACGTGATACTTAAATAAATAAATGTAATAAACTAAGAATTATAGCAAAAACTTTATTAAAAAATCGCTTTGAACAAGCACTTAACTAAAAATATTTATAACTATCCTAATGAATCTGAACCAACAAATCAAGTAGTTGAAACAAGAAAAATTTGGCGAACAACGATATCTCCATGAAAGTATATAACAATCCCATTTAAAAGAAGAAACAATCTTTAACAACAAAGTAGATAAAAACGAAAAAAAACCATACGAGTGGCACATAACTGCGATTTTACAAAAAAAAAAATTCAGCCATCACCTATCTAATCTTGAATAAAGTAAAAAACTCAACTGACCGAGATTTCTACTCACTAACACCCAAAAAAGAACTATTCTCTATTTTAAACGAAGGATTTACTATTATTCCGCAAACAAAGGGACCCACCGTAGAAATGTAATAACATGGAGAATGAACATTAAAACAGACTATAAAGCTAAACTGGCCGCTAGAAAATTTTTATGAACAAAAGGTATTGATTATCAAAAAACCTATTCTCCAGTTTTAAACAAGGGCTTCTTCCAACAGCTTTTACTGATTACACATATTAAACGAATGCCAATCTTAACAGCAGATATTACTACAGCCATCCTACATACGAACTAAAAAGCAGTGTATACGATATAAACCTTGAAAAAAGAACAAAGGCATTATTAAACTATTGAAAATGGGTAATTAAACCTCGTCTTATACGGGTTATAAGATTCTGCTCGTCATCCATAGGATTACACACAAAAAATAGAAAATATGGCTACAGACCAAGAAAATTGAATAAAACTGCCAAAACTTTCTTGAATAATATACAATAAAAAATACAATGTGGAAGACGACTGAGGCACAGACATAATTCTTGGTTTATGCATTTTTTAAAATTTCCTGGACCAAACTGATAAGATAGATCATCTGCAATGTAGACCTCAAAAAAGTGATAAAGCATGCCGAGCTACAATTCCCTGCAATATAAAATTACTGCAAACTTGCTGTTAGCACAAGAGCTGACATTAGCTACTCTACAATACTTCTGGGAAAAATTTATGCACAATAATGACGACATACGCGTAGAGATGGCAGTAAAAGTCCTGCGATACTTGAAAAGTGCAGAACAAATTCCATTAATATTCTACATGACGCCAGGGCCGACGAAAAACAAATCAATAGTACTACAGCGATGCATTATTGGCGGATAACTATAATTTCCGAACAGTTATGAAACACATTTGGAAATGGGAAATTTTTACATTGAAAGTCAGATTGTCTCTTTAAAAAAGTTCCTCAAAGAGGATGTTATTAATTTTTTTATGCGCCTCTCTGTTATTATAAGACTAACATTGCTTACTTATGAACGTATAGAAAGCTTATGGGTTTTAATGAAAAAACAACACTTTTTTCTTCTTAACAATCCTTAGAGGTAGCTTGCTTAGTTTATTCAGAGAAGTTGCTTATTCTCCAACTACCGAACTTGACTTTCTTTTAAACACATGACCTTGAGCAATGCAATAATTATAAAAAATTAATTAAAGTTGATTAAATAAATAATTGCCTAATAAAATAATATTAACATTTTACACCAAAGTGAATTGTAAACCATGTGCGCAAAAGAGATGCTTCCTACCAAAGATTTAGACAAGTGGAAATCTCATACCACCGTGCAGGAATTAAAAATAAACTACTTCTAAACAGAAGCTGACCAAGTTTTTTACCAAATCATTTTCTATACGAAATCACAAGACTTTACAATCTCAGCTTAGACAACTTCATATGAATATACCATAACATAAAGTTATAAGAATAACACTTTATAGAAACACAAATTCCAATAAAAAAAAGTACTAGTACGACAAATATACAGTCGTAAACACAATAGTATTCCGATATAAAATAAAATACAACGTTACCTAAATTATAAAAATAATTTTGAAATTAATAAATTTACAAAAAATATTGTATACACAAAAACAGTATACACTTTATATAAACAACAATATACAAATCAAAAATAAAAAAAGGGAAAATATATAATATTAAAATATTTTCAAACATAAAATTTTTTTAAAAAAACTAATTATATTATAAAATAAACTTCATAAAAACAGTATACAAATAATTAACAAACGACATGCAAGTAATAAACAAAAAAAAAACAAGCTATTGTTGAAATTATTAATAAATAAACTTAAAAAATTAAGTTAATAACAGCGAATAAAATCTGATAAAAAAATCTATATTACTTTTAAATTAATAATTTTCAAGCGTGCTAGTTTTTTCTTTCGCTTATTCATAATAGCTACACTTTTTTTTTAAAATTACAAAAAAGTTATATAGCTTACTAAATTAAATAAAGCAATATACAACACCAGAAAGCTAAAAATTTATTTGTAAAAAAACAGTAGAAGGCTAATATAAATTGTATTTAAAAACTTATATATTTAAATTATTTTAAATCCAGTAAATATAGTTGTTAAGAAATATTAATGTTAAATTTTTTTATATAAACAAAAAATTTAAAAAATGCCTTTATAAGTTTTGGTGGTTTTCAAATATATAATAATTGATATTTTCCCGATTTCTGGCAATTTCGATGGCATAAAACTGAATTCTGGGAACTACATTAAAAAATTAAATTTATAATTTATTGTATTTTACAGAATTATTAGAAGAAACTGAATTCACAAACTATATAAAAAATTAAGTAACTACCAACAGTCGTATTCTCTTCTGTGTACTTTCTATGTGCGTTAAGTCGTAAAAGAGTCAAAAAGTTATAATCTTCAACTTTAGTTTCATAAAAATTGCAAAATGTACGCCATTTTTCCTTTTCATTATGAGATTTTATATTATCTTCCTCAATCTTTTATGTAAAAAAAGTCGTTACACACAATATAAAAAGTACGTATTACACTAAACGCACACTATGTACATCTAAATTGGGAAATTCTTTTCGGAATTGTTCGTAAATTTCATCATCCAGCCTTAAAAGTAACAATATTATTACATCTACAATTATTTAACTAACTTACTTTGTTAATGAAAGATTTTTGCAATCATAATTACATAGTAAATTAAAATAAATTTCTGCTTGTTTCCATGATTTTACAGCCCATGCGGCTTCTATTTCTTCTAAGTTTCCAAACTCTGAAGAAAGTTTATCGATTTTTAGGGAGGTCTCCGGGTTGGGTTCTTCAGAGTTTACTAACAAAACAATTTTTAGTAAAAAAAAATTATATAAAAATATATTTGTATAACTCTTCGGACTAGAATTTAACACATTTTCTATTTCTTTTTCAAAATTCATTGATGCGATAAAAAATTTACAACATATATTGTAAAAAGGTGAAAGGTAATTCTTACTGAATGCAAAAGCAAAGAGGAAAAATATTAGCACGTGTTAACCATGTTAAGATTAGCCCAAGGGATGTAACTTACTTTATCGCTTCCTAAATCTCTTTTCGTTTTTTTTTTTTTAAATAGTCTAAATTTTTTTTTATTCTAAATAATATCGTTTGTTTTTGCTTAGAAAGTGTAGCTTGACCTGTTTTGCTTCTTTTAAGAACATTGCAAGGGTTCTGTGAAATTTGTTAAACAAAAAAATATATAGAGCATCCTCGACGTTTAGATACTATTAAAGATAATGCAATTTTGTGCATACATATACAAGTTTTGAGTTTCTACACTTCGTATATTGAAAGCTACAGTTTTAGTGCTGAATTTATATTAAAGATCTTTACCTTAGACCATCTTATTTAAAATTTTATTTTTCTTTTATATACTGCGGATATGGCATACCTCATAACGATTTGTGGATAATTATCTTAAAGCGCAAGTTTAATTTAGCTGGGAGTTGTTTGTGTATGTATCAATGCTTTAATATTTTTAGAAAGATATGGGTGTAGACCTATCTAGAACTCCATTGCAATATAAGTAATTTGCTATTTCATTTATACCCGTTTTTCAACATTTATAAGTTGTAAAACAGCATTAAAAACTGAATGAGCAAAAAAGTGTATTTTATAAGGGGATTTACTCAAGCAGGTGCTTTAGAATAGTTTATAAAAAAAACGGCGGTTATACTATATATTAAAATTGATATATTTACTTGCATTAAGTTTGAAGTGTTAGAAAGAAATTTATTACATTTTAGATAAGAACGCAGATGGGTCGCAAATAAAGAAACAAAGAGTTTTCTTTTGAGTAAAAAACTATTTATTGTTAATTATAAATCTTCTACCTCTGTATTATTGTTCCTGAACATTTGAAACTAAATGGTAAAACATTACTTTGAGGTACGTTTTAAGAATTCTATGCTTTGCATAAGTTAAGGATTTATTAAAAAGAAGTATAGTAATACAAATATATATATTTAACGTACTTAAGTGCTGCTATAATTTTTTAGTCTGAATTGAAAATCATGAGCACTAGTTATCTTTATATTACGTTAAATGTGGTTAACTTACGGGTACGAACGGGTAGGTAATAGCGATTTTTCTATAAGGAGTATATAATTGTTGTTTTTAAATTTGCTTTTTTTGCAAGGCTCAATAGCGTTAGTTTACTTGAAAGGACGTAAAAATGTATAATTACAAGCTTTACTTAATTCTCTTTATTTGGACATTTTGTATTTTCCCAAATGTTAAGTTTGCTCAAATAACTATAATAACATTGTTAAAATTGAAGTTAATAACTAATAAACTTAAAATAATTTAAACGTTAATAATTTAAAAAAAGATAATTATTTAAAAAAAATATATAAATTAGAAAATGTTTAGTTATAAATATGTAAGTGGGGAGAATACCATATTCTCGTAAATTCTTGTTTTTTTATTGTTAATAACAGCATGAGGGTTGGTATATTTTTAGTTAGTTAGGGTACTACTATTTTATATAAACTAGAGAATTATTATGTTTGTTTAATATAGAGAATAATTTAATTAACGTTTTTAGAAGTGTTCAAATATTATTGAAGTAATGGAGTTTTACAGTCTTTACTACTTTAAATATCTAACTTAAAATTTTTTTTTTGTTAACATTGTTATTCTACTTAAAAGAACTCTTAAGTCCTTCTGTACGAGCTCATATTTCTTTGAAACCTTCTAAAAGTATAATTTTTAATAAATAATAGTTAGTCTTTTAAAGTTAATGTGGAAATAATTTTGTTATATAAATAGTATTATTCTTTTTATTTAGTAAAGAAAACAATTCTGTTCACGGAGTTATTGAGTGTGTAGATGTGTTCAACTATTTTTTCGGATTAATAAAGTTTTAGTCTTCACTACTTTGATTATCTAACTCAATTTTTTTTTTTTTTGTTAAACATATTGTTATACTGGTAACTTAAATTCCTTACGGAGAGATTTTAATTCCCTTATAATCTAAAATAACCTAAAAATCTTTATTTACAAAGCAGCGTTGGAGTTAGTATATTTTAAGTTAGTGTATAACTTTTCTTTTTTTTTTAAAAAAAATTATTATATTCTATTAGTAGACTAAATTATTCTGTTCAACGTATTACTGAGTGTAGGAGTGTTTTAAATATTACAGAAAGTATTAAGTTTTACATTCCCTGATTCGAATAATTAATTTAAAATGTTGCTTAATTACACTTTTTGTTCTTCTACGAATCTAACGTCTTTCAAGAGTATTTTAAAGTTATTTAAAAATCCTATTGACAGTGTTAGTTAGTTAGTATGTTTTATGTTTGTGTATAACATAATATTTCTTTTAAATCAAACATATTATATTCATTAAAGAGAACATAATTCTGTGTAGTGAGTTATTGGGTATAGAAAGGTTTTTAATTATATTAAATTTATACTTGATTAAATGATTAGCAGTTTTCTCTACGCGCAGGAACTTTGACTTATCCAGCTTTAAAAATTTTAGATTAATCTACCTTCATAATTTTCTTTTTTAAGCTTCTTTCATATTATGAAAAATACTTAACCTCAACATTGTTTAAGGATAATATAAATTTTCGCCAAACCGCATTATGTTATGACATAATTTTTTTAAAAGAAAAGCAGAAATTAAAAAGATTTTTATAAACTTTTTAAAAAATATATTTTGCTTTAATTACAAGATAATATAAGGATAATTGAAATTGTTTTGCATTATGTGGCGTTTACTGTTAAGTATTGCTATATGTAGTAGGTAATGACCGTCTGAGCAATTAAACATTGACGGTATGTCGTGAGCGTTGCGCTACTCAAATGGCTTGGGAAGCATTAAACAAATTATTACAACCCTTCTAAACTTTTAACAAATTTAATATAAAATCTCAATATAATATATTGAAAAGTATTACTCTCACCTTAAGTCGGAGTCATTGATAAACTCAAAGACCTTAAGGTTTAATACTGAAAGTGAATAGCGACAGTGAAAAGAAGAAAAGTGATTATTTATGAGGAAGGGTATTATATACAAAATGTACATATCGTGGGAGAGACGTAAAATCACGTGCTATACCACGAGGCTGTCCCGTGGTTAAAACAGGATAAAAAGCACGTGGTATGTGCACGTGATTTATCAGAGTTAACTTCAACAAATAGTGACACCAACAGAACACAGAGTGTGCGTAATTTTGTTCATGCTAAAGCGACTATAGTGGCTACCAGGCAAAGTCATCTTTAATCTTTAAAAGGATGTCAGTGTTGCATGGAGCTTTAATACGTTCTAGAGGCAGTTAAGCGAGAGGATAAAGATAGTCGTTAATAATAAAGTAGTTCTTGAAGTTATTAAGTCTGTACAATGAACAGTACTGTAAAACAATTTAATTTCTTTTAAAAAAAAAGAGGAAATACTAATTTTTTTTTTAAAAAAAAAATTGATTTTGAAATAGTTCAAGCAATTATAAGAGCTTTTTTAATTTTTAATTGATAAGTTAAGAAATTTCCATAATTTTTGCGTAATGCGCGCATTCTTCTTCCTTCAACACCAAAATCTTTTGCAACTTTTTAACTTTTTCTTCAGAGCGCGCTATTAAATAAAATAATAATAATGGTTTGTAATAAAAATAAGTAATAATTATAACTAATAATAATAATAAACACCTAATTCTGATTGAGAATCAGCCAGTTTTTTTTGAAGTGCTGAAATTTGTTCGTTCGCGCTTTAATAATGATAATAATAGACAATATAATAAAGAAAATAATAAAAGAAAAAAATAATATATAACTAAAATTAATAATTTTTGTTAAAATTATAAAATATATAAAATTATTAATAATTATAATATTAATAATATTTAAACGAAATTTCTATAAAATTATAAAGTTTGGTTTAATAATGTCTTAACAGTTTATAAAAAAACATTTTTCTGAAGTGAAAGTTATTAAATATTTAAATTATATTAAATATAAAATTTTTCTTCTTTAAAATTTAACAGTATAAAAAAAGTTATTTATAGTAGATTATAATAAATTTTTTAAAAATAAAAGATTTGACTATAAATTAATAAATAAAATTTATATTATGAAAATTTTATATAAAATAAAATTATCTATAAAAAATAATTTTTAAAATTTCTTAAAATTTCTAATAAATTGTTAATAATATATTAACTATTACTACTGCTAAATATATATTTTTATTAATTATACAAATAAATATTGATTTTCATTATTTAAAAAAGGAAAATAACCCGAATTTTATAACAAATATCACCAGAAATTAATAAAACAAAAAAAAAGTAAAATGATTCAAGTTTTATAAAAATTAAATCAGAAATTAATAAAATATTAAAAAAGATTAAATTAAAAAACATATATTTTAAAATAAGTAATAATAATAATTATAATAAATTTATTAAGACTTTGCACGTGATTGTTCGGAGAGAATCTTCAGCGACTCATACCGTTCTTCAGCCAAACGCCACGTGTTTATATGAGAAGATACTGTTTCGCGAAGAGTACTTTCGGTCTAAAAAATATAGAAATAATAATAAAGTAAAAGAAAATATAAAAGAAGTTCAAATAGTTTATCAAATAAAAAGCTGTAAAAATATATTTAATAAAAAAAATTATAATAAATATAAATGTTTATAATATAAATAATAATAGAAAAATAATAAAAATTATAATAATTATATCTAATATAAAAGTTTATAATATAAAAAAAATTATAAAAATTATAAAAAGTTAAAAAAAAAGTTACAAAAATTTTTTACAAATTTAAGAAATTTGTAAAAGTAAAAAGTTTTTATAATTTATATATATCTATTATAATAAATAGTAAAAAAGTTTATAATATTATGAAAATTTACTTTTGATGCCAAAAAAAAATAATAACAAATAAAAATAGAATTCTTAAAATAAAAAATTTAAAGTTAATATATAATTTTTTATAAAATTATTATTTAAAAAATTCAATACTGAGAAAAATTATTTTTTCTCTTAATAAAAAAGTTTTAAAGTGTTATAATAAAACTTTTCTAATAATAATTATTAATAATATAAAAGTTAAATTTATAATTTTTAATAAAAAAAAAAAGCAAAATAGATAAAATTCTGTAGTTTTCCATATGAAAGTTTTAAAGTAATACAAAAAAATATATTAATAATTATATTAATATATTATTTTAAAAATAAATAAAAGATTATTAACATAAAATATACATATTTTATTTACTTTTAAACTAAAATAATAGATAAAGATTTATCTAAATGAATATAATCTAAAGTATATAAATAAATATATTCAGTAAAAAAAGTAAATCCAAAAATTAATAGTAATACAGTTTTTAAGTTTATAATAAAATATTAATATATACTATATTTTTACAATTTTTTTAAAAATAAATAAAATATTATTAACATAAAAGTGATATATATACTTTTTATTGTTATACGAAAATAATAAAAACTAAAAGTTTTTTCTAAATAAATGTTAAGTATATACATAATTTTCTATAACAATTATTATTTTACAGAAATATTTATTACGAATCTTAATATACTGAATACAAAAAAATAAGATAAAATAATAAAGTTTTTAAAGAAAAATTTATAATAAATATTGAAAATTACATTTTATTGATTTTTTTTATTAATAAATAAAATAATATTATAAAAGTAAATTATACATACAGAATTACTAATAAATATAAGTTTACTCCTAGGTAATAATAATAATGTACAAATAATTATTATTATTATATTAAAAAAAACTTATTAAAAAATGATAATAAAAAGTATATTATTTTAAATATAAAATAAAAATAAAAAGTAATAATATAAAATAATATTCATTTTTTTAACTTTTTATGGAAAAATAATAATAACAAAAGTTCTTCTCTAAAAAAAAATTATATTAAGTTTATAAAGTATTTAAAAATAATAATATTAAGTGTTATATAAAAAATTTATTACCCATTTTAAATAAAACTTTCAAAAAATAATTTTTTCTATAGTTATTTTACTATTTGATTTTTTTTATAAATAGATAAAATTTTGGTATAAAAGCAAAATTGGTTTTCTTTTATAAATAATATTAATTTATATATATTATTTTATTTATTATTATTATATGCAAAAATTATTACGCATAAAAAAAATTCAATAACGGTAAAAAAAGTTTTCGCTTAAAATGAAAAATTTATAAGTTTCATATTAAAAAATCATTTTAATAGAATTTTTTCTAATAATAACAAAAATAAAAATAAAAAGTTGTAAAAGTCTATAAAAAGAAATTTTATTTAAAAAAAAATAATTTTTAATATGAAAATAATATAATAAAAATATTATAAATATTAATAAATGCGGGTTTATTTCTATAATATAAAAAGTTTTTAATTTATGTTTCGTATAAAATATTTATTATTATTTGTAATAAAAGTTTAACTAAAAGTTAAAAAGTGTATTTATATAGTATTCACTTTAATAAATTTTAAATTATAGTAAAATAAAAATTATTATAATAATAAAAAGTAATAAAATATTATATTTAGCTTAAAATAAAATAAAAGCTATCAAGTTTTCTATTATAACTATTTATAAATAAGTTGTATGAAAATATTAATAAGTAAAGTAAAATGGTAATAATAATAAATAGAAAAAATTTATATTTCAATAAAACATAATAAAAAAAGCAGTTAAGTTTTATTATATAATAAAAGTAGAAAAAATTTATATAAAAAATAGTAAAATAGTAAAGTTATGAAAAAGTATAATAATAATAGTAATAATGCTAATAATAAAATTATAATAATCTACAAAACTTTTTGCAAAGTCGTGTTGAGTTCACTAAATCTTTCGCATTTTTTCGTCCACTCGCGTAATGAAATTTTGGTTTCTTTTAAATTTTTTTGCAAAAGTTCATATTCACTACGATTTTCAGCAATAACAGATTGAAGTTCTCGAATAGTTTCTCTTCCGCACTCCACTTTAGCTAATAATAATAGTGATAATAATAAGAAAAGTAGTTTATTATACAATATATATAAAAAATTATTGTCAACTATAAAAAAAGTAAAAAAACAAAGAAAATATTATATAAATTATATATATAAAAGTAATTATAAAAAAAATGTTTCATTGTAGTATAATAATAAAAGTAGTTATCACATAATTTATATTTATTTTTATTATATATTAATGGTTATTATTTATATATTAAAATTAAAAAAAAATAGAAAACTATCTTTACTTTATACTTATAAATAATAAAAATATTTATAATATAAAAATTGTGACAAAAATTTTATAAATAAAAAATTTAAACAAATTTTTAAAATATAAAAATATTAATAATATTTACAAACAAAAATTCCAATAAATTTTTTAAAAGTTGTAATATTAGTAGAAATTTAAATAACATCTAAAAAAATTATTAGTAGTAAAAATTAATTTAATAATTATAAAATAGTAAATTAGAATTTTTTTTAGGTAAAATTTATCTAAAAAATTAATAGGAATTAAATTTTCTAATTATAAATTCATTAATAAAAAAAAATTATAAATTTAAAAGTTGCTATATTAAAAAAATATAAAATTTTTTATTATTAAAATTTATTAAATAAAATAAAACAAGAAATAAAAATTTTTTTTTAGTAAAAATATTTACTATAAAAATTGTTAAGGAAAAAAAAATTAAAATAAAAATTTAAGATAAATTAATAAAAAATATTTTATAATAAAAAATTAGTAACAATTTTAAAAATTGTTATATTCCAAATAAACTAAATATCTAAAATTTTTGTCATCAAAAAAAAATATAAGAAATAAAATTTTGTTATTTTAAAAAAAAAAGTTAGTGACATCTAAAATTTTTATTTTTAGTTAAATTCATTAAATACAATAAAATAAGAAATAAATAAATTAATTTTGAGGAAAAATATTTATTATAAAAATTTTTAAGTAAAAAATTATAATTATAATTTATTAATAAAAAAAATTTTAAAATCAATATTTTTTAATAAAATAATAATAAAAATAAATTTAAATGGAAAAAATAATAATTTTAAAAATTACTATATATAAAAAAAATTAAAGTCACATTTAAATTTTTTTATTACTAAAATAAATTTAATATTTCCGGTTAAATATTTTATAAGAATAATATTTATTAATAAAACTATTAGGAAAAAAAATTAAAATTATAATTTTATTAATAACAAAAATTTTAAAAAACAAATTTTTTAAAAATAAAGTAAAAAATACAAAAGTTGCTTAAATGAAAAAAATTAAGGTGACATCTAAAATATCTTATTAAATTTATTAAATACAATAAAATAAGAAATAAAATAAAAAATTAGTATAAAATATTTATTAAAATTTTTAAAAAAAATTATAATATAAAAATCTTCACCAAAAAAAAATTTTAAAACTAAAATAAATTATATAATTATAAATAAAACTTTTTAATAATAATTTTCATTAATATAATTAACTTCTTAATAACTTATTTTTAAAATTACGTGATTATAAAGCTAAATACTAAAATAGTAATTTTAAGTATAATAAATACTTTTATAAAACTACTAAATAATGATTTATTGTATTTTTATCATATTTATATGCATCTGTTATTATAAAAAATGTATTAAATAACAATATTATAGTAAAGAAAAATTACTTTTATGAATATTATTTATGAATTTTGCCTCCATCCTTAATAGATATATAATAATTTTTCTTAAAAAAGTCTGAACATATTAATAGTATTATAATTTTATAGGATATATTAAAGAAGCATTCACTTTTGTAAAAATTTATTAGTAATAAAAAAAGTTATAATAATAATAAACATATTAAAGTAAAAAAAAAAAAATTTAAAATGTGTTCAAAATAAAATTTAAAGAAAAGTAAAGTAAAATTAAAACTTTATATTGATAGTAATTTACTTATTAAATAATATACTAGATAATAACTTTACTTAATAAAAGACAATACGAAATAATAATATAAGGTACATTTACTTTGATAAAACTATAACAAATATTAATAAAAAATTTAATTTTAAAAAAATATGTCAAATAATAATAGGATACATTTACTTTAATAAGATATATGACAAATAATAATAATGATAATAAATTTACATTACTGAAACTCTTACGAGTAATATACTATTTATTTACTAAAAAAATAAAGAAATAATATATAATAAAATATTTACTTTATTAAAGCTATAACGAATAATAATAATAAATAAATTTATATAATTAATAAAACATGTAAAAATAATTAAAATAATAAATTTATTGGATAAAAAAGAAATAATAATAATACGTTAACTTTATTAAGAAAGCATGATATATAATAATAATTAAATTTACTTTATTATAAGCATAATAATAATAAAATTACTAAATTTATTTTATTTAAAAAAAATTTATTTAAATAATAATAAATTATTTACTTAATTTAAAAAAAAGAACTAATAATAATAAACTAATTTACTTTACTTAAGAGGATAACTAACAATAATGATAATAATCATACATAAATTTATTATATTTAAAAAAATAATATAGTAAATAAATTATTAAAAATAATAATAATATTAAATTTTCCTTATTATAAGACGTAATAATATTAATAATAAATAAACTTACTCCACTTTAAAATATGACAAATAATAATAAATAAATTTACTTTACTAAAAACATAACAAATAATGGTAACAATAATAGTATATAACATTATTTTATTAAAAAAATTGGTCATAATAGTAAATAAAATTTACTCTATTTGTAAAAAAACGAATAATAGTAATAATAGTAACAATAGTAAATTTCTTATTATTAAATAAGCAACACGTATAATAATATAAAATAAACTTTATTTAATAACATAAAAAAAAAATACTAATAATAAATTAATTTAATTTGTAAAAAAATAACAAAATAATAATAAATAAATTTACTTGATTAAAAATATGACCAAAAAGAATAATAACAATAATTAATAAATTTACTTTATTAAAAAATATAACGTATAATAATAATAGTTAATTAATTAATTAATTAACATTGTTGAAAAACATAAACTAATACTAATAATAATTTACTTCGTTGTAATATACGAATAAAAATGTCACCGAGCAATTTCTGGATAGAAATTTCATATTCAGAAATGATCTCAAACAACTTCGAAACGCGTTCCTTATAAGAAAAAGTTTCTTTAGAGCGCCTCTCAGCCTCGCTTTGAAGCACGTGGACTTCCTGCTTGAGCTTTTAAAAAAATTAAATTTTTTAAACTAAAATTTAATATTCAAATTTTAAAAAAAAAAGTTAAATTTCTTTTTTTTTTTTTTGTGAAGTTCTTAAAATGAAGTAAAATAAATTATAACAAAAAAGATTTATAGTTTAAAATTTCTTTAATTGTAATTTTAAAAATTTAAAAAATGAAAAATTAAATTTATTTCTGACTGAATAACATATTCTAAGTGTTATTAAAAGTAATGCTCAAAAGCATATGGACCTCCTCCTTGAGCTTTTAAAAAGCATTAATAATAAATTTAACTTTCTTAATTTTTAAAAAATATATATTAGAATTAGTGTAATTGTAAGCTAGAAGTATAAATTAATAAAATATAGTAAAAAATTATAGTTTTTCTATAAATCAGAATTTAAGTAAATAAATTTAAAAATCATAATAAAGATAGTTATAATATTTAATATAAACTTTAAAAAATAGATTTTATAATTTTAAGACCAGTAAAATAAAATTTTTAAAAAAAAAAAAAATTTATATAAAAAAAAGTTTATAAAGTAAAAATTCATCGCAATTTTAATTTAAAATTTGAACCTGAAATATTAATTCTTCCTTTTTAAGCAATTTCGTTTCGAATTCTTCTTTTCGATGTTCAAAATCATTAATATACATAAAAACAGATAAATAAATATAAAATAATAACTTCATTTCTATACTTTATAAGTTTTTTTAAAGATTTCATCAAGTCTAGTAAAAAATTAAAAATTAAACTTTTTCTTATAAAATTAATTATAAAAATTTATCTTAAAAATCAAAATATTTAATTATAAAATTATTATAAGCTTAAAGTTTATATAAAATCATAATTATATGTTATTATAATTTTTAAAAAGATGTAAAGCCAATTTTATATTAAAAAAGTATTAAAAAAAATTAATTATAAAAAATTTGTAGTCGCATATTTAAAAGAATAAAAAAAAGGTTAATCCCGCCGCAGGTAGATAGCATTGTTCAGTTATTTACTGGCTCAATTAGTTAGCTAAGCAGATCAAATCAAGAAGCTAGTAACACTAGTGCCACCACGAAGTTCGCTTAAAGTTCGGTATTGAGCCAAACTTTTTTTCAAAATGCATAACTACACTAAATACTCCGGCAGAGAGCAATCATTACTCATTATACAGTTTTTGCTCACAAAGTGTTCGGATGCACTTATAAAATTTGTATAAAGCTAAATTTTCTAAAATAAAAAAAAATTATAGTTTTATCATAAAAATTTAAATATAGTTAAATAAAAATTTCAATCAAAATCAATAAATTGTTATTTATTATATTTCAAGACAAAAGCACAACTTTACAAATTTAAAATTACAAAATTTCAATATATAAAAAAGTGTACAATTTTTTTAAATAAAAATAAAGTTCAAATATTTTTTAAAAAAATAAATTAATTTTATACAAAAATTTACTTTTAACTAAATCTTTTTTTTCAGCTAATTTTTCCTTGCTCAAATCATAATTTGAGGAGTTAATATTTTCTTCAGATGATTTAAAAGATGAATGAAGGTGTTGGTTTCCGATAAGCTCTTTAAAATTATCCTCTTCATTAAAATTGATTTGTAAATTGTTCTTTTCTTCTATGGAAGAAATCATACTTAAATTAAAGACATCAGAAAATTTTTGATTCTTACTAGATTGAAGAAAAAAATTTCTTTTAACAACGCGATTTCTCTGCTACAATCCGATAAATCTGGAGATCTTTCCAAAGATCCTTCAGGAATTTCAGCTAAAGGAACAAAAATATGCATAGATTTTCGATGACGTTCACTCAACATTTTTGTTTGATTCTCCGCGTTAAGTAAAAGCGAATTCGACGATAAATTTAAAGATTCTTCAGAAGATCCTTCTACAACTTTAGCCAACGGATCAAAAATATTCATAGACTTTCGCAATTGGCGTCGACTTAAAGTTTTCTGGCCCTCAGCGGTGACCAAAAAAGAATTCGAATTTGATTTCAACGATGACAAAACGTCCCACCCGTTAAATAGTTCTTCATCTAAATATAAATATAATATATTGATATTTACAAACATAATCAGTATAATATTTTACTTTAGTTCTAAAATACCGAAAGGTAGATTCTCTTTATCGCTCGTAACTTTTTCTAAATCATTCTTTTCCTCTAAAATTTCTGTATTTTTCAATAAAGTCATACTCTGGTTTTATATTTTTTTACTTACAAAAACTAAACAGTTATAAAATTATAACTTACAATATTGTTTTCTGTATTTACACTATTTAAGCCAGTTGAAATTTCTTTAATTTCATTTACTTCTTTCCTACGATTATAATACAAAACTTATGATTGAAGTAATTAAAAAAATGTACTAAACCTGTTATGAGAATATATTTTTAATTCTGGTGAAACTTTTTTTTTATTTATATCTAAATCCACTTTTTCTTCTGACATACCATTTAACTTTGAAGGTTTAATAAATCACACACGAGAAAAACTCTTTGACTTGTATAATTAATAAGTTTAAATAAAAATAAAAAGGTATAACTAATTATAAACTTATCAAGAAAACGATCTTTTTTTAAAAAAAATAATATAATTGCGGTTTTCGGAAGAAAACAGTGAACTACACAGGTGGGCCCTAATACAAGTAGCAGGAGGGCAACTCTGTTACTGTGAAAACCTTGGTAGACATTTATTACGGTAAAAACTTTAAAAATTTTAGTTTTTTATAGTTTTTTCTTTTAAATTAACTATAGAAACATAACATCTTAAGATTTTTTTAGTTTCCATTTATTTTATTAAGAACTTTTAGAACTTTTAGATTTCTATAGTTTTTTTTTATCTGGAATTTGTTATAGAAATGTAACCTTCTAAGTTAGTAATTTTTGTGAACACTAAGAAATTACATTCCTTTAAATACAAAGAGAAACTTAATTAGTTTTTACTTTCCTTTAAAATTTCTAAATACCGATAATAATATTTAAAAAGTAAAAGAAAAAAAACTTATTTAGTTTTTGATAAATTTATATATTAACAATAAAAGATATCCTCCATAAATAAAAAGAGACGACTAGTTATTTAACATTATATAAAAATTTTATAAACAAAAAAATTTTCTCCAAAAGTAAAGAAATGGCCTATGTTTGAATCGGTGTGGGCTTTGGAATTCCGAATTCAGTAACTTTAGCAAAAAGTTTGTCGTTTATTTGGTAACTTCAATATAAAAAAAAAAAAAAATTCTTTTTATATAAATTTATACAAGAAAATAAAAACAAAGAAAAGTAGTAATAAATTAATATACACCATTTTAATTTTGAAAAATCTACCTTTACAATCAATAAAAATATAATTTTTAAGGTATTAATATTTAGTTTCCATATATTATGTTTAAAAACTTTTGAAAATTTTAGTTTTTATTTATTTTGATAAAAACTTCAAGGATATTAGTTTTCATAGTTTTTCTTTACAAATTATTTTAAAGACATAACCATAGAGATTTCTTTTTTTAACTTTTAGTTTCCATTTATTTTAAAAAAAACCTTAGCAGTTTAAGTTTTTTGTAGTTTTTCTTTTAATGTTATTATGAATTAACCTTTTAATTTTATGTATTTTAGTTTCCGTTCTTTATGACAAAAACTTTAAGAATTTTAATATTTTTATCTTTATCTTTTGGCCATTTTACAAAGTTAACCCTCTATGTATGAAATAGTTTTCCATAGCTTCTCTTTAATTTATTATAGGAACTTAACCTTCTAAGTACAATAACTTTTAGTTTTCATAGTTTTCTTTTATTTTTTATAAGAACTTAACCTACTAAGTTTGAATTTTCAGTTTCCTTTTAATACGTTTTGTTATTAGTTTGACCCTAAAACTTTATCTTCTAAGTTTAAGTTCTTTAGTTTTCACTTATGTTAAAAACTCTAACAAATCTTTTAGCTAATCATAGTTTTTCACTTAAAAATATTAAAAAAACTGAACTGCTAAGTTTATAATCTCTATTTGTCCAACTATATAATTTTAATCCAAATTCCTTATAAAAAACATAACTCAAGTTTATAAGTTTAGTTTTTATTTACTATATTGAATTTTTAAAAATTTCAAGTTTTTCACAGTTTTTCCTTTATATATATCATAGAAATTTAATCTTTTATGTTTTTAATACTATTCGCCACAACACACTTGAAGCGACGTACCTCCTTGTTCGCCCTAACGAACTGAAGGCACTTAATTACCAACGACGACGCTTTATCCAAGCGGCAGTTTCCGAGCATTAAAGGATAACTAGCGCTAATTCTCTAAAGTCGATGGCACATAATAATTGTAAGAGGAAGGTCAACATTAGCAGTCGATAGCGGCAGTCCTTCTTTTAGGAAGTTTGTAAAAAGCACTTCGCAATACATAAGAGAGGAAGTACGAAGAAAGGCATTTCATAGTAATGAACTTTACGCGTGGCAGTAATCCGTGGGAACATATAATGAAAGCATTCTTTTAATTAACTGTTAATTGCCTTCCTCAGAAGAACTCAGCTTTTACTAGTTCCTGTGTTATTAAGAAAATATCATCACGAAAGATGCTGAGTAACAACAGATTTTATAAAGCATCGCCCCTCGCTAAGGCTATATTGTGGCCGAGCGTGGTGAAGACAAGGTTTCGCTTTTCACTAATCATCTCGCTACTCGAACATACCACCCGCTCTCTTAATCGCCGATGATACGCTTCCCCAGATGACCTTTTCTATGCTAGTTTATGCAGAGGAGATTCAAGCGATTGTCTATGCGCTATATAAAAATGAGGCCTTACTGTTGTTGAAGAAACAGCCGTTAGCGGCACTGCATTATTTGTGCCACTAGTCAATCTAGTGGCATCCCTTGAATTCCTTTCTTGAAACGGATGGGAGACGGCGACTGTTGTAATGCTCCTGAACTCACCATGATATCGACTCATCAATTTCTCGGCAAAGTGGGCAAGTTCACTTTACTGAACCGTCAAGGCGCTCGTGACGCCTTGCCAGTGTTCCAGTTTAACACCGAATGGATTACTCGCCGTTTTAACTTTAAAAAGGCAACAGGCGCCGTCTTCATTAACTTTGAAACGGCCTTCCCGATTTCGACATGAAGGTCAACTGCACAAGCTGCGCACTATAACCGCCCCTCGCAGTTTTTACGACCTGCTTAAGTCGTATATTAGTGATAGCGTCTTCAGTTACTATTGTTTGGTTACAGGCTGTTGTTGCGTTGTAAGTAAAAGTTTTATGACAAGTATTATCCTTTTATCTAGTAATCCTTTTAGCATCCATGCTTAGTATCAAGTACTCACTAGTGAGGGCGGTGGGATTTAAGAGTAATATACCGTTGAATGCTCGATCACCAGACTTTCGTTATTTATCCATTGTTGTATTAAAACTTGCAGTCTAGAATCTTTTGTGTTTCCAGCCTTCGATATACGATCATGTTCATTTGGGAGGTTGTTGATTATAAACATAATCACGCATGGTTTCACTCTAGTATTTTGACAGATATTTAGATTTTTTTACTGTGCGTCGTGTCAAGTGAGGTAGTTTATATACTTCTATGTCCTTGGGAACTGAGCTAAGAAGCATACCAGTTTTATATATTCTGTCTCTATAATCCTCAATATACTTATTTCCTTTCTCTTTTTGAAACCTTATTTATAAATGCAGCTTTAGCATTTTTGAAGCTTCTTTATTTAAAATACATATCAGGTGTTTCATGTATTTTTAATTACGCATACAGCTCCTTTCCATGTGTTTGTTTGTGTTAGCGTGTGCGTATGACATCGTTATTAGGAGAGTTACGGATGACATGATATTCAGGTCATTCCTATGCGTTTATTCCCTTTTGTCATTTTGAGATGGTAACAATTCGCCTTGAGTATAAGGAAGCTAATATACAAATTTGTTAATGGGAAGTGGTACACGTAATTACTAAACATAAAAAATGCGAGTGTGATTACGACGACAATCCTCCAATCACTGAGCTACGGTGACAACTCCCATTTCGGTCGATAAATTACTTAAAGAACTTTAGTTATGCACTTTGTTTTTAAGGTCTTACCGCCTTTGTTAGCCCTAGCGCGAGCGTGCTTATAACGTATTAGAATTTGTTTAAAGTTGGTGCACGTTACCAGCAATATAGAAAAATGCGAGTTGGCATCCCTTAAGAATTGAACGCACGAGCCTTGAGTTTGAGCGTCAATGCTTTTAGCGCTGAGCTACGATGACAATCCTGATCCCAGTATGATGGATTTACGTATTTAACCTGTTAGTTAATAGTGTATCGTTATTCAAATTATGTTTACTGTATGGCGTTTCTAACATTTTTCGTTTGGCATACTTCTAATTAATTTTGCTGTAAATTTTAGGTTGTTGTTCTAAAATAGCTCTTTGTAAAGCCTTGTTTAAAGTAGATATAGCGTGCCTACTAACGCATTTTATATTTTTAGTAGTTTAGGCTGCACGGCAGTA